ACCCCAAGGGGGGGGGGTAGACCCAAGGGGGGCTAGGGTTTGCAATGTGTTTTTTCCTCGAGGTTTTTGCAGTTTAAGCACTAGGGGAATACTGAGGGAATTCTAGGGCAATACTAGGTGAATACTGAAAGGGGTACTGAGGAAATACTAGGATTATGCAAAAGAAACGAAAGGAATAGCAAGATAATACCAAAGGAATTGCAAAATAATGTCTAATTTGCAAGAAACCTCGAGAACAGAAACCTTAAAGCAAGATTGCAGACCCTCCCGCCCCCCCTTCCTCTCCCGGGTCTGCAATCTTGCTTTTTGTTTTTGTAGGTTTTCTCGAGGTTTTTTGTGTTCAGTCTAAATTGCAAGAAACCTCGACCGGGGGGGTCTGCAATCTTGTATTTGTTGGTTTTCTCGAGGTTTTCTTGAGGTGTTCTCGACGTTTTTGTTGTTTTCATTCTAAATTGCAAGAAGCCCCCGCAAAAAAAAGAGAGAGAGAAAGATTGCAGACCCGCAGGGGTGAGCAGGGGGTTAGAGTCTGGAATCTCGTGTTTTTGTGTCGTTGTTCTCGAGGTTTGTTTGGTTTTTACTACCATGCAAAACCGCAGTCCCCATGGCGTCCCCTTCTGTAAGCATTTCCACCAAAAGGACATTGCCCCATGTTGGAGCGCGCCCCTCATTTTGGAAGCACCCAAGTATGCTTGCTCCACGGGCCTGCATGGTGATAGTTCCTTGCAGATTTGTTCAACCCAATTCGGGGTTCCGTATCTTCCCATTTCCCCTTTCAGTGGCTTTAAACAACACCTTTCGGGCGAAGTCTTGGTAATTTTCCTTTGGGCGGGGTGGTGTTTAAAGGAGAAATATTGGGAGCCGTGCAATTTGTCAACGGGTTCCACCTTTTCACGGGCCTTGCTTGGGCGGGTTCCCGTAGAAAGCCAAGCGGCAGATTCCCCTAAGACTTAAGATTTATCATGAGAGCCACTCATGTCAGGCAGCTGAATTTGGTTCGTAATAATGGCCAACAGAACACCCGATTGGTCGACACAGAGGTCAAGGAGTACCAGCTCTGTGGACGCGCTGATGAAGATGGCAAGGACAGAACTCGCGGGGAATGGAACGAGCGATGTAGCAGTTGATATGGAGCCCTTTCAGCTGTTCCTTTGGAGACTTTGGACCTAGCGTGGAGCAAAGCGAATAGCCTAAAACAGAGAATAGTGGCGTAAAATGGATTTTGTTGCGTAGAATGGACTGTGACAGCGTCAAAGGAATCTCAATAGCGAAAATCAGCTGCTAGTAGCGCAAGCACACCAGGCAGCGAAAACATATCAGGTGACAACCTGGAGCACCCTTCGTTACACAAATTTCTGCCCTTAGCCCAAACGTATTGCAAAACCAGGGGTCGTCACCAAAATATGGTAAACGTACACTTTTTCCTGCTTCGAGCGTTTTTCCCAAAACCGGGCTGGTCGGTCCTCCAAGATGCTCGGTCGCTGAATATTCAAAAGGAGCGAGCAAAAATCAAAGTGCAAAACGAGCGCAAATATCCACAAAACGAGCGCAAATATCCGCAAACGAGTGCAAATTTAAAAAACGTAACAATCCCGCCTTCCTCTGGATGGAAGAAGGGGATGTGATCGAGCGTTTTTCGGGGGGGGCGAGCGTTTTTTGGGGGGTCGAGCAGAAATCGGTAATTCGAGCGTTTTTTTCTCGTACCTAAAAAAAAAGGCACGTTGGGTGCCTCAGGAAGAAATACAAATCAATCCTGAAGGGAATTTATCAGGGGAATGCCTACCCACGCGGAATCCCATGGGCCCGAAACCCCCCTAGACAATAGTTCATTCTCTTAGCCCCGATTGAAAGACTTATTCTCCAAACCGCGAAAGGTCGATGATTCTTCAGCTTTGCGCCACGAAGCAAGCCATTTTACTTCAACCAAACAACCGCTATTTCATCTCACTCAGCACTCCCCGTCATTCCCGTCTCTCCCGCACTCCCCAGCACTCCCCTCCTTGACCCTCCTCGGCGTGCCTTGCGACGGGGCTTGCAGAGCTCCTTGCAACAGAGATGCAGTGTGCCTTGCGAGGGTTTGGAGTGTCGCTTGAGGCGGGCCGAGTGTGGGATTTGTTTGTCACTTCCAACAGTGTATCCGCAATATGCATCCTCGTGTATCTGCTTGTGCTGCTTGATGAAGATGGACACTCTGGCCATCGGAGCGCTGTGTGATTGATCGAAAGGGGAAGGGGCATGGCAAGAGTGAGAAGTGCTTTTGGTCTTTGCAAGTTGCCAGAAATTGTTGAGTGGCTGGGCTGGACCACGACCCGCACGTTCAGCGCTTGTTTTGCTGTTGTATTTTAATATTATTTGTTATCCGGCCCCTCTCCTTCGCTATTGTATTCTATGTGTTGTCATTAGTACCTGTTGTTTCCTTCGCAATAAGATAGCACTCTTCTTGTTTTTGGGTGGGTCTTAAAGTTTTCTTTGGGCTTGGACCCAATTAGCAGGAGACTGACATGAGGAGCAACATTGGTTTCGGCATGTTGAAACAGGCAGTTGGCCCCGGCATTTGGACACAGCTTTCAACTGGATTTGTGACAGCTTTCACGCTGCTCTCACTGGCACCATACGCTGCAAAAAAAACAAGAAAAAAAACATTCCAGCCCAAAAACGAAAGCTGTGGGTCCCCCTGTCCCTCTTTCAAATCGAGGAGATCTCGGTTTGACGAGAAGTTGGGCATCAAAGAGCCTGGTGCCAAGTGAGCTCTTCCCAGACTTCCAAGCGAAGGGGCCACTCCCGGGAGCGCTTAGCCCGGCTCATCAGCCCGGCTCCGGGGAGAGCCCCCCCACCCCTTTACCTCTTTATGGCTCATCCAATCGTCAAGCTGGCAGGTAAGCTTTCCCATGAGCCAGCTCTCAACTCGGATGTGCCTTGTGTTGGGTGTCATTGGGTCGCTTCCCAGGGGCGAACTGACAAAAAACTGAAAGAGGTGACATTGACTGAGCCCCAGACTGTGAACATGTGCTGTTTTACTGATTTGGACAACCATGGCCCTTTTGGTTTGAACACTTGGATATGATTTCCAACAGGAATAGATTTGCACAAACTATTTCACGCCCCGAGAGCAAATTTAGCTTACTCACCAAGGTTCCTTGGCATTCTGAATATTTGGTTCGTGCTTTTTTTGTTAGTTTAAATGGCAGCATGAGTTTGGTGTTTTCGAGCCCAAAAAGAGCCGCGGGGGGTTTTCAGTTCATGAGGGAGGCTGGCCTCCAATGGGGGTTTGCCAAGACGTCTTTTCACTTACACTGAAGTTTATGCTCATTGGCTATAGGCACGGGTTCAGAGGAACCACAAATCCTCCGGACAGAAGAATGAAGCCTATGTGCTGTACAGCCTGATCAGAGAAGAAGCGTCATGATGCCTCACAGGAAAATGGTCCGTTCAAGGGCATCCTGATCTTCCAGGTACTATGAGGGCGAAAACCATGGGGTTGTGGATACTTTCTACATTGAGCCATCATTAGAGATGTGTATGTCGCACCGGCTGCGCAAGTTTCGGCCAATCTGAGTTTGTTCCCCTCGAATTCTGGGCGCGCCGGAAGATTGCAGCTGATGCTGAGCCCCTTAAGGTGAACCTGGTTCCTTTGCACCACCCCTTTGGCAATTCTGAGGAAGTCGCCATGGACCCTGTTTAGGGTAGTAGTAATGGTCATGGAATGTTGCTGTTTCAAGGTATGGAATTCCCGTGGCCGAAGGGAGGCCTTAAGAGTCTAAAGGTGATAGCACCCTCTCCCCAGTCCCCTTGAAGATCCCTAACACGCATTCTCATGGTTGCCAATGGCCCAGCGCAATGGCTTTCACTCGACTTTGAGTGATGGTAAGGATCCCTGTCCAGGTCACCAGGATCCACTTAGACTGTTCGCTCCATGTTCTGTCGCTCGAACTGGAAAGCAGTCCAGGTTGCCGACGCCTTTCCCCTCCCTCGTCTTGATGAGTTGTTCAAAGAAAGGCCCAGCACTAACCAAGTCAAGCTCTCTTGTTTGAGTCTCGCTTGCAAAGCGCAAACTCACCAACCGCAGTTTCGCCTACAACAGCAGCACATGTTTTCAACCAATGATTTGAGTCGTGTTTCTCCCCATGCCACCAGTCACTGTGGCTTCACTTCAGCCAAGGTCCATCGAGATGATGTCGCTGCAGGCCTTTGGCATCACCCCGAGCGATTTGGGCGATAACCTGGCGGCCGACAAGCGATCCGGTTGCACCTGGAGAATCCGCGGCGAACATGTTTTTTTGGAGGGAGCCATGTTTGGGCTTTTTTTGGGATGTTTTTTAACGGAAACCAGAAGGCATACCAAAATCCATTTTGGAAGTCCCACAAAAGAAGACACCCAAATAACATAGAAACTGGTCTGGTCTTATTCTCTCATGAGTTTCTAGACTGAAGACCAGTCGGATGGCCATTTTTGTGTCAAGGGAAAAGCAAGACACCGGAGCCCTGTATCTCAAACCTACCACCGGAGGGGTGACTTTAAGAATGGATCATGGGGCCAGCGTGATTTGGATTGGGGGAACCCTTTGCTAGTTCTATCAGACCAATTCCAGTTCGCGCATTGTGCGAATGCAGTTCTCAGAATCCCATTTGTTACATACCATCTAGGATCCCTCAAATCTAGGGCCGATGAATCTTCGGCCGTTTAGTTCAGTCTTGGCACGATGATTTTGGACTGCGTTGCCCTTACTAACCACGGTCCAGGGAGAAAATGCCCTGAAACCTTTAAACAAGGGGCAGACTCTTCCTTTTTGTCATCCAGGTTGCCTGAGAGGATAGAGGGCAGTCGGCGTAATTGTTGGGTCCAGAATGTCATTGGCAGAAATGATTTTGTAAGACAGGTGGCTGATATTGGTAAAATGAAAGCCTGTTTGCATTGGATCAATTTGAAGTCGCATCCCGCGTTCGTTCCCCCTCCCCGGCCAGCCTTCAGCGCGTCATGAGGCAGCTGGTTGGTCCCCTGGAGGATGTGGACAACCAGGAGCGATATCCGCTCGCCGAGTTCTCGTAGTACATGTGTCTTAGACCAGGTAGTTTGCTTTGAGCTTGCCAAGCCATTCCCAATTGGTTGCCTAGTTTCGCTGCACTGCACTGGATTGGTGGCAACACGGCGTGTACCCAAGGACTCATGGTTTGTTTCTTCGGAGCACGGCACGCCCTTGTTGGGCTTTGGTTTGCGCGCGAGAGCGCCAAGTCACGAATCGTCGGCCTTACTGCTTTTAAGACCATTCTTGTGAAGGTTCCTACAAAGGAAACCCTGACCATGGCGCATAAAGAGTTTTGGCCATGGCAATATGACCACCGGGGTTCACGTCTTCACAAGCTAACTGGCAGTGCGAAAGAACGTGAGGCCCGGGTCAAAGAAGGGCCAAAGGTGCGGACAGTTGCCCTTTTCAATGTTTGCATGGTTTTGGGCCGGCCCCCAAAGACCAGAAAGGTGTTTACATGGTTTGAAGTCTGCCCATCTTGTGCGTACATCTCGCCCGGCTTTGTCTCAGCTGCGGCTCTTTGGTGCAGGCGTGTCAGCGTAAATATCCAAGCGTTTGATGTGGGACTCCCCCAAATTGGGCCAGCCTCCCTGAGTTAGATTTTAGTATTTCTGGGTCTGGACCTTTTTCGTGGCAACCAAATAATTTGGTTTTTGGGTCATCCACTCAGGCGCCAACGGCACTTAGTTTGTGCCTGGAACATCATCATTGTGCAGGATGCGACGTAGCCCCAATGCATGTCCTTTTGCATTTCTTCGTTAGCACACTTGACTTCTTCTTTCTCACCGGTTTCTCAGCCTGCACCCTATTCCCATCTTCAACTTTGCATTTAGATGCAAGTCTCCATTTCTGCAGAGTGCATCAAGGGACGTGGTGAAACTGCCCACCCTAATGTCTCATCAACAGAAAGCTGGAGACCGAAACTGCCGATTTCGCCATGCCAGGGAGCAAATCATCCTCAACTCAGGTCAGTTTAGCCACTCCTTGCACCGTGGCATTTTCGATCTAGAGTTTGTCGAGGCTAAGGCAGTTGCAGAGCCCGTGGTGTGTTTTGTGTGCCGTTCTTGCTTGTTCGTGTCTTGTTTTTGGGCTATGCACACGCACATGTTTGCACACCGGCCTTTGCTTTTGAATGCAACATCAATAATATAGTGAACACATGATGATACGTTCCAGCACTCAACACAATACTAGAGTACAACTCGCAACACTGCTGACAATCTATTCTAGGAAACTGTGTATATGTACGCACGCGTGCACGTGAGCACGTGCACACGCATGTTCTGGCCTCGCTGGCTCGACCCTCCAGGCGAGCTGCGAGGATGTGTGCGAGCGGCATATCGACCCCAACTTCCCCACGGGCGAGGCGCACTCAAATTGTCTCAGCGCGGAGCCTTCGTTTTGGGGCTCCACAGAAACACCCGACTGACTTGCATGGAACGTGCCAGATATGGCCCTTAGAGTCGTCCCAACCAGGACCCCTGCAGTCCGGTTCCATGTTGGTGGGTGGGAGAGTAAGAGTTGACCTACGTTCGTACCCACGTAAGGGTAGAACCACGACAACCACGTCAGGTTCAAACTGGGGCTGCGTCTTCTTATGGCATAGTTATAAGCTACTTAGTGGGCTGAATGCCCAACTAAGCCACCTCAAGAGAATTCGGGAAGATGCCGAATTTCAATTTGGACACTGTTCGGTCTTGGAGGGCTGTTTTAGAGGTGTGTGTGTGTGTGTGTATAGGTGATCCGCTTGGAAGGATGATTCTGGATACCAGAGTGCGTCCTTTGTCAATGCAAAATCCACCATTGATAAGACCGTGTTTGCTCCAATGTACCACGGAAGGGTTTGCACCCATACACCCATATGCATATTATGTGCATAATGTATATATATATATATATATTTGTACATATACACATATATATATATATGTATATATATATACATATATATATATATATACATACATAAACACACATATATATATATATATATATATATACATGCATAAACACATACATATATACATATATATATATATACATACATACATATACATATATATATATATACACACATATGCATGTACATATTAATGGTTGGTTTAATGTTGAGTGGGTTTCAACTCCGAGCTTGGAGCTTGAGACTCACCTGGTTGGTGAAGCCGGGGGTGAGCAGATGATGGTGAAGGTGTATGCAGTCTTGTGAATTCTTTGGCAGGAACAACTCACATGCTTCTCTTCGTTATGCAAATACCGTAGTCCTCGAGTTCCAGAGCCATGCGATACCGCAAGAACATGAAGCCGAACCACCGAACTCAGAACGTTGAGAGTACTGATGCACTTCATGCATGTATGTCTTGTTGTTTCTATACTGTTGGGCGGTACCTTCAAGCCTCTGATTCAGCCAAGCCCCGAAACGGGTGCGAGAACACCGAAGGGTCCAAGTCTGCGAGGATGCACTTTGACCCTATGTTTGACGCCAGTCCATCACTAGGTACCAGGGGACTCTCCGGGAATTCCTGAGTTCACGTGTTTTGCTCCTGGCATTTTGCACGTTCTGGCTGACAAGCTGCGCAGGCTGTGAAGGCTGGGGTTGGGCCCTTAGCCTCCCGGGACATGGTTGATAGATCCTTCCGTGGGGCCTCCGAATAGGTATCAAGACCAAACATGATGTTAACAGTGCCCATGAACAGAAGCTGGCAAAAAAGTGCTTTCTTTTCGGTGCGCGGTGAAAGGGCATTTTCATCATTAAGGCTGACGATGATCCCACCCCGATCAACATCCGGCACGCCCTACTTAAATGCGAGGTCAGCACTGCCTGTTCAAATCAATTCTGGATGAATCACGCACAGTGATTCCATTTACCGATTTACCCGTATAGTGGGTAACCAAGAGAACCACCCTTGAGGGACCACATGGAAACTTGCTGATTACCCACCATGAAGAGAGACAGAGGTATGTATATATATATATATATGCATACAAATTCATTTGTGCGGACCGGGATCTACTGGAATACTTGCTGACTGTCATGAGACCTCCCCAGGAATCCAAATACTCAACAATGGCTGGTGGGCAAAAGTCCCGATGTGACCGATGTTAACAAAAGGCTCCCGTATTTCAATCTATTTCAATCATACCCATCCTCCTGGTACGCTCGGGTGTCCACAAGACAAGTGACTTGAGGACAGACAGAAGGAATGCGTCAGATCTAGGGACCTCTCCAACCTCCAACTGATGTAGGTTTCTTGCTTGTTTTCTTTTTTTCGCCACGAGGACGCCCAATGGTGTTTTTGTCAGATGGTGCCGATGCATACGATATCACCTGATAAAAGCCAGCACCCACTATTGGTTATATCCTGGTGCGCTTTGAAATCGGAGCGTCCAACAACAGTGACTGAGTTGCCCAAACACCCCACGGTCGGTTCAGTTTGAATTAGCAGCTTAACCTGTTCTTCCAGGCGCTTCGGACAAGTGAAGCCGTTTTGCGGAAACAGCATGAACAAAAATTCATGTGGCGCCGAATTATTCCCATCGGGTAGTCCTCTTTAGACGACTTGATTGGAACAAGTGTAAGGATTTCCACCTAACTTGGTTTGATTTACTCTTGGTAATGCCGATGTGTTCCGCCAAACAGGTGGGTGTGTATTTTGTTGATCAAGGATTAGTCCCTTTTCGGGCGTGTTTTGAAGGGAAACCATTGAGGCAAACTGAATCCCATGTTCCCGTTTGGGCATTTGAGTTTTGGACATCGTTGAGGGGAATTGTGTCCATCAACCACTTTTAGGGCTCCCCATTGAAGTTCATACTTCAGTGCTCGGCCAGACCGGTAGATAAAGTAGTAAGTATCTACCCACTCAGATTGCAATCTACAAACAACACGCTTAAACTAACGCCACTTGAGCAGCGTCGAAAGCCAATTGGCCACTTTAGTGTGGTTCTACTACCTGATTCAAAGCGGCTATGGTAGCCCCATATAAAACAATAGCTGCGTCCTTGCTCACAGGGGACCTATGAGGAGGTTGTAACCTGCCTCAATCTTCCGATGAGCGTTATTTTCTGCTCGTGCAGATTACCGCGCGTTTATCTGAAAAGCGCTCGGTTCAAGAAAAAGCGCTCGGATGCGGATATCGGAAAAGAAGAAACTGTTCAGCGTGTGGGCTCAGTCTTTCTGCTACTCATGTGCAAGATTTGCAGCGGGCGCCGAACGTGGCAAAACTAGCACTTTTTGAAGTGCGCTCGTGTGGCGGGAAATTGCGCTTTTGTAGCGGGAATGTGCGCTCGTTGTGCGGCCTGGCCCGTTTCATCCAGGAAAGCTGCTGCTCGGTTCAAAACATTGACCGCATTGCGCAACGTGTTCTCCAACGGAGCCTCAATTCCTTTGCGAAGCAGCCTTCCAGTTGGCTGAGTTAACGCTCGAAGACTAAATAGCGCTCGTTTGCCCAAAAAATGCTCGAAAGCACAAAAAGCGTATGAAATAGCAGCTTGAGCAGAAAATAACGCTCGTTGGAAGATACAGGTGGGTTACACTATAGACTTATTTTGTTCCCCGGCCCCCGGCCACACCGGCCACCGGCCACCGGCCACCGGCCCCCGGCCGGCCACCGGCCACGCCCGGCCGGCTTCCAGCCACCGGCCACCCACCAGCCACGCCCGGCCGGCTTCCAGCCACCGGCCACCGGCCACGACAAAATTCGTCTACCCCGCCCTGGGTTAACAGCAAAATTACTAACTTGGCCGAACCGGGGCTGAAAGGAGAAAGTGGGTTGTTGTGTAGAAGCCAACGGGAAAAGCACGAGTTTTGGGGGGGTCCTCCAATTTAACGCATGCGATGTTGGGACGTCATGAGGTCACCACCTTCCTGATGCGTCTCATCGCCGCAGAGCCCCGGGTCCGCGCCTTCGTGCGCAAGGAGCTCTCTGCTGATGTAAGTAGAACCCGTCCTTTTGGGGAGGAACACTCCCTACAAAAGTGACGATTCCCCAGTACACCCCACCAATCAACCAGAAGTTTACTAATCCTGGGTCAACAGTCATCGTTTGGATCGCTTCGCTCACCGTGTTTGGTTGCCATTCAGCTGGGTACACCCAGTCGTCCACTGCTGGCGCCTTGTTCCCTTTGTGATGTGCTCCCTGGCTCCTTCCGTAGGTTGCCATAGAACGGGGCGAACGGGGCAAACTAGCTGGGGTCAAAAGTGACAACTGATATGTTCGAACGACTGGAAGGCGCACCCAGGATCGACTTTCAAAGAGCCCAACAGCAAGGATGGAACAAGCAACTGAAGCTTGGCGACGGCTCAGCGGCGATGGAAGGAACCGAACACGAACAAACAGCTCTGTCAAAAGAACGTCAAGATGCCGGAGACTCTCACCAGGAATAAGGCAAAGAAGCTGGACATGGACAGCCAAAATGGTGCTGAGCGTGGCAGATGCCACATCGCTTGGCCGATGACTTTGACCTTCTCGGCTGAGAGTTTCAACCTTCAACACGCCGCATCCGCACATTTGTCAATGCGCACGCGGCAAGTAATGTACTCAGTGCAAATGCAGCTCAATTGTTCACAGCAAGTTTAGCCGAAGTGACTCAAGCTTGATGGATAGTTTCGTCCAGCTTTCAAAAGCGGATGTTTGAAAGAATGAAGGGAATCGATGTATGCTGCTTCATGCATGTCATTCCTGCCAAGCAAAGCGTGCTGATGCGCGGGTTCCGAGGCTCACAGCCGCACCATGCAGCTCAAGCGTGTTCACAGGGATTCCTTGAAATGTCGTCTTTGCTTTTGGATTGAAGGCATGGCCAGGGTTCCTTGGCATGATGCAGACATGTGTTCAACTTTGCAATTCGGCAACACCATTTCCAGTGCGTGATTGGATCAGTTTGGTAGTTGTTAATTGCCACGATTCAGGGAACCCCAACCGGGTTCTAAGAAATAACTTTCAGCTTGCACTTATCAAGCCGTTACCTCAGTACGTGTGACACCTCAGTGCCCGGCAGACACCAGGCGCCCAACGGGTGCCATCAATGGCTAAATGTCTTATTGGCTGGCCTCGCAAATCGTGCAGACCCTTTGAAACGAAACCTTCTGATTCATGGCGTGTCTGACTTGGGAGGTTTCTTGGAGACAGGATACCTCCTTTTCGACGTCAAGTCCATTGTGGGTGGGTACACTTCTTCTTGGGGCTTCCAAGGGCAAAGCCAACCAAGGGTTTCCCGAATACCGCTATTCCATCCTGCGAAAATCAAACAAGTTCATTTTGGGATAAATCAAGCCTATCCACGACGAACGCGCCTACCAATTTGCCCCGTAACTTTCACGTTGTTTCCAAGGATCCGTTTTTCTAGGGAACCACCACACCGTATGAGTTTCGTGTTTTGTCTCCTCAATGAAGTATGTAAATGGTACTGAACATATTTTGGAATTGTGCCCCACACCACAGTCGTGGAAGGCCGTGGAAGCTTTTCCGAAGGGTTGCTGCTGACACTGCAGTTGTTTCGACGAATGACCATAGTACCAACGGCTTTGCAAGCCGCGCTTGTTGAAGACACTGAGGCACGTGCTAAAGCGACTGTAGGGAACCCAACCAGAAGATTCCCGCGGAAGCGCCACGGAAGGGCGCGGACGGGGAGCCTGCCCTTTTCCACCACATGCCCACGCGTCTTGTTCTAAAAGCAGCGCTTTTTCCATGGGCTCAGGGCTTGGGCGGCTTGTGCTGGGCTGAAAAACACCTTACGGCCCACTGCTCGGGGTAGAGAATGCTCGTCAGCGAACAAGATTTGGCAGTGGCAACAACAGCAACAACAAGATGAAGAATGCTAGCGCCTGAAAGGGGGAAAAGGCTTGACTAAAGCTGTTGTGGCGGCACAACGTCTCAAAATGCTGCAGGCTGATGTCCGCGGAAGCTTGCAGAAGCGGCTTTCAATTTGTTTCGCTTTGCGGAAGCTACCCGTGGCCGCGGAAGCGCCCCGGAAGGGTTCGCAGAATTTGTTTAATGAATTGGACAAGAATACCCTTTTTTATGAACTGGCTCATATTTCATCAATCCTTCTTTCAAAAGACTGTGTTGTTCTCATCTTTTGACAAGAAGGATTGTTAAACAGCATGGGAAATCAGCCCTACCCCAGGGTAAAAGTAGATGGAGCAATTCCTTTACCCGGGTGGATATCAACTTGCGCTTGTCAGGAGTTCTGGAAGATCTGTACGATTTCAGCCAAAGTTACGGAGGCGTCCGCGCGGTGAAAGTCGCCGTGTGCGAACTTTGGGCCAAACTCGGGGGGGCACAGATGTTCCTCTTGAAAATCCCTTCAAGAGAAGCTTGAGCAAGGTACCCTCAAAAGGCGCCTTATCCTTAGCTTGGTTTAGACATCACCTGGGCCAGTGGAAGTGAGTTTCCCTCGGCGTGATGTTGAGAGTCTAGAGAGGATAGTATAGGGAACTCTGGCACTTCGCTTTCACTGGGAATCGATGTTGGGAGGGAGCAAGCATCGGAGCTTGCAGAGATCTGGATCCAGTCTCCTCAGCCTTATAACGAAGTATTGAATTGATTCCTTTTTGCAAATCGGGCAATGTACGCATGATTGCAGGATCATGGTCATTGCCCCCTGTTGTCATTTGGGGTTTCAACATACACACTGAAAATAATATTAATGATAATAGGGTTCTGGATGCACTCCGTGTTTTTTTTTTATGATGCAGGCCATGTGTCTGGAAGCACTTGTTCCGCCGTGGCGTGGTGAGGGCTAAGAATCCTATCAAGCCTATCCCGTGTACTTTTGTTGCGTTGGGTGGTTTACCGCAAGTCGCAATGTGACCTCTGGGGCCGCAGAACCCCAATCCGAGGGCAAGCCCCCAGCCAGTTTGGGGCTGCATATCCCCCTTTTGGTGTGTTCTTTAGATCAGCTGGGTCTAGTTTATACTGAGCCGGGGCGTTGTTCGGCAAGAAATTGTGGAAGCCCGGTTTTGTGTTCCTGTTGTAAATTGCTCTTGTTAACTATAGGCTTTTCTTTACAGGTTGGGCTTAACGTTTGGTTTTTCAGAATCCCCGCTGAGAGGGATTGGTCTCGAAACATCGGCCTGGAGGGTTTTTTCGGCCATTTTGGATGGCTACAGGTGCCGTTTCTGCTTTTTCCGCGGGGCTTTTCAGACCAATCCATGTGTCAAAAGGTGGTCCCCATCCAACTGGTTTAGTTGCTCCATGTTGGGCTGATGTCCTTTTGAAAAGAACATCTAATATTCACCAAAAGGGTCCAACTCATGTTGGCACACAGCCTTTATGGAAAATTTCCGGGTGCTCCGGCATCAAGTTTAAGATGTTGGCAGCGGGCCCACATAGTTAAGACTCATTTCAGCATGCGTTCGTGTCCGCTCCGAGAACCTTGCGGATCTCCATGGGAATGTTCCCAAAGTCTTTGTGCCTCTCACATTGGTTGCACTCCCCACTTTCGTCAACCATGCTGTGGATGGACCAAATTTCTGCACCGGTTGGGATGGATGAAACCCTATGCTGGGCAACGCCACCTAGCAACTGGTGCAGGAGTTTGTTCATAGGATGGTCATTCAGCACCGCGCAGTACAGCACTAGCTGTTGAAAGTTGCGTGCCGGAAAGCTCGGATCGCAGGCTGGTCGGGCGCTGGCAAAAGAAGCTGCCCACTCCTTCAAGCAGCGGCGCTCTCAGAGCCAACGGCCCCTTTTTTCTCATTTTTCCGTGCACCTCCAAGGGAGGCCATAAAGCTTCTCCTGGGTGGGGTCGCCCCCCCGATACCTATTTCCGGAGGTTGATGCACTTGGTGAGTGGGGCCGACTGTGTTTAAACAAACAGCATCCTCCAGGAATTCAATGAACTGCGCAGTCTGTTGGTGAAGGGTCTTATGTTCCCTGCAGAGCAACAGACACATTTCCCAATGCATCGATTCATCGCTTGAACTGCACAGCTGCGGATCTCTGCCGGTTTTGGGGACTCCAATGACACCAGGTGAAACATCTCCATTGCATACCCTGATCCCCCCACCCTCTGGGGTTCAGGCGGGATGGTAGCATCACCTGGCGGCCGCAAAGTCTCCAATTGGGATGAAGGTGGGTCAAGATGAGTAATTGGATGAGTTTTCAGGGCCCAAGATCAGTTTCATTTCGAGTGAGCGAAATGAACCGAGGGCAACCACAGTCCATCAAAGCCCTTCTCTTCCCAAATGGAAGGACAATCTTTACCGAGAATCATGAAAGCTGACAGGGCTTTGGAAGACTACGATCCTATTAAAAGCGCCTTCTGTCCACTTCCAGGACTGTTGGAAATAGGGTAGTGGGAAGCAACTGTGATCAAACTCAGATTGCTGTGTGCTTGTTTGCCGAAATTGCACCAGTCTGCTGGATTGTTTGGTTGTTGTTTTCCGGGGGGGGGGGGGTGAGGACATGTTTTTCCCCAGGACACGAGAAACAAGCCGCGCCCAAGTACCTTGCGAGGATGTACTTTGACCCGCTAAGTACATTCTCAGCAGGTATTTGGACCTGTTTGGCATGCAAGAAAGTCCCCTTTCAGTGTGGTGGACAGTGGACACCCAGGGTCTGTTTCGCAACTTCAGGGTGGCAGGCTTTAGGGTTTCCAATTGATCACCTCACCCCACCCCACCCCACCCAACCCAACCCGCTGAGGTCGTACAGAGCCTTCCATGTGACTTATCGCCCGGCCGGGGGGCCAATTCTCATTGGCTCTTGGGTCGCTGGGGGCGCATGCCTTCGGCATATTGCTGCTCACTATTCGTATGTGTGCGCGCGCGCGTGTGTGTGTGTGTGTGTGTGTCCATGTGTGTGTCCATGTGTGTGTCCATGTGTGTGTCCATGTGTGTGTCCATGTGTGTGTCCATGTGTGTGTGTGTGTGTGGTGTGTGTGTGTGTCCGTGTGGGTCCGTGTGTGTCCGTGTGTGTCCGTTTGTGTCCGTGCGTGTCCGTGCGTGTCCGTGCGTGTCCGTGCGTGTCCGTGTGTGTGTGTGTGCGCGTGTGCGTGTGCGTGTGCGTGTGCGTGTGCGTGTGCGTGTGCGCGTGCGTGTGCGTGTCCGTTTGTGTCCGTGCGTGTGCGTGTGCGTGTGTGTGTGTGTGTGTGTGTGTGAGAGTGTGGGTGTGTGTGAGTGTGTGGGTGTGTGTGTATATGCGTGTTGCTTGGTGGTTTCTGTTTGCTTTGGTTTGCGATTGTTGTTTGGGGTTGTCTTGTTGCTGTTTGTTTGTGTTGGTTTCGTGTGTTTGACTTTGTTTTGGTCGATGAGTCGATTTAGTATGTTTTTGTTTTGTTGTTCGGGCTTGTTCTGGTTTGTTTCGTTTGTGTGCTTTTGAGTGTTGCTTTGTTGCAGTTTCTTTGGCATCCTATATTTGGTGGGTTCCCTCTTGGGAAGTTGGTGAGGATGCAGTGCAGCGTACTCCTGTGTTCAGGAGAGCGTGCTTAATCACTTGTTGGCAACATCTCGGCCTTTTGCGAGGATCCTGATGCGTGTTTGATCCAAGCTGCTGCGAGGGAAGGATTCTCTGATAAAGTTATCACTTATATGACTCACTAATCCAGTTTTGACTCACTAGTAAAGTTAAATTGCACTTGGGGGGACGAATCAGTGGGTCCTAACCTAGAACACCAACAGCTAACATTCTAGCGTTGTTCATACCAGGGGCACCCCCAAAGCCTCCTTTGCAGCAAGGATGAAGGGAAGACCTGGGCTTTGTCCAACTTTAGAGCCTCCGGCTCAGTCCGCCGACATTCTCCTCTCCCTTTTCTCCTTCTTCCTCTCTCCCTTGTCTCCCTGGTGTGTTCTGTCGTCCTCTCTCCCTCCCTCCGCTCCCCATCCTCCCCATCCCCCCAAGCCACTCTCTCCCCAATCTCCCTCTCTCGTATGTATGTATGTATGTATGTATGTATATGTATGTATGTATGTATGTATGTATGTATGTATGTATGTATGTATGTATGTATGTATGTATGTATGTATGTATGTATGTATGTATGTATGTATGTATGTATGTATGTATGTATGTATGTATGTATGTATGTATGTATGTATGTATGTATGTATGTATGTATGTATGTATGTATGTATGTATGTATGTATGTATGTATGTATGTATGTATGTATGTATGTATGTATGTATGTATGTATGTATGTATGTATGTATGTATGTATGTATGTATGTATGTATGTATGTATGTATGTATGTATGTAATGTAATGTAATGTATGTATGTAATGTAATGTAATGTAATGTGTAATGTAATGTATAATGTAATGTAATGTATGTATGTATGTAATGTATGTATGTATGTATGTATGTATGTATGTATGTATGTATGTATGTATGTATGTATGTATGTATGTATGTATGTATGTATGTATGTAATGTATGTATGTATGTATGTATGTATGTATGTATGTATGTATGTATGTATGTAATGTAATGTAATGTAATGTAATGTAATGTAATGTAATGTAATGTAATGTATGTATGTATGTATGTATGTAGGTAGGTAGGTAGGTATGTATGTATGCATGCCTGCATGTATGTATGTATGTATGTAATGCATGTATGCATGTATGCAATGTAATGTAATGTAATGTATGTAATGTATGTAATGTATGTAATGTATGTAATGTATGTAATGTATGTATGTAATGTAAAGTAAAGTAAAGTAATGTAATGTAATGTAAAGTGATGTAATATAGTATATGTATGTAATGCGATGTAATTTAAAGTAATGTAATGTGATGTTGTGTAATGTAATGTATGTATGTATCCTTGCACTTCCCCTTTGCTCCCCAGTATTTCCCGCAAAAAAACACTGTTTTTCCAGCGTTTTCGCAAAGATGATGTCCAAAAACACAGAGTTTTTCCAGATTTTCGGCAAAAGGATGCAGGAAGCCCAAGCCAGCAAAAAAGCCGGCAGGGGGAATCGAGCCTGGGACCCCTGTTTTGCGACACCGGGTCCCCGAAGACTACGTTTAGTGGAACGTCATCAAATTGCCGCGCGGTCCTTGGGGGGGGGGGCCCCCCACGTATCAGACGTCGGGTGGGGGGGGGGTTAGGGGGGGGTTATCCTCTATCCTCTCTTAGGTGTCCGACACGCCAAGCGATGTCGCGGATATGTTTCAAGGGGCGTCACCGATACAGTACCTATCCATGAACGACAGCCTTTATTTGCAGAAGACTGCCTTGAAGGCCGGGCAGAAACATTGTTTGGGAAACATACTGAATTAGGTGCACAATGAGGTAGGAACACCCGCAAAGCGAGGTAGGGCCAAGACATCAAGGTGGTTGAGATCTGGATCATGAGAAGCCGCGAAGCTTGAAACTTTGGCCCGGTAGAACTTGCCTGTCATATCCCAGTTGCTCATTGACCTTCCGATTTTATGGTGGTCGACGCAACGCACCAGAAGGCGAAACAGGGTGCCACTAAACAACATATACATATATATATATATATATATGAAGTGGGTGTGGCTCAAATTTAAAAAGCTAGGGTTGCGCAGGTTTTAGTCGTTGTTTCCATTTACCAAGGTGCCAATTATGGTACCTCTTTTTGAGCCACAGCCATATGTATCGCCGTTTTTTGCTACAGATGTTTTGTCATTTCTGAATTCACATTCCGCGGGCGGAGTCCTGCCACCAAGTGTCCACTTTGGCCGCAACGCGTTCGACTGGCGTCATGCTGCTATGGCGCCCCAGAAATGTGACCTAAACACGACACAGGGTGGGCCTTAGGCAAGCTCACTGATTCAGAGACAAAACGAGCTTGCCAAGGTCCGTACGTGTGTTGGGTATCCCTACTTTCAGTTGTTGATTCTTCAAGCCATTTGCAGATGGGGCGGGGGCCCTCGTGGAGTCCCGCAAGATTGCGCTGCAACTGCACACCCAGAGTTCTTGTTTTGGTGAGAGGTGCTCTTCAAGATCAACTGGCCTATCTGCTGAACCAAACTTGGAATACTTGGAGTCTGCTTGCGACGGCCTGCCATTTTGTTTCTTCCTCTGGCGACTTAAAATAATTGAAGCCACGCCAGAGCCATTTGTGCGGGTGAAACTTTGCGAGTCGGCGAATTTCTTCAGGGGTCCCCCGGGTTCTTCTCGGATTAGAATTAGAAGGAATGAGAATGAGACACTGAATAAGCCTATATGTAGTTATTCTGGTAGAACTGAATTCAAATGGTCCGGACACTTATGTCTCAACTGCTGGATAGTGCATATTCAGGGGGGCATCTTACAGGTGTAGCCTGATTTGGACCATTGAGTGAGTATCCAAGGCTCTCTTCAAGTCGATTTCTGGACTTGATCTATTTGGGAACATCGCTTTGTTCTTTGGTTTAGACAAGCGGGTAAACGTTTTGCCTACACCTTCTCGGTGAGAGACTCCGAGGCTTTTCTCGTGTCTTCCGTTCCGGAAGGCTGTTCCGTTCTGGAAAGCTTTCCGAGGTGGGCATGTTCGGTGTGACGAGCGACCTTTTTCTGGAGATGCAACAGCTCCAGCGAAAGGCCGGCTTCCGATTGGGGCCACATATTGGGCCCCAGCAGGGCTGGGCCAAGTCGGTGACGCACGGACCATGGTTCCCTTTCCAGGGAGACAACAGCGGTCTGGGAGGCATGATCTGCCAACGAACAGGAGGCTTTTTTTCAGCACATGCGGTCTTCTCCCTGACCAGGGTCAACCCGTTAGACCCTTGTTGCCATTGGAATAGTGTAAAGCTCCAGCATCCATCAGTCGAGTGGACAACAGGCCGAACAGAATGGACATCCCTTTGAGTCGGCGAGCTCTGAACAGGAGCACGCAGGGCCCAAACCTTGAGTTCTACTTGAGCCACAATCAAACCCGGGTAGATGAAGGTTAGTAAGGGATAATCCCAACCATAAATGGGTGCAACCGCCTTTTTGATTTGCTATATATCATGGTTCTGGGTAGACCATTTTAATACCGGGTTTTGATTATGATACACCTGTGCATCACAAGCAACATCATGCAACAGGGAACTTCCAGAACTGCAATGCATGTCTCACTGAGCAGTTTGCACTAGCTTCTTACAAGCGAGGGTGTCCAACTAGTTTATGCCCATTCCACTTTTCTAGTTGGGTATCAACACGAGCTGAACGCAAACCCTTTGCTTTGGGTTGTCTCTCTGTTGCCATAGGCACAGCAAAACCCGCTTTTGACGGTTTGTTTTTCTTTTTTTCTCTGGGCTTTGGCTGCACACCTTTGACTGAAGCTTTTGGATATGGCATTCTGGCACCAGGGCCCGTCAGAGAAAGATGGGGAGAATTCTGGCAGAACACAAAATAGGTTTTGCCGTTGAGTCAAAATCCAGGTGATTGGTTTCCTTTGCGTTTCCCTTGAAAGCCACAAAGAGGGGGCCCGATGTTGAGCCACACCACCTACATATAAGGAAGCCTTCCGGGTTGCTCGGGGGTTCTGCCAAGGCTTCGACTAGGGGCTTCCTTATCGGCTGTGAATTCTGGCAATTTTCCCTGTCTAATTTATGGTGGGGCCATGTGAGCTTGACAAATCATAGACGAACCTGGCAAACTGAGTGACGTGCAGTAACAGTTCACGGCCAGCCCTTTCCCTTTACTTCTTGGATTCGTGTTGGACTCACTATTTGTTTGCGACAACAACTCCCTTTTCACGGTTCTTGCCTTGCGGTTGCTGTTGTATGCTGCTCGGCTGAATGCGGAAGCAACTCGGGCCTTCTTTGCCGACATCACCCACTCATTTACAGCCTGTTGATTGTCTGCTCGGAATCATTTGTTTCCATGATTGAATGGAAGTTGCTCGGTATTGATGCCCAACGAATTGAATCGCAGCCTCATTGAAAACAGGGTAGTTCAATCGTCTGTTTGAAGCATCTACATCAGAGGAAATTCCCTTTGCATAGGGATTGGGAAGTGATTTAAGCTGGAGCGTCACATCGTATTGCGCCTGCACTTGTGGGGGGGGCAACCACCTATGCAAAATCTGGGAACATCACAAGCCGCCAAGCATCTCTCAGGTATATCCGAAACCAGAGCCTCAGATGCTGTTTGGCCGAGGGATGTTGCGAATGAAGCAGCGATCACCTTGCGTTCGCCAGTTGTTTCCAGTGTCAAACCCGGATTTACAAACCTGGTTGACTAATGTGAACGTTCCCCTGTAAAATCAGAAACCCCTCCCCCTACAATCAACCCAGAGTCGCTTCGCAAAGATGAGGCCCCCTTTTCGGGATCCCCTTCCGTGTACTGTATTTTACCCTTGGAGGGTGTTGTCATGTCGTCAACCCCGCCTATGCCGACTCTGCGCTGCATGTTGGTCCAAAGGACAATAGTACATGAGGTCCTTAGCCTAAGAGTGAGTCCTGGCCTCAGGGATTCATCAACATCGAGTACTCCTTGATCAACGCGCGCTGTGGGGATGGGACGTGACAAGTGTTGCCCATAGAGCGGGCCAATGGCCATTTTGGGTCCAACAGAGTTTTGGCAACATGCATGTTTACCGCAGACCTGCGGGAGAAAAAAATGCATTGACATGAGTTTGCCTATTTTGTGGCAAGCTCACCTGGAGGTAAATCAAGCCTGCTAGGATGTAGGTCCTTTGCTTTGGTGTCCCTTATTGGTGGTTTTGGATTTCTTGCAGAATACGCCGATGAGCTGGTTGTCAAATCGTTGCGCTGAACGGCAGTGGTGACATCCTTTCGGGTCCAACAACTGGTCCACTGGTTCACATTTGTTCCGACAGCTGTGGTCCTGAGGTAGGATGACCCAAACTAGACCAGCCCGACCCAGTTCCTATAGGGTGCTTTTCTTAGCCGCGATGCAAATCTCACGTAAAGGAACCGTAGAAAATGTTGTGAAAAATGGGGGCCCCTGTCAATTAACGTTTATAGAAATTTAGGTGCGAATACAATTCTCAGATTCGACCATCTTTTGGTCCCAGTTCCCTTATTTTGCCACTGGCACAATTCTAATATTGCTTCAGGACCATGGTAAGGAGAGGTCCTCAATGGTTTTTGGTCCATACTAGTCACAAATCACTATTCGGCAGCAATGGTTCCCTGGGCTATGGCTCTGAACAAGTGTATGAGCGGTTCTTTTCATTATCTACATTCCACGTTTGTTAGCTTTGAACATTGCAATGAGCATTCCAACTGTTGTACGGTGCTTGTTTGGGGGAAGATAGGGGGAACATAGGGAATCCATACCCAACACGGCTTCAGGTTACAACCTGGGGGCCTGTTTGGTGTGACCTGTGCCTTCAGACGAGAGTCGGGAGTCGGGAGTCGGGACCCTTGACATCGCGCTTGGAGAATTTCTTGGCCGCGCGGTGTGGACCTTGAGCATTTCCGATCAAGGACCCTTCCTCGGAAGAATCTTGGGCCTCAGGGCCCTGAGGGTCGGGTGGAACCCAAAATGGAGGGGTCCTTTCTCCAAAAGGACAGTCCCCTACAAACACTCTGGAGGAGTTGGGATATTTCGATCTATCCTACAAGCCCCAAAGAACAGCTGATTTGAGATCTTTGGTCAAAGGTTCATTTAATTCTCTATGGTCGTGGGTCCCTATGGAAGGGCCTTGTTTCGCACAATCTGAGGTTTTCCTCCCCCCTCAATGGTCCAATCGCTCGCAGGGAGTTGACCGGGATGGAAAAACCAAAGTCGCCGGGCTCGCCCAGCACGGGCGGGGGGCAATTGGACTTTTCCAGCGGTTGAAGCATGTAGCATGTTTTGTTGTCAGACTTCACTTGCCTTCCCTTTTGCCCTTTTGGGTTTCCTTCGTGTTTGCTTGCAAACAGCCACTTGCTTAACTTTTTGCATGGAGTCAGAGTCGATTGGCCTCTGCGCCTGGATACACCCCGAAAGTGTGCAACTGGAGCAGTGTAATGGAGCAGGGAGTAGAGAGGTTCGTCAAATTGCTCTTCTCATAGGGGTTGATGTTGCTATGCTTTTCAACCTTGGCTCTCCGACTCCAATCTATGATATCTCAGACACCCAGCGGGTTGCCTCTTGTTTCCCTTCTTTAAGACAAAAGGGTGTCCCGGTTGAAGCTGTCAATTTTCGGCGGGCACGCGGGGTTCACCAAGTTTCCCACAAACAGCACGGGGACCCACTAAATGTCCCATGTTCATTTCACTCCCATGTTCATTGACCCGCTAAATGCGTTTGTGGGGTGTTGGCTTTGAGGGCTACCTTGAGACAGAAACGACCAGGCTTGGACAATGCTTGATTAGCAAACATAAATTGGCCCCGGAACCTAAATGCTGATGTTCAATCACGCGCGGATTGGGCCAACCCCCGCCTGGCAACCCTTTTGAGGTTCCCCCGTTGAGTACTTGGGGGTATTTGCCCCCTGCCCCCGCGAGAGACACAAAATGGAGACTCTGCTCTTTAATGTGCAAATGGGCTGGACCCCCCAATCGATCAACCAGGGGCTTGTAAATTCTGGGTTCCCAGTATCGAGGCAGCCTTGTTTGCGTGTTGCCTCGTCACAGTTAGACTCGAGTGTCCACAAACCCACCGACTTGTTGGTTCCACCAAGAAAAGCAGACATGTGTTTTTTTGGGGCCTTACCATGATCCCTGGGCAATGCGTTCTTTGTTCTGTACATGCTTGCTTGGCACGACTGACCTTCATTGATATCACCCGTCGCCCAAGGGCTAGGCCGTTTGGCGAAGTTAAAAAGCTCATAGCCCCGTTTCGTGGGGGGGTGTGACCCAGGTAGCCAACCACTTGTTGACTTGCCCGGTCCAATAGGACCAGGAAGCAGGAAGCTTTTCGGGTCGCGGGGCCTGGAAGGACTGCAGAAGGTTTTCGGATCTTCAGGAAACCACAAGGACACCCACCAGTTTGAGCGCCCTCTCTTCCTCTCTTTGGCAAAAGTACCGACAGTGGGGGAGGGCAGGGCAGCTGCATTATATAAGAAATGCTTTGCCCCAAAGCACACCCCATGTGCTTCTTGCCAGGGTGTCATCGTTGCAACTCACCTGACTGTTGCACACCTGAATGGAGAGAGGGACATGCCAGCCAGAATCTCATGGCGCAAAACCTCGCAGCTCCAGCTTTGTTGGCCAGTTGACCGGATTTCTTTTGGAGGTGCTGAAGTCCCATCCCAAGCGCCGAGGGTGACGGGGGGGGGGGCTTCTGGGTAACAAGTTCGAATGACCCCGCACTGAACTATCCAACTGGTGGTTTGCCGGAGTTGGCCAGGTTCATTCCCAAACCCCGAAATTGATTTTCTGGGAACCAGCAAATTTGGGACGGAACCCCTGGTGCCACCTCCATTCTTCCCGAAATCCGAAGGAACCTCCCTACTGAGAACCAGCAAGTGTCCTCCTGAGGTTATTCCTTGCCACAGTGTCCAGGACATTATTAGGCCGGGGCGTCGGTCACCGGTTCTCTTTGGAAAGCACCCCCCTTGGTCTTGCTGGAGGAAAATATACAGGAAAATTACCAGACAGCCATCAACAGCGATGAGTTCATTGATTTTCTGCTTAGCTTGAAAGGGAAACCAAAGGGAAATCGGCCCCACTTTGGGGGATGCCTGGATCGTCCAAACTTTGCAGTTCTCGTGACAAGCTGCTTTTTCAGACAAGCGGCACTTTCTCTACGTGTCCACTTTTCATTCGTTTGCCCTTGTGGGACATCCGACCAAACGGCGACATTCCCCGTCCCCGACCATGTGTCCAGCCAAATGTTGAACGCAAGTTTGCAGTGTTTTTTCTTGACCAAAGGACTGTTATTTGTGCTTGTTCGGCGAACGGCGGGAACAATGCAATGAGGGGTTGTTTTTTCTCTGGTCTGGGTCTCTGGCTGGCTGGCTGGCTGGCTAGCTGGTTGGTTGGTTGGTGGGTGGGTTGGTTGGTCACTCGCTCGCTCGCTCGCTCGCTCGCTCGGTTGGTTGGTTGGTTGGTGGGTTGGCCGCATCCCCCGCATCCCCAGAAGCCTCACTTGGAACTAGGGCCTCGGGTTTGGCTTTGATTCGGTGTCAGTTGGGAGTTGCTCGGGGCTGCTTTCATTGTGGTGGTTTTTGGCTGGCTTAGATCTTGCTGAGGGTGGGCATTGGGTTGATTTGGGGTTCATTTAGGCTCAGTACAGGGCGGGCATCCAGGATGCTGTTGGGTGGGGCCAACGCTGACCTTGGTGGGTTTGGGCTAGTTTTGGGGGTTTGGGGCAACCTCTACCGGAACAATTCACACCTGGAAGATTCAGCTTGGAGACAACCTCAAGCTAAGCGACAAAAGGTTGTTGGGTCGCAGCGCGGGAACAATTCGGCGTGTAATGTTGCTCACTGCTCACACGCGCTCTATCTAGTTTTGACGGCAACCTGTGTGTTTGGAAGCCATCAGCCTTTGGTTTTTGGGCAACTTTCTAAACAGAAGAAACGCCATGGTGACAGTAGGGAGGGTGGGCGAACTAGCCCTGCATCCCTCTGTACTCGTACTCGTAGCTAGCATTGGCTAAATTGATCGACTCGTGCCCAAAGAGGTTGCCCGTGTTACCCTTTGAGTTTTCTGGGGAGACGAAAAGAGCATACTCATTTTGGATTCTTTCCCTATTTAGAGACAAACCCTGTTGGCGTGCGATTTTGGCTCGTCGATAGGACAAATCGAGCCCACACGCATGTCAGCCCCAAACTAAGAGACTATCCATCCAAGCAGAGGGGAGCTATCACGTGAACCGTCTCCGTGTTGTCTTCAAATGTGGGACCCAAAACCGGTGGTTTGCATGGTGTTTGCTTTCAAAACAACCCTGAAAAGGGTGCCCTCAAAACAGACACCCAAGTAGAACACATGTTTTCCTAGAGTTACAATTTTGTCGATACCTGTAAATGACATGATCCTGAAAGCACAAGTGGCTTGCCAACAAGTCAGTGTCTCAGCTGCAAACGCACCTCCCTTTTTGCATGGGGTAGGGGTTTTTCAAAGAAGGCGCTTGGAGGCTTCAGAATGCTTGTGTCTTCTTTGTCATTACCACCCCGACTTCACCAGGCTAAGGTACGTGAACTTGCGCTCACCAACCCTCAAACTCCGAAGAAGGATTCGACTTGGGGGTGCGAACGAGAATTGGGGGCTCTTTGCGTTGCCATCTTTTAGCGGCCTGCCTTTTTAAGGTTCCATGTTGGTGGGTGGGAGATGTTGTCACCCCCAATATGCATTTGGGTGTGTGCAACAAAAGCGGGCACACCCCAAACAACAAGCAATAATAACCTCCCCAGTGAACGGTTTGTTTTCTTGAGTCCCCTCTAGGAGGGATATGGGGGGAATTCACTGAATCCAGGGGGCGAGCCCTGGTCCCATGTCCGCTTGGGGAATGCGAACTTTTGACGGTACCTCAGTTGCTCCCAGGACAAAGCAACGCCTCACGGCGCACTTTCCAAAGCGTGCAAAGTCGGGCACTGAGAAGGCCATGAGGCCTGTCGCCCGACAAAGGGCCTTTGATGGATGATTCCTGGAGGCAATACTAAGGTGAAGACCCAACTAAGTAGAACTTCTCTGTCAAGGGGGTGTTTGGCTCTGTCAGCTTTGAGTAATAGTCATCCGGAAAGTATATTTTGCACCTGCCTCTGTGTTTTTTCCCATGTTTCCAATATGTTTCCGACTTGTTTGGTTTTGTTTGGATCGATTTGGTTGGGTTTCTTTCTTTGGCTGTTTTTGGTCTTACGTGCCTTCTCTGACCTGGTACCGTCCTTGACACCCCGTGCTGAACAACGCTCAGCGCTTGCCCGGGCTCGGGAAGGCTCAGGTGCACTGTGGGAAGTTTGTTTTTGGGCGTGATAAGGGAATCCCCGTGATAAAGTGGCCACAGGCTCAGGAACCCCTCTGCATCGCAGAATGTGTTATCTTTCACATGTGCGCTTCGTGCCAAGTCCTCACCAAAGTATGCCCAGTGATGCGGAATCCATCAGCCACTGGAATCGCTGTGAGGACCGGGGCGGCTCTGGGTGCGAGGGGTCGTTTGACAGGTTCGAGAATGTGCATGATCGAAAGTTGTTTTTCTTGTTTTTCCGCCGGGGTGTTCCAAGGGCTCTTATCGGCTACGGCTACCCAACCGGTAACCGGTTTACAGGTTCCTACGGAAACACGCACCCCATCAGGGGGTTGATTTTAACGCGATTGACTGTGTTCCAAGATTCGAGACCCCGATGGCTGATTTACCTGTGCAATCCTTCAAGCACCAGCCGAGAAAGGATCGCCGAATTTAGGACACTTCCATATTTCCGTATACATTCTCCTTTCGCGAGGCTTAAACAGCACCTGTTGCCCCTGTCAATCGAGTTAGCATTCACGGGTGTCATGCTGAAATGGGGAATGGACAAAACATGAAAGAAGAGTTGTTAGCCTCTTTGCCCAGTGCTGTGCTCAAGCTAAAGTGGGAATCATAGAGGGTTATTCAATGTTTGGTTATGTTTGGCCCATGATAGGTGGGATTGGGGGTTTCGTGCAAAAGGAGATGATCCCCAAGCCGTTGATTTGCGACGTTGCAACGACTCCAGGAGTTGATCCCCAAGCTAGAAGCTGCGGCGCGGCTGCGGGAGGCGGTGGTTGGGTTGCTCCGAGTCATTTGAGATGAGTGTTGCGGAAGATACTGCGGACGGATACAAAATCCCTAGGCAGTTGGGATGGATGAGACTCAATTTGAATATTGGGAGCCACCCCAAATTTGTCCACAGGGTTTTAGGTTGCCAATTTTCCGTGAAAAAGCCAAGGGAAGCGTTTCACTTTTGGTCGAAGTAGTTGCCGGGATGAGCATCGACCACCGAAAGACACGACATAAATTCCGGGGACTTTCCACACCCAATGGAGTCTGATGTACCTTTATCGACCTTGTATGTTTGTGAGTGAAAAAATGGCTGTCCAACAATTCCCCGCCAGAACTCGCCAACCTCCCGGGTGGTTTGCTTCACATTTAAATCTGTTCTGGCTGCGCCAGGCGGGTATCCGACGGGCTGGCGCAGGCGGAGACACAAAGGCCAAGGCGCTAGGGACTGGGAGCGAAGGTCGACGGATTCGATTCCTTTGTTTGGGGAATGTGTATGTGTGTTTTGATAAGGGTACGGTTTTTATTTGGGGACCCAGTGCTGGACTTCATTTCAAGGACTTGAGGGGACAGGGCACCCTTTCTTGGGTGGTTTCAAAGGGAAACCATAGGCAACACAGCTCGATTTTCAGGGTCCACCCCTATTTGGCACATAGTGAAACATCCCCTTGTTGCCTGATGTTTATCAGGAGGAATGTAGGTAACCCGGTGGTGTCGAACTACAGTAGAACCTGGTGAATTATTTGAAGGGGGCAACTACCCCAACATAAAGGATGCCTTGAAATGTGACACTTTACGTATTCACCCACTGGAGGTTCATAGTACTGGGCATGCCGCATTCTCGCTTACATGCAACACCCCCCCGGATCAAACTCAACCACGTGTCCATTCATCCTGGGTTTCCAAATGTTTCCAGTGCAGATGGGCAACTGACACATTTATGCGTTAATTGGGCCAATTCCTCGGTGTTTTCTCCCAGTTCTTCATACGAGGGTTTCATGCATCCCAGTTGGCGCAGGACGTAAAAAACCAGGGCCACCCGGGGTGTAGAATAGACAAGTGGCGCCGGGGGCCACATGTTTTTGCCCCAAGGGCAAAAAAACATGTCCGGTGGATGGTCCCGACCCAAAGCATTTGCCCAGCTCCCTTGTTTTCTTTTCAAGGGGGGGGTTCCCTTCAATTAAAAACAAGTTCCTGAAAACCCTTTTCCTCACTGCAAGTCGTGGTATCTTTCATGCGGCTACATTGGCTCAGTTGAGCCACAGTTAATACTCGAAACAAGGTTAGTCGGGCCCTCTTTTGGCAGACTCTTGTCATACTGGGTGTATTTCCCTCAAGAGCCATGGTGATAGAACCCCTTCGGGCAGACCTCTTGGGTAGAGCCCTTCAGCATTTTGATTTTGACTCATTTGGAGTGTAATAGGACAAAGAAAATCGGTGAACAATTCGGTTTGATTTCCTCTGAAGCCATCCCCTTGGCTCGGGCTACGGAAAATCGACATATGAGGCACGCAACTCGATGCGGATCGCCAGGTCACCGCCTCTTTCGCGCCCGGGCGCCAAAGAAACGTCGAAGCGAAAAAGGGGGAAGCAGATCGGTCCCCGGTGTCCTTTCGGGAAAGAGATTCATGAAGTCCACAGAAGTTGAAAAAAACAAACAGAAAGTGTAATTACCTGGACGCATCTTGTTCTTGGAGATCAATATTTCTGAGACTTAGCTTACCTTGTCCACTTTGTGACCTTGTTGTTTCTTCATGTTCCCTTTTTAGCAAGTTATACAGCATGCAGGCCCAGTCTCCTGGTGAGAACCATACGCAAACCATATTTGAATCCATGAACCAAATTGATCCACAGGACGCCAGATCGATTCTTCTCTTGCATTGAGTTCTTCCTTGGATTTATTTGTGCCCCTGCATAAATGAGGTTTTCTAGAATGAAGGAGTCCGAAAAAATGAGGTGAGTTCATCAAGTGAGACTGTTGTATTCCTACATTCACTTACTTAAGTATACTTGGTAGACAACTAAGATTTGGTCGACCACAATCTTGCCCTGCGATCCGCTTTCTTTCTTGGTAGTGCCTTACTTCAGGCTGGTAAGTTATCATGCCCAGAGGGCTCAAGTAGCGTTCTGAGGATAAAAGGGGGTCAGTGTACAAGGCGCCTGGAACCTCGTGATACTTTACTTCACCCAGATGTGAGTGGTTCATTTAAACCCCTATCAGCAACCGTTGGTGCGGGCTGAGTCCAACCTGTATTTGTGAGGCATTTGCTTCGGCCTGGTGACCATTTGCCTTGACTGTTTGCTCGAGAAAATCAAGGGATGAACAACAACTGTTGGCCCAACCCCCCAAACTCCCCAACACGAGGTGTTTGGCAGCACCGACGTGTTTCTCTTCAATTGACCGCAATGTGTTTATCTTCACATCTTCAGCTGACCATGCACACTCTTTGGGCCCTGGTGCCGACTGGCGACATGTCTTGGCTGTACCTTCCGCGTGGGGAAACTGTTGATTCCGCCCCCAGACAGGATCTCCATGTGCTTGTTTCTCAATGGTCGCTCCTTCAAGTGGTTGGTTTCCTTGTGTTTTCCTCTACCACCCAACAGGGGAGCCCAATTTGAGAAACTTCCAGCACCTGAAAGGGGGAAGAATTTGTGCAGCCCTTGATTCGTTGCCTCAACCCTTGTTGAGTGAGACAAGGCAACACTAACCCGCCAAAACATCGATTCGTGTGCGGGGATTTCGGGACTTGACACTCTGTTGCTTCACTGTTGTTTGCATGATGTCTTTTCTTTCGGTTGTTTGGTCTGTTCATTTTCAGTAGGGGGCTGCAACACAACACAGTTTGTTGCTACCATACCAAGATTTGGTCAGATCCCCATTGTGGGCCCTCAAACTGGGGCCCTGCGATCATCATGCTTGCCTATTTCTGGGGGTTATCAAAGTCATATTGTTTGGTAGTTTCCGTTTAGCTGCTTTGGGGGGTGACTTCGATCAGGACAAAAGAATGAGAGCCGGTCAAAATGGGTTGGCAAGCTTCAAACGAGCAGCTCCGACGACGAGTTCACGCTGCAGGGCCGCCACCATGAACTTGGATGCGGACGCCCTCACGCAGTTCATGGTGTGCGCGGCCCAGAGATTTCAAGGGACATGCCACCAGCAGAATTTGTGACCCGAAAGGGGTTCTGCCGAAGGGGTCCTGGGATGGTAGACATGTGGGATGGTAGACATGAGGGTACCCCATTTTGCTTGGGTTGAAAGGAAAACCCAAAGGGGGTCCCCTAAAAAAGACACATGATCATTCTTTGGTGCAAGCTGGAACCTATTCATTAGATCCCGTTTAGGGTCGCTGGAGTACTATCTTGTACCTATTTGGGGTGGGCCGTGTCCTGTCCTCAAATTTATGTTGAGAGTTTAGATTGAATGTGGCTCGATGACTGTCAAGCACAAGCCTCGTGCTTTGAATATACATGCATAATACATACATATGTATATATATATATACATAGAGTGTAGACATATACGTGCATACATCCCATCCCATCCCATCCCATCCCATCCCATCCTATCCCATCCCATCCCATCCCATCCCATCCCATCCCATCCCATGCTTACTGGAATTGTCTTGTTTGATCTTGTTTGGTTGCTTATGTCCGTCGGGCTCACAATCAAGCCCAAGGGCCCCATCTGCAGCCGCCTTGTCGACTAGTCAGCATGGGCAAAATGTGGCGCATCCTAAATCGCCCATCCAGGTCACCAGAAGAGCAGGCAACCAGCCATGTTCCTTTCAGTTTTCAAAGGGTTGTGCACTGGTTTGCCTACTATTGCTACTACTGCTGCTGCTGCTGCTGCTGCTGCTGCTGCTGCTACTACTACTATACACACAGACGGGTATATGGAGTCACTGGGTAGGGGGTGGCGCCGTGGAATGTCCAAACGCGTCCGACCAGAGATACGCTTCGCATCGAACGCCTGGGAGGGGGATGTCTTTCTCTTGGGCGTGTCGCAGATTTGGGTAAAAAAGTTGCACCCAAGCTGTTCACTGTTTCCTTTTGGAGCCCGGACACCCCGAGTCCGTTTGGGAACCCACCAAGCACCTCGAGAGGCCCTTCCTCCCTGAGTTCCGGGACATACGCGTTGCGACGAGCATTTCAGTGCGCCAAAAGTGAGGGGACGGTTTGGGGCTGATCCACTCGATCCCAAGGGCCCCAAGAAAAACCGATTCAGGGCGGATCCCATCTTCGAGAAGCTCTCCCAGATGTACTGCGTCAGCATGGCCTGGCCGCCAAATGGGAGCCGGGATACGAGCGAAACCCCCAAGAAAACCTGTCCTATTATATGTCCGGCAGGAAGTCCTATATATATATATTTAGATGCTTGAGTCAGTTGAGCTACCTTGGGTTGTTTGGGGTCACGGGTGTTATTCTATATTTGAAGGTTGGCTTATGAATTAAATCTGAAACAACGTCTGTGTCTTGTGGGGTAGCCAGGGTTAAACCCACTTAGAGGGGCTTACCCGTGGTGGCATTTTCTTTGGGGTACTAACGACTTGCAAAGTTGGCCCAACGCCCAAGTGGGCAGTCAGAGCCACTTCCTCGAAGCTGATGTGGGTATTGCTACCCATATCCACCCCTCTAGTTAGTACATGGTGTTGGGTGGGGGCCTTTGCCAGCTTGTTTTGACTGAGGCAAAGGAAGCCAGCCCTGACCAAAGTGCAGTTTGTTTCTTTTGCCTTGAGGTGACGGACTGCTTTTGTTGATATGCTTTGGGCGTTTTTGCATCGCCTGTCGCTAGAAAAGCATGTCCACCGGCATCAAGGTAAAGGGCCCTCCGAAAAGGAGGGTTGCTTCTTTTGTTTGACGGACCATGATTGCCGAGCCGCAATGTGCAAAATCGCAACGTTGAACGGGTGGACAGCGTGACAGCCTTTCTAGCGGTTTGCAGCTACGGCTTATATCCGCTTACAAGCCCAGGATACGCTATTTGTTCCATGGCTTAGTTGTTGACACTTTCCAAGGTCAGAACGATGTATATAACAGTGTAGAGCCACCAACAGTGAAGAACCACTATCAATAAAGCCACATCCATGGCCCCCCTCACAGTAATGTACTTGCAAATATGCGGTTTCGCCCCTTGTCGACCAACAATTAGAGAAACCAACACCTAAGACGTAGAACCACTTTGTGGGGGACTTTCAGTCCAAGCGGTGGGAAAATAAAAGGGTGCAACTTTGACGCCTTTGAGAAAGCGTGCCTCGGGCCAATCGCCCAGCTCATGAATGGTTGGAACTTGCCACCAAGTTGGCAGCCTCCCCGCACTCCCTGGGTTCCTGGACTTTACCCTTTTTGGGAAAGACATGGAAGACCAATCATTTTGCGTAAATACCAGACATAGATTCTTTAATTGTGTTTGGCCAATCCACGCAGGAAGTGAGTGCTTGAGCTTCCTTCCTGTTCACTGGAGAGCCTTGAATTGTCATTTACCGTGTCCTTCCCGTTGACATAGGCCAAACACAGCAGAGCCACCCGCCCCTATGGAACAGCGCAGGCTTCCAGTGAGGTCAGACAACAGCACAGTTCCAGTGGAGGTCCCGTCTGTGCTCGACTCATTTGAGCAAAGGGCGGTTTCCGACCTTGCCCATGTTGATTTGCTCCGTTTATAGGGGTCCCGTATTTTTGATTATGAAATTATTGATTTGTTTTTAGTCATCCTTCCAGATGAGCATGATTTTAAGAAGGAGCCCCCTGCTTGGTGGACATGAGTCCCCATGAGGTCCATCAATGGATCCCCTCTCACAATCAGGTGATTCAGATAGGACAAGGTGCCTCGTACTTGCAACTACACCGATGGCGGATTGCCATATATCCGTCCGGCAGTCGCTGGATTGCGCGAAAGCAGGGAAGGTCAAGCCGCGCCATTCTCAGACACGAGCAATGTAGTGCACGCGTACGACGGCCGGACGACTCATTGTACTGATATTTGATCCGTGTACGTGCTGCTTGGAGGTCTGTACAATGGCCTTTACACAACCCTGTGGCATTGCGACACGCGCGGCCACCAGCGCTGCAGCGTGGGGTGCCTTGAGAGCCATTTTGGCTATTGTTTCTGTGCTGGTAGCGCTAGTTGTTTAATTTCCCCAAACGGACACCAAAAGGGGATGGATTCGGATAGTTGTTGGTAATGTGTTCCAGACCCCGTATTTAGCACCCAGCACCATTTGAATATTTGGCAAGGGCGCGCGGGTCAAGCTCTAAATGTCCCGCAAGAGCCAGGGAGGAGCTCTAAGTTTCCCACAGGAAGGGGACGAGCTGTAAATTAAGTTGCCATGTTCTCTCTTGTGAGTAACCAGCAGTTGGCACAGTGACTTGGAATCCCAACTTTCGCCCACCCATTTCCTGGAAACGTCTACGAACTGTGCCCATGGGTTGGGCATGCAAAGCTGTGGTTGCTCACTATAAGGGTTTGTCTGAGAACGGGGAAAAAACCCAAGATTGGTGCTTCCCCTTTAGTTTCCCCTGAGCCCAACCCGTTTTGGGGGGACCGGCACCCCGGGACACATTGGGTGCTGAGATCGAAAGCCATGAGCTGAACACCTTTGCGGTGATCGAGTCTGACTGGAACAAAGTCCGAAGGACAGGCGCCCGTTGGCCCGTGGCCTGGGCTCGTGTTGGGCTTCCCCTTCCATGGTGTTTCCTTGGGGGGTTCCACGTCACAGCTGACAAGGAAGAAAGGGCACTTCGGGAAAATGAGCCACCCCAAAGAAACCCTAGCATGTAATCCAGAAAGGGGGCTCCTCAAAAGGAGTTCCTCTAAACATGAGAGTTTGGGTGATTCCATGTCAATCTGCAGAGAAAGCAGCACTGACCCATCCAGGCACAACATTCTGAGGATAAAGCTAAATGTGTGTGTTCAAACATTGATACTTGATAATTCCCCCAAACTTCCTTTCAGCACGAAGGTGATCCGGTGATTGCGGGAAAGTCTCACCCTGGTGAAACTTGTGCATTTCTTCACACCTTTGATTGTTGTGATGGTTCTGCAGGGCAGGTTTGAGGCCGGGATTAAAGTGGGTTGAAACTGGGTTTAGCCTGGGTAGGTGCGTTCGCGTCCCAGGTCCATTAGGGAGTCGGGGGCAAAGATATAAGGTGCATGTGTTAATTGTGTTGCCCTCTTTCCCAAAATGATGCAAAGTGGACAGTGAGCATTCCCAAATGGACTTCCAAGCCGGTTTTGTCAATGCCAGTAGTTCAACCATTCGATGTTGTGTGTTTTTTACTCCTCTTTGGTTCTGGGCCCAGCATCTGGTTGATGCATGGGGGGGGGGGGGGGGAGATGTCCCATTTAAAAGGGTGTCCTTCACTTTTGGGGGGAGACATGCAGGTTACTCATTCCTTTATACCTTCTGGGGAGACGATGTGATGCGCAGTGATGCGAGGTGATGCGAGGTGATGCGAGGTGATGCGAGGTGATGCGAGGTGATGCGAGGTGATGCGAGGTGATGAATCAGATGAATCTAGACCTGCCAACAGTGGTTCAGCTCTTTACTTGCTCACGTGCAGCATCTACACAGTGCCGAGTTTGTGTTTTGGATGTTAAGCATCACCCTCTGGGCTACAGTTGATTGAGTTCCCCTTGGGGGTGATATATTTTTGGGGGCAAATATTCACGGATCCCTGTGTATGTTGGGGACATCAGAAAAAAAACAGCAAAACACCTGTGTCCAAGCACAAGCAGTGCAGGACTATCCTACGTCGAGTTCTTCAAGAGGAGTCTGGCACTGAGAGGGGCGCTTTTAAAGAAGGATCATGCTTGCGCAGCATCTCTTCCAAACTGGGCATGTCTTCAACGGATGGTCCATCCTGGGTGGTGTTATCCGGGTTCCCTTTAAAGCATCCAAAGTTGATGTCTGATTTTGCGACAGCCCATGTTTCGCCGTGTGTGTTTGTTTGACTTGGCCTTCGTGAGGCATTTGCTTCTTTCACAGTCGGCAAAGAGCGGCGTGAGGTGCAAGAACGATGTGCTACACATGGGTGTGGAGCAAACCCCTTTTAGTGGTTTCAAATGACAACCAAGGAGAACATGTCCTTTTTGAGGGTCCCCTAGAAAAGACATGCCCACATGCTTTTATCCAGTTTTTCAATCACCATGCCCTGTTTGATTTCGGAAAATTTGAGGGCCACGGCCATGACTCCATCACTGTAGAAGTGCAAGGAAACGTGCTGGGCAAAGCGAACACAGTTGACCCATCCAGGACCATTCATCAGTTGCTTCAGATTCCTGCGCGGTTCAAAGGGTGGTTTTGGCCCGGCTCATGAAGCAGTTTGGAGGAGTCATGTTCATGGCAACTGACAAAATAACTAGTCCATTATTCGTCTGGGGACATGGAGCCCACCCAAGGTCTCCAGAGAAACAAAGGGGGCCCACCGCAATGGTTCCATGTCAGGGAAACATGCAAGTTGTCCTTGGCTCATGCAGGCTGCGTAGATTTATTTGTGTTTCGACGTGTCACATGTCTTCCTTTCCTCTGTTTTTGTTCTGCTTATCCCGAGTTTGCGGTAAGCATCTCTGGATCCCTGGATCTTGTACTTGCGAAACGTATCTACGCCAGTCTGTAAAAATATGGAGGCTGATTTGCTATTCCATGCAATCCCGTCTTTATTCGACTTCATCCGGGTACGTGTTTTTGAGGCTGGAGGCAGGAAAGCAAGCCAGGACAAACTCCATCAATTTGTGCTGAATTGGCCGTGGCTCCAAAACATGTACCAAAATGGCACCTTGGTAAATTTAACCAAAGATTAAAACCAGCATAACCCCGGCTATTTAATTTTGAGCCATACCCAATTGTGTGTTTTGTTTTGTTTTGGAGGTCCCTGTTTGAACTCCCTGAACCCATACCTATTCGCAGTTTCTCCACCGCTCGTGGCGCGCATTGGCTTAGGCTCTACCCCATGGTCTGGGCAGAAGTTCAGGACGAGGGATGAAACTCCAGTTGGAAGTGCCCAAAGCGGGTCCATATTCGGCAATTTAGATGGTGTCTGATGGTTCAACTATCCGGATATTTTTTTCCCAAGGGTTTTGCTGGAGAATGGTCAACCACCTTGGAGGCTGAGATTTAGCTTGCTTGTTTTCCACGCAGAGCCATTCAGGAAGTGCCTAGCTGATTTGCTCAGCAAACTTCAGCCATGGCTGGGTTTAGACATGGCCATGTGCCCATGCGAATGAATATGTTGTGGAACTGGCATGCGGGGCATGAACATTGGTGGGTGTCCAATTTGTAGGTCAGTTTTCTTCCACGTACATGGCACTAGTTTTCTTTGGATTTTATTAGCTTCGGGTGCCATCCCGTTGTTCCACATCCTCAATTTAATTTATTAATGTAGTTGGGTCCTATCCCTAGGGTGGCTAGGAAGCTGATATATCAGCATTTTCCCTAAGCCTTCCGAAGCTGAACCGAAGAGACCCCTTGATTTTGATCGGAGATTCGAGCTGCGCTACTTTGCTGCGCCCCCCTAGCCTAGGGAACTCATAAGAGATTCGAATTGCTGTTTCTGAAAGTGCTGCGTCCCCCTAAACTTTCCGCAAACATGCTTCCCCAAGGTTTCCTAAGGCTTCCCTAGCGCTTCCCTAGGGCTTCCACTAAGGTTTCCAGCTTCCCCAACGCTTCCCTAAAACTTTCCCAAGGCTTCCCTAGGGGTCCCTTCCCAACCTAATTTGCAGGTTTGGGCGGTACTTCTTGTCCAATCAGCTTGTCACGGTTCTCCAAGAGCCTCGCTAGTGTTCCCGCAATGTGCAGGGCGAGTGTCAGGCCAAGCTTCCCCAAGGCTTCCGCAAGGCTTCCTAAGCCTCCCCTGCAAGAGAGGCCCTTTAAGCTAAAAGGGGGGCGAAAGGGGGGGGGTTACGGGCTCCACAATTTTTGGAGGTTATCAAAGTTCCGACAGTCTCATGCTCGGGTCCCTTGATTTGCCGTTGGGGAGGCTGACGCTGCGAATGGGCCGGCAACTGTGCTAGACACATTTCGAATCTGTTCATGCTATATTTCGTGGTGCTCTTGTCGGGGTTGGATCAACAATGTGGAAACAACCCCGTAGCTTTCACGACAATCCTGCAGGATTACCTCACCAAGATGAGCAGCCAGGTCGTTTGCCAGGCAGTGCGCGAGAGGTGCGCAGCCGAGGGCCGACGGGGCGGGGAAAAGCCAGGGTGGTGGGTGCCTGGAACCCTCGACAAAAAACGGGCTGTGCCAAATTGGGAACCCAGGACATCACGTTACTTCTTTCTTGGGTGTGTTGAAAAAGCCCTGGCCTGAATATCAAGAAAGACGGGTGTATGCCCCCCAATTGTAACATGCTGCCTCTTGAACAAGGCTTCCCCAGTTCATCAACTCTAAACCAACTTTGCTTAGCCTCAGGCTCACTCGCATGGTGGACGTGCAGCCAGTGGTCGAGACAGACGTGAAGTTGGATGAAGCGGAGGAGAAAGTTAGGCATATGCGCCAGGACCGCCTGCTGATCGGGTTGGTTGAATGTGCGCAACCACGCCCTCTTCAAGGGAAGCCGAGAGGCGGTTGTTTATGCAGTTTTGAAGTTTGAACATGTTTGAACAAGGGTCATGGGTCAAACCGGGGGCAACCTACGTGAACCCACGTGAAGTCCACAGTGCAATAAGTTAAGCCTGTGTCTAGTAGGTTTTCTCATTCAGGTGGCTTACCACTTGGTCGAACATCCAAGCAAGTCACGCCCTGTGCTCGCAGGAGCAGGATGACGACACAGACATGCGGCGGAAGCGCGAGGACGTTTTCGACCTCGAAGTCGGGTACCCCTGATATCCCAGACCTTACGACCCGCCAGAAGTTTTCTTTGAGTCTCCATGTAAGCTGGCCAAAGCTCAGACCGCGAATTTCTGGGGACCTGCCTTGGCTTTACAGGGGAAGCCGAAAGGAGCTCGCCCAACAACAAGGACCAAAATTGTTGGCAACACCCAACTGCCTGGTTTTCCTTAATGTGCAAGTTGTTGAAGGCAATCAATCGGGGGATCCGGATTCTCATAAACGGGGTCCACCTTGCACCAATGGACAATGTGTAGCACCCTAGACCTCTTTGTTAGAACCCTTTTAGGGCCGCCCATTTCAAGGTGCCCAATCTACGTGCAGAGAGGAACGGACTTGCAAATTGATGAGTACACATCTCAGCTGGACGGATGGACAATCCACAAGCCATTTGCGTGGCTGAATACCGAGTCCTTACTTAGTTGTCCAATGCCGATGTTGACCCATTGGTTCCCATGTTGGTTCATGTGCAGACAAGATCCCAGGCGATCTTGTTTTCCAGGTCGCTGTAGAAGACAGTAAATCCAACTTGCAGCACTGTCGGGCATACCAGATGGGGATAAGTTACAGGGCTTAGCCTGGGATTACTATTCACTGGCCATTGTGTGGTAAGAATTTGCAGCTGGACAAGCGATTCAATTCCCCGGTTTGCAAAGCAATGCCGGCTTTGCGCGTCTGAATTGGGTCTGGATAATCTTATAATCAGCCCTCGAGGTAGAACGAGCTTGCCCATGATTCAGGACCAGTGGGTGCGTGAGGGTTTAACCAGGTTGAATTGCCCAATCTCCCCCCCCCCCCCCCGGTCGACTTCGCAGGACCCGGCCTGGCTGCAAGAGCGCAGGGCGCGGAAGAAGGGCCTTTGCTCCATCTTGGTGGTGCTTCCCGAGGCGCGGGCGGGTCTTGCCAGCGGTGGGCGTCAATGTAGCGAGTGCGTGAATGGGCTGGGCTGGGAGAGGGAGGACAGGAGGAGGAGGAAGGGCTAGCCCCAAAGCCAGCTTGGAGTTTGCAGTCACCCTAGTTTCCTCGCCTTCACGAGCGTATGAGTTTGCAATGTTCAATCCAAGTACTGGGGCAGTCAACATGGATCCCCTTTCGGCTTATCCTACGAAGTGGGCAAATGAGAGCAACTTCGCCAAGCGGGCAAGGTCCATGACGCCTATTGCTTGCCACCGAAAAGCACCACCTATTACTTTCCTATCACTCGCATTCCCGTTGCCTATTGCGGGCTTGACGAAGCAGGGGTGCTCCTACCACGGCAAGATGGACAAATCAGCTTCCATTGGCTTCCATGGCCAAAATGGCGGACACCAAGATGCAAGCTTGTTCTTGGTGACAAGAGATTGTCAAAGCAGTCCATTAGGAACTGATCCGCAATGAAGGTTCCTTGGGTAGGTTGGTGAAACATATTACTTTGGGTTGATCTTTTTGGCGACCCTAGTGGATATGGGAAAGTGGGCTCCGTCCCCCATATTTTCCAAAATGGATAGACAAGTCAGCTCCAGGGCCCAAACCTTATTAGTTGGTCTTTGGGGGTAAAACACCCCATGGTCTTGGGTGCAGAGATTTTCACCGAGCCGAACGTGGCGATGAGTTTGACGGCACCCGAAAATGACCTCTCTGACTCCTTTTCGCGTGACTTGTGCGTGTGATGTCAGGGTTCCCTTAGGTTCTTTAAACATCACCCAACCAGCAGAGGATTTCATCTTGCCCATCTGGCTGTGGGTCAAAACCAATTGGTACCATTTTGGGATAGGTGCACCACCCATTTTAGTCGATTTTAGTGGGGATTGGGATCTTCACTGGGGGTACGATTTGGCTTTTGACCCATGGCCATGTGATCTTAACCTACCGCATGTCCGAGGTGGGGGAAACCTGCATCGTGGGCTTCGTGAATGCCTTTGGCCGTGAGACCCAGCGAACCTGACCGGGAGATTCAGAACTCATTCCCCGAGTTCTTGGGCTTTATATACTTGGGAAGAGCATCTTGATGAAAAACAAAAAGGCGGGCTGTGGAATGGCACAGGCATCATGATTGCGTCTTTTCGCCCAAAATCGGTGAGCATCCTTAGGCCTAAAGGGGAACCCGCAAAAAAGGCGCACCTAAAGCATGAGGGTAACGTTGTGAGGGAAAGCCGAAGCGAAACCCACCCATTTTGGAGGTTGTTTGAACATCAGCTTTTGGGGTTATCTGGATGCAAACACCCCCTCATGGCTTTCCCGCAAAGCAAGACCCCCAAAGAGCTGCCGTATTGACCGCTTAGTTTTTTTGTGGCACTCAGAGCGAAGTGTTAGCGGAGAGGCGAGATCCTACGGAAATCATAAATCAGATGTGTGGTCTTCCAAAGAAAGACGACACCAACAGTGGATTTGGTTTTTGTTTTTGTTCTTGCCGGACCCTCCTAAATGCATTGAAGAGAGGGCGTAATTGTGCCTGTTTCATAGGATTTAGGTTTACCAAGGTACTATCTGTTCACTGTGTGAGTCTATCGTTTTTTGAGCTGCTTTATTTTTCCAAAGGGGACACCAGCAGAAATACCACCGTTTGCTTTTTGTTGAAGTAGAAGTTCACTAAAAACACCCGGGTAACATTTCTGGAAGGTCCCTGATTCTTTGAACCGAAGGATTCTTAGCCGGGTGCATAGCCGGAGTCCAATGTCGTGCGTGGTTGCTGTTGGTCATGGCTTGCGGCGTCGTGTTGCAGCATCCTCAAATTTGCCTGACATAGCGGCTAATTGACGTGTTGTTCCGCACAAATCCTGAATGTCCTCTTGTAGGCCCAGAAATGAGTTGTCAGATTACGTGTCTTAGGGTTGTGTATTACACCCAGCCTTGAGAATCGCCTGACATGTAATTGTCCGGTGAGCGTAAAGTAAACCCAGGGTGAAACACGCAAATCCTCAGAACCTGCTGCTCATGCCAGAAACAGACCGCTAGACAACGTTCGCTTCGCACAGCATCATCTTTAAGCCTTATTGGGAGCCTACCGTTTCCTTGAACAACTCCAAATGTTTGCTCAGACCTGGTCTCGGAACACCTGCCCAAGCCCAAAGCGAGTGAGGACACCAGACCTTGCCGCACCCTCCTTGTCCATTCTGCTCACGGATCATTGTCCGAAAAATGGTCAAAAACCCTGGGAGCTGGTGGCGTCTGAAGAGAAGGATGGGTGAAGAGACTGCAGAAGCAGCCCTTAGAACAGAACATCCGGCCCCCGCCAATCGGGCAGTTTTTCCCGTGAAGTCCACCTGCTTTGCAGGTGGAGGAGGTAGTTACACTCGCGACTTCCGTTTGACATCAAAATGGTGCCTCCCAAATGCTTCTCTGCACAAAGAACGAGCTGAACTGGAGGTCAAGCGAGCTCAAGGTCCAGCTCCCTAGGATTCGCATTTCCGGAATTGCCGTAGTTGTCCTCGGTTTCTTTTTTGTTTCCGAAAATCAATGCGAAAAGGATGCCATCAAATAAAGACTCGGCCATTTGCTGAAGGCTTTCTCTGGAAATGGTCTGCTTTGGTGTGGTTTCAAAGGGAAATGGTCCCCAACCCCATGTTAATTTGGATTGCTTTCTTCAGGGGGATCCGAGGATCGGGGTTCCAGCTTGCACACCTGCGCAAGGACAGACGTCACACTCAAATGGTTTCATAGATTTCAACGGATTTCAAGAATGTGTTCAAGCTCCTAACTTAATGCATAGATGTCAGTATATGTTTCAAGTTCCCTGGTTCGAACTGTCTTGACCGTTTGACTCTGTGAACCTACCAGAAGCAAAGAACTCCGGAGTCTTTGCCTTTGTGCCGCGCACCGAGGTGACGCTATCGATTTGCGACAGCTCTTCAAACGTCGAAGCTGGCATGGATTGGCAAGAAAAAGAGCAGCACCGTAGCCGCGAAATCCCCTTATAACATCAATCAACTTAGTGTAGGGACTCAACACGTGATTTGTTGAGGCCTTTGGGATCCGTTCAAAAGCCATTCGAACTTGACAAAACCAGATCGAGGGGCTTGGGCTCAAAGGGAGCCACCCATTTCGATCTCGAGAGTTTCGGGTGAGCTCATGGAGATTTTGGGTGAGCGTAGGGACTTGATCTTTGTTTGGTCTTCGGAAGTAGAAGCTGTCTGGAGGGAGAATCAGTCAAGCATATGATCATTTGGCGAAATATCCCGCTCACCCCTTCTCATGATCAACGTTTGTTTCAACCATTGGTTTTTGTTGAACACCTGCCGTGTCCCCTGTGTTTGGGGATGGAGACATCGCAGTTAGCAATTGGTGGATTGACCTAAGCATTATTTGTTAATCAAAAAGTGTTATGTTAAATTATGATTAGTGGGTGGGTCTTTGCAAAAGGACAACCGAAGCCATCTTGCGGCGTCCAACCTAAAAACAGACACACCCGAATCGTTTATGGGGAAGCTCTCAGTTTCTCCTTTCCGAGAGACGTGCCAGGATGCCTGAGGCAGCCCTTGCCGGTCCAAAGTGTGAAGGGCAGTCGGGGCTCCAAGAATATGCTCCCTGAGTTTTTAGCGTGGTGACTTGGGACGACCATTCTTTTCCGTCTTTGTGTAGGGGACCCCCCCAAAAAAAAAATCACGATGGTTGTCCAGTTGGTTTCCATTTGAAACGATAAAAAAGGGGACTCTCCAAAATATCCCGACCCATTTGGGAGTGGCCCAAAATTCAAGAGCTAGGGTTATGCAGGTTTTAGTCGTTCCATTTGCCAAGGAGCCATTTCGGGCACCATCTTTTGAGCCACAGCCAAGGCTAGTGACTTGGGTGTGTCTGGTAAAAGGGTGGAGGGTCAAAATGGATTTGGGGTTTCCTTTTGGTTTCCCTTCAATACCACAAACAATAGGTACCCTCAAAAAGAGACACCCCCCACTTGTTGGGAAGACCATTTCAGTGGCAAAAGAAGTTTCAACTTAGTTTGGCCAGATCTGCAGGAAGTGAGAACATGTTTCTTGCGGGCCGGGTTGGGATTTTGTTGCTACAAAATGGGTGCCAACGAATCCAAACCAGTCAAGTCCCTTCCTAGGCCCCTTGGACGTGTTTTGTGATCACTTGCAGGGATTACAACAAGTTCCCAATTTTAAGCGGACTCCTAAACGTAACCATAGGCTTCATTTTAGGTGTCGTGCTGGGCAAACTGTAGCGACCTCGCATTGGGGCTTGCGACCAAGTTGACACATGAAGCTGCCTTGCCTGCAATTCCTTGGGGCATGCGAATTATTGGAATAGTAATGAGCCCAGAGAACGGATGCATTGGACATGTCACGCACCCACTCACCTATACGTGTGTTTCCTAAATTAGGATGTGAAGCCCTTTGCCTTACCTTCCCCTTTGAACACCATTCCAAAGTTGGTCCAGCCGTGTTTTGGGGCATATAATATGCAGAGGGTGCTTGACGTAGAACAGAAGCTATAGATGGTAATCAATTCATCAAAAGGAAACCGCGAGGTGATGGATGTTCCTTTTTTTTGTATTCCCAGCCCTCATGCAGGAGTGCTCGGGTCAGGTAGGTCACAGAGGAACATCGGGGCGCACAATCCCGAAGAAACCCTGTGTCGGATTGGCTGGTTGTGCTGTTCTGTGTGTGTTTCACTGTAGCAAACCAGGGCATCCATCCCCATTCAGACTAAATTCAGAGTGTTTGGAGAGGCTCGCTCCAAGCCTCAAAAGAGTGAAACAGTGCAAATCACTTAGGTTTTTTTGGTTCCCTTTACCATGGACCAAAGTTCTTCCCTTGTGCCGATCGGGTCCGATGGGAGCAACCCGTCAGCATGGTTGGTCAAGCCCCGCGAAAAAGCTGGCGACCCTTTGCATCGTGGCCCTGGACGAAATGAGCACAACAAGCTAAGTTTGCTTCGGATGGCTTGGATGTCTCTTTCAGAGGTCAGGTACTCCAGATACCCCCCTTGCAGCCACCCAAGTTGAGAGGCCTCTTCAGGCCCCCTGGAAGCTTCCAACCTAGAGGGTCTGGTAAGGATGGACTTGGGTCCAGGGGTCGAAGCACTTTCGCGAAAGCTCTGTGGCGGAAAGCTGGGCACAGGGTGCTGACTTTCCTGAATGGCAGGCCCGACAAGCCGCGGACTTCTTCATAGCTTTTTCTGCCTCCAGCGCGGTGACAGAAAGGGCACTGCGTGAGCTCAGCCGCCAAGAGACTTCGCAGAGAGCCCAAATGCTCAACAGCACGGAGGAGAACACTTTGTTGGCCAGGCAAGCGCCAACCGGAAATTATAATCGCTGTCCGGACGGAAGACAGTTTTGGGAATAACTGGCTTCCAAGAACAAATACTTGCCGTAGCTGTTGAAGGCTTGAATCAACGAGTTCGGCATTTCCATCAATCAGAAGCCGCCAAAGAGACGCCGAGACTATGGTCTAAGAAAGGACCCTGCAGTCCTAGAAGCGCTGCGAAAATCTCAAGGCGGAGGCTGCGCATTCTTTTGGCAGGGCTGCCTTCCTGGTTGTTTGTCGCCTGCTGATGATAGGTTGCTTTTGGTTCCCTTTACCATGAACATCCATGAACCAAAGTTCCACCCTTGTGCCGATCGGGTGTTGGAGCAACCCTGGAGCATTGCTCAAGCCCCGAAAAGCTGGGTGAACCCTTCGCATCGTGGCCCTGGACCCCGAAACCAAAGCACCCCGAATGAAATGAGCACAATATGCTAAGTTAGCTTCGGATGGCTTGGATGTGTCTTCCTTCCAGAGGTCAAGTACTCCAGATAACCCCTGCAGCCACCCAAGTTGAGGTCGAAGCACTTTCGCGAATCTCAGGCTACGAGTATGACAGAGAGATGATCGTGCTGCAGCATCGGGCCGGGGTGCTCAGAGCCTTTCTGATCATAAACACCCCGAGCAACCACATAAATCAGGAGACATCCTAGTGTGTTGTCACTGTAGCTTAGCCTTGTTTGCTTGAAGGGGCACCCAATTCAGCGGTTTCCTTTCGCTGCCTTTGCCAGCAAACCCCATAAAGTGCATCATCAAACACACACGCACACACACACACACACCCATTATATGCGCTTGTTTTCATGAGTTTGGCTTGGGTGTTCCGGCAATTTGATAACCTAGGTCGTAGCCCTCTTACAAGTACCTTGTCCAGTCTAGCGGTTAACTCTGTTGATAGCGGGCTACAAATTGTTTGTCACCCCACTTACTTGGCCGAACATCCAAGTGCTAGCTCACACTTTTGTGAACAAAGTCGCGGACCCACATGGAGCACTTGGCTGAACATCCTCCGGGGCCGCAGTGGCAGGGACCCGGTTTTGGATCCCTAGTGCCAAAACAACTCCCCGAAGGAGCTTCTACCAGGCAGTTGGGATGGATGAAACACTAGAAACCAACTAGCTGGTGCTGGATTTTGTCCATCTACAGTATCAGCTTCCATGGTGGGATGGAGTGTAGGCCCAATGTGCTCTGTTGCCGAAGGAAACCTTCAAGCAGATGCTGTGCAACTACAAGCCTGCGGTGGTGCGGCGCTCGAACTTTGAGTCGCCCAAAGGACCGAGCAGACAAGAGTGGAAAGGAGTCTTCAGGTATGGGTGTATGGGGGCTATATACCACATATAGTGCCTTATAAGCTTCTACTGGAGGTATTTTAGCATCCATACCTCCAAACCCCATACCTGGAAATGGCCCGTAGTGCCATGCCCCCAGAGGTTCTCAGAGCCCTTTCCCAGGGCTGGGGGAGCAACTCTGCCTCGACTCCCCTCATGGAACCTGAAGCGGGTCCGCCAAAAGATGCCTGTGCAAAAGAAAGTTCTTTGGGTTCCGCAAACCTCCCGTGAAGGCATTCGATGCGACTTTTAGTAGTTGCGCAGGTATCAACAGTGGATCAAGCAGAGGCCTTCTGGCACTTCACTCGCGCAAACCAAAAGGACTTTGCACGAAAAGCCATGATATGGGTGTGTCTGTTTTTTGGGGGAACCCCCCGAACTGGTTGGTTTTCCGTTTGGTGTCCCTTTAAATCCATTTAATAACGGGTACCCACAAAAAAGACACCCATGCGAGTCCATGAGATTTCGAGTCCCAACTCCTAAGCACTCCTCGACACCTTGCCAGTGATGTTCATACCTCAAATAAGGGGGACGGCCCCAAACAGGTAGCTAGGGCGCGCAAACAATCTGGGGGGAGTCGTTGGATGCCTTGTGCCCCCATGTGGATGAAGTCAAGCCGAGAGAGAATCAGCCATTTTGTGAGTCCCCCTAATTTACGAAACACCCGTGAATTTGCGAGACAACCAGTAAGCAAGATGTGTTTGTCCGCATTTTGCTGGCCAGTTTCCTTCCTATCCTGGGACCCCATCTTCTGTGAGGTCTTTGTGGGTTAAGAGTCAAAAGGCCCTGCAGTCAGGGTCTTTCGTCAGGGCCAATTCTGTGTCTGTGTTTGTTTCCGGTTCAATTGCAGACAATGCGTTTTTATTTGCTGGGTTTTGGGACTCTATATCTTGTTGGGAGGATCATCTCAAGGGCAAGCAACACGGTAATTTTTAAGCAAAATGTACTCAAGTGAGTTCCCTACCGATGAGTTCAGATACCTGGTTCCCTACCGCTGTTTTTCCGAGTTGTCGCTTTATTGTTTCGGTCGGAATATGGGTGCGGATAGGTCCTGCTTGCCGTGACGGACTCTGACATTCTCAGAATGAAGGCCCGGTTCGGAAGTTCGGAAGGGGAGGGATATGGCAGCTTCAACAAGACCAATCCCTCGAAGACTTCCATTTGCACCGAGCTTCCATGGAATCTGGAGGGTAAAATCATGATAACACATTCTGGCAAGAGGTATTTTGGTTTGCTCCACCAAAACATATTCACATTCTCCTGGGGAATGCAGTGTTCCCCACCCCATTCTAGTTGTTTGGACGCCGAGCCCAGGTGAACCCTCATGCCGCTGTGGACTAAACGAGTGAAGATATTGTTGAAGGTTCCCTTGGATTCCCTCCAAGGGATCCTTGACATTGCCTAAAACGCCCATGTAACCCCGAGAAAAAGGGTCTGTTGACCGTAATATGCATATGTATAGATCTTATATATAATATGATGTGTATATGTATATATATATATATATGTAAGATCCACCTTTTGTGCATGCAGACTGTTTCTGGGCGGTCGATGAGCGATGACTCTCACCTGGTGTCTTCTTCAAGGTGTTTGTCGAAGAACAACAAAACACCAATGTCTTCAATTATCCATGTGGGTTATACATATATATATATATATATATTTGTGAGACCCTCCAAAATGGTGGCTTTCCTATATTATGAGAATTAGAATAGGTGTGGGGTATCCGGGGGTTGCGTCAAGTCACGCTTAGGCAACGAAATGAAATTGCGGGGGGGGCGGGGTTGAGAACCATCAAGACTTCAAGCTGATCCTCGATGGGATCTGCACAATTTTGAACGAGGTCACCGTCACCTCAGGTTGTGTTGCTTTAGCCTGCCATGCCATATTAAGCAGGCTGACGCCTGATGCCGCCGACCCCCAATGTGCTTTTATTGTTGATGTTGTGTTAAATGTTGTTTTAAGAATTCGAGGTACGAGGTAAACATTATGATGATGATGATTATTATTTATTAATTGGCCAGATTCGCAAAAAGAGAAGAAAGAAGAAGACAGAAGTAACTCTAAGGTGCAATAAAAGATGGACTGGATCTCCTCGAAATCTTGGATCAAAGAAAAGAGTACCCGAATGAAGATCACCCAACATTAAAACAAGTGTCCAGATAAGATAGGCAACGAAAGAATCATCATCATCATCACCATCATCATCAGTGTCATCATCATCCTCATCAGCATCATCCTCACCATGCATCATCACCATCAGCATCATCATTCATCGGCATCAACATCATCATCACCATCACCACCATCATCATCATCATCATCCATCATCATCATCCATCATCATCATCATCGGCATCATCCCCATCATCATCATCATCATCATCATGACCATCATGATGATGATGATGAGGGGGATGATGCTGATCATGATGATGATGATGGATGATGATGGTGATGATCACGATGATGCTGATGAGAATGATGATGATGATGATGATGATGATGGTGATGGGTGATGATGATGATGATGATGATGATCAGCATCATCATCATCATCATCATCGTCCTCATCATTCATCGTGAACATCATCATCATCATCATCATCATCATCATCATCATCATTATGATCATCATCATCGTCATCATCAATATCATCATCATCATCATCATTATTATCAGCATGAGTATCATCATCAACATCGTCATCATCACCATCATCATCATCATCATTCTCACCAGCATCATCGTGATCATCACCATCATCATCGTTATCGTCATCATCCTCAGCATCATCATCAGCAGCATCATCATCATCATCAGCATGATTATCATCATCAACATCGTCATCATCACCATCATCATTATCATCGTGCATCATCATCATCATCATCAGCATCATCATAATCCTCATCATCCATCATCATCATCGGCATCATTATCACCATCATCATCATCGTCATCATCGGCACGATCATCATCATCGTCGCCAGCATCATCACCAGCATCATCATCATCATCAGCTTCATCACCATCATCGTCGTCGTCATCATCATCATCATTCATCATCATCATCATCATCGGCATCATCCCCATCATCATCATCATGATGAGCATCATCATCATCATCATCATCATCATCATCATCATCATCATCCATCACCATCATCATCATCGTCCTCATCATCATCATCATCATTATAATCATCAGCGTCATCATCATCGTCATCATCATCATCATCCATCATCATCATCATCATCGGCATCATCATCATCGGCATCATCCCCATCATCATCATCATCATCATCATCCATCATCATCATGATCATCGCCGTCATCATCCTCATCATCATCCTCATCATCAGCATCATCATCAGCATCATCATCATCGTCATCATCATCATCATCCTCATCATCCATGAGCATCATCATCATCAGCATCGCCATCATCATCATCGTCGTCATCATCATCATCATCATCATCATCCATATCATCATCATCATCCATCATCATCATCATCATCGCCGTCATCATCCTCATCACCATCCTCATCATCAGCATCATCATCCTCATCATCATCCTCATCATCAGCATCATCATCATCATCATCATCCTCATCATCATCATCATCATCCTCATCATCCATGAGCATCATCATCATCAGCATCGTCATCATCCATCGGCATCATCATCATCATCGGCATCATCATCATCGGCATCATCCCCATCAGCATCATCATCATCATCATCATCAGCACCATCATCATCATCATCATCATCATCATCATCATCATCATCATCATCATCATCATCATCATCATCATCATCATCATCATATCATCATTCATCCATCATCTTCATCGTCATCGTCATCATTGATCATCATCATCATCATCATCATCAGCACCATCATCATCATCATCATCATCATCATCATCATCATCATCATCATCATCATCATCATATCATCATTCATCCATCATCTTCATCGTCATCGTCATGATCATCATCATCATCATCATTATCATCATCATCATCATCATCATCATCAATCATCATCATTATCGCCTTCGTCATCATCAGAGTTAGAGGTTAAGGTTAGAGGTTAGGGTTAGAGGTTAGGGTTAGAGGTTAGGGTTAGAGGTTAGGGTTAGAGGTTAGGGTTAGAGGTTAGGGTTAGAGGTTAGGGTTAGGGTTAGAGGTTAGGGTTAGAGGTTAGGGTTAGAGGTTAGGGTTAGAGGTTAGGGTTAGAGGTTAGGGTTAGAGGTTAGGGTTAGAGGTTAGGGTTAGAGGTTAGGGTTAGAGGTTAGGGTTAGAGGTTAGGGTTAGAGGTTAGGGTTAGAGGTTAGGGTTAGAGGTTAGAGGTTAGGGTTAGAGGTTAGGGTTAGAGGTTAGGGTTAGAGGTTAGGGTTAGAGGTTAGGGTTAGAGGTTAGGGTTAGAGGTTAAGGTTGGAGCATCATCATCATCATCATCATCTTCATCATCATCATCATCATCATCATCCATCATCATCGTCATCCTCATCATCATCGGCATCATCATCATCATCATCATCATCATCATCATCAGCATCATCATCCATCATCATCATCATCATCATCATCGGTCATCATCATCATCATCATCATCATCATTATCATCCATCACCATCATCATCCATCACCATCATCATCCTCATCATCGTCATCATCCTCAGCAGCCATCATCATAATCATCAGCATCATCATCATCACCATCATCAACATCGTCATCATCACCATCATCATCATCATCGTGCATCATCATCATCATCATTATCATCCATCATCATCATCATCATCATCGTCATCATCATCATCCATCATCATCAGCATCATGATGATCATCATCATCATCATGATCACCATCATCACCACCATCATCATCATCATCACCCATCATCATCATCGTCATCATCATTATCATCATAATCATCAGTCATCATCATCATCACCACCATCGGCATCATCATCAGCATCATCATCATCATCATCAGCACCATCATCATCATCATCATAATCATCGTCATCATCATCATCGTCATCATCATCATCATTCATCATCATCATCACCACCACCACCATCATCATCATCACCCATCATCAGCATCATCATCATCATTCAGCATCAGCATCAGCATCATCATCATCATCATCATCATCATCATCATCATCATCATCATCATCATCATCATCATCATCATCATCATCATCATCATCCATCATCATCATCATCATTATCAATCATCATCATTATCAATCATCATCATCATCAGGGTTAGAGGTTAGGGTTAGAGGTTAGGGTTAGAGGTTAGGGTTAGAGGTTAGGGTTAGAGGTTAGAGGTTAGGGTTAGAGGTTAGGGTTAGAGGTGAGAGGTTAGGGTTAGAGGTTAGGGTTAGAGGTTAGAGGTTAGGGTTAGAGGTTAGGGTTAGAGGTTAGGGTTAGAGGTTAGGGTTAGAGGTTAGGGTTAGAGGTTAGGGTTAGAGGTTAGGGTTAGAGGTTAGGGTTAGAGGTTAGGGTTAGAGGTTAGGGTTAGAGGTTAGGGTTAGAGGTTAAGGTTAGAGGTTAGGGTTAGAGGTTAGAGTTAGAGGTTAGAGTTAGAGGTTAGAGTTAGAGGTTAGGCGTGTCAAAAATCCGCCGCGGGACCCCCCCTTCCCCCCTCAGACTCCCCTAACCACCACTTAGAACACGCCTCGCCCCTTTGCAGAGACTAACTTGGCTTTTGCAAAGGGGTCGGCGGATTCCGTGTAGCTTTGGGCAAACATGATATTGGATCACCTGCAATTAAAACGAGAACACCCATGATGAAGGTTCCTTGAGCTGCCTCCTGGGGTTGCTCTGGGAGGCTGTCCTGGGGCGGGCAACATCATGAGACAGCACATTGCGCTCGACCATGCTGAGTTTGACAACTCTGATTGACCTGCTTGCGCTGTGGCCTTTTTCATCCCCAGCTGCGGCGATCGCCCGGCACGAAGAAGCTGCAACGGAGCTCACGAGCATGTGTCAGTCCGCTGTCGAAACAGCAAAAGCTAGAAGTTGAAAAAGATCGGCAAGACACTCCTGCGGGCCTGCTGGGATCCCAGATGTACCATGACGACGAAGAAGCCATTTTGTCCCAAATGGCTCAGTTTGGGCCGTCCAACGCTGCTGTACGCTTCACCCCTCCTACGGCCACGTCTAACTGGCTTGCGACATGATCCGATCGCATTTCTCAACCAGGCTCACGAAAATCTCGCGCGCGGCGAAGAGGTGGAATTCCACTCTTTGTAGATTCCCATGGACCTCTCGCTTTGCATGGATGCAAGGCATGAGGCCTTGCCCGATATAGGGTTGGGTAGTTGCCCTGAGTTTGTAAAGAGTGTTGTCCACCCGGCATGGGCCCCGCCTGTAGTCTTGCACAGGGTTCTGGCTGTCATGAATACAGGTTCCGAGCATGGCTGACTACACAAACGCAAGAGAGGTTTGTGAATTGTAGGACCTTGCCCAGATTGCTGGGTCAACGTATTGTGAGTTTCTTAGACATCAAGTGTTTGCCTTCCTTTCAAGTTATTGTAGTGGAGGTTAATTAAACCCAAGGTTCCACAAGAAAGCATTGATTAGGTCTGGTAGCTTTTAAAGGAGTTGCCTGCAATATTGCTGTTTAGAACGTCATCCTCAGTGCGTAACCCTGTTCTCTTGTGAACATTGTGGGGGTGCCCGATTTTCTGTGGGCATGCGCCCATTCAACGAACGGCTTCTGTTTGGCTTGCCTGTTGAAGCCGCCCAAGCCAAACCCAACGCGAGGTCAATGTTGAGGACCTCATCGCCAAGGATCAAACAGTTCTAGTCGAAGCCCCAGGGAGGTTGGAGACTGCGTGCGATCGAAGGCCGAACAAGCGATTCCGTACCTGAACTTCTCCCAATAGAAGCCCCGGGGCAGGTATGTGTTTTCCCCAGAGCCCTCATTTATGGCACCTTGGATTCCAGGAGTTTGTGTTTGGACAGATTCCCACAATCTTCTCAGTTGAAGTGAAATTCTGCGCAAAGGCGGGCATGTGCACAGCAGATGACGACTGAACAGCTCAGAGGTTTGCAGTGTTTCTCAAGTCGGGATGAAGTGTACTGTAGCAGCGTGCAGGTCGGGGTTTTCTGTCAAACTGTCAAACATGGGGGCTGTAACCCATTTTAGCAGAGGGCCCTTGGCTTCCCCTTTGCAGGCCGCTCTAAAGTTATCTTTGATTTTCTGTTGCGGATTCTGCAAGTCTTAAACTCTGTAGCTACTTGTTGCCAATTATTGCGAGCAGCAGGCTTCACGCAGCATAATATGGTGGTGGTGTGTGTTTGATTTTCAATCATCAAGCTTGGCTGTGCTTACTTCGAGAAAGAGAGAGCACGCTGTGTTGAACCAACTCACTTCTCATTGCAACGGGGTATGACCATTGCAGTCTTGCGCTGTAAGCGGTCGGCATGCTTCGCTGTCTAGTCCCTTCAGTGGATGCATGTTGAATAAACTCTACCAAGGGTTGCTTGCTAATAATCCACCCCATGTTCTAGTTGCGCGCGCTCAAATATTTCTTCGTCTGCCAGCTATTGAGCGAGTGCGTTGACCAACGGCATCGTACAAAGCGACTGTTTTCCAGGCTGGCAGGATTGGAGGTGCAGCCGGCGCATTGGTTGAATCTCTTCCAAGGTATTCAACTAGTCATGGCAATGATCCATGTTGGTATCAGATATTTGTTTACATATACATGATATACATGTTCAAGTACGAGCCACACAAAACAACAGGGTCTGGGCTATTTTACTATTAGTGGTGTGTCTTTGGTTCTTTGGTTTTCCATTCAGGTTTTGTAACAAAACTGTTTTTTTGTTTGCTGATCGAGGATTGTGCTTGAGTGGAGTTCCTGCACATTTGTCCATTTGGTTTCGCATCCCCAAGACTCCTGGTTCGATCCTGGTTGGGTAGTTGAACGTCACCATGGTAGGCCATCTGAGTCGGAGCAAACAATGCCTTTTCGTTTTGCAAGGGGCTGTCCCTGAACTTGTTTCGCAAGCCCAAACCATTAATCCGATGCTGAGGGGAATCACGATACCCCCAGAAGGCATGAAGGCACGATTGGCTCGAATAGTCGTGGCTATGCCGAGGTTCCGGAGTGGGACACTTAAAGTGACAGGCTCGAACCGCTACTCAATCCGATACAGTAATCAGGCGATACATGCTCTCCAAATCCAACCAACTGCCCAGTAGCACGCTGTGTCTTTGGTTTGCTTTCTTCACGCCAACTCCTCGAGTTCCTCTTCCTGATGACGGAACCTGCTTTTGAAACGCCCGTGCACGGCTGCCTGCTGCCTGCTTTTCCGATGCGCGCTACGTGGCCACGTCAATGACCTATAGTGTGCTTAGCTCGTAGACCCCAAAGCAGTGTAAGCCGATGCTGCGGAAAAATACACGATACTATCCGATACTAGAGTATAAGGGTGCAAAAGGTTTCATACGGGGTTTGTATTTGAGCCCATCTGCGATTGAGCCTGCACAGATTGAACTGTTTGCTTGGTGCTTGAAGGGGCAGGGTTCTTAGTGAGTGGATAGCACGCTACCTGAACGGTGACTTGCAACCATGTGGTGGGTTATCACCGTTGTTACAAGCCTTTTGCAACGCATACCCTGCCTCAAGTGGAGTGATGTGAAAAGCCCAGATGCTCTCTCCAAGGCGCACTTCAAGGTGCTTCCAAGAGTGCACTTCGTGGACACCACGGTGTCGGGACCTTACACTTTAGCTGGCGACGGATTGGCCGGGGGGGGAGATGAAGAAATGGGACTGGTTGCATCCTCCCAAAAACAAAGACGGACCCTAAAGTGTCGTGAGAAGAAACAAGTACAAAGGCCTTTCCTTTCCATGCTCCATGTTTGTTTTAGGGATTGGTCCGGACCGTACCAATCAGGCGAGGATCCCCTGAATTAAGTGGGAAAATGATACATGTCAGAAAGATCCCTCTCATTTGTATGGCACTCCAGAACTGTCGCCCTTTTGTTGTGGCTGTGGCTATTCCCTTTGAGACAAAACCAGATACAAGATGTGGATTCCACCCTTTGCTCCAGCCAAGCGACTCCACCTGTTTTCCTTCTGTTCAGGCTCAGCTTTTTGTCAATGCTTGTTCCGCGGAGAATCACTGGGCTTCCGGCACCGACCCTCTAGAGCTGACGAACCATGTCCTGAATATGATTTGATAAATCACTCAACTCTGCTCAACTTCACTAAAAACCAGACGTGTTGCAGTTTGAGCCTGCTTTCTTGGTATGAGAGGAGGTTAGGTTCTCAATTACTACCGCGAGCTTTGTGGCTGGTCCCACGATCGAAATTCGGGACTAAGGCAGTCCGGAGAAATGCAAGCCCAGGTTGCGGCTGCATTTGCGGTTGAACTGTTGCTGGTTGCTGCTGCTTCTGCTGCCGCTCCCGCCGCCTCAGCTGCCGCTGTGGTTGTGGCTGTTGATGCTGCTCTCATGCCGGTGCTTCTGGTGGTTGCCTTGTCACTCGAATCAGCAGCTGGTTCAGCTTTAAGCGCCGCACTGCTGACGTATGGCATTGTTGTGCATGAAGAGACTCACTGCAGCAGTAGCTGCATGTTTGCAACCCTCACACAAATGCCGAAGATAGGGCCCAGAAGGCTGCCCTGGGAGTTCCTCGTTTGCTTATGATTCACTTATGGGTTTGAGCAGAAATGCAATCAACATGCCACGGTTTTTACAGGGCATTGCCGTCACATGTCTACCTTGGAGATGGTACCGACGCATCCCGCGTTCCGCCAACCGGTCCCTTCTGAGTAAAGGTAACATTTTAGAGGGGCTCTCAAAAGTACTTTGGGGTAAACCCGAATTTGCAACAATGCGCCGTGTTGTTAAAAGTTCAGCAATGAAAGGGTAGTTTAGAGGATGTCGCTTCAATGAAACCTGTCTGAGGCCCAGGGCCATTGCCTACAACAAGCGCCTCATGGAATCTCGTGGGCAGCCCAGTGCATGGGCACGAGGGGCACGTAGCGCTCAGCGGCTGCAGTGAGCCGTCAGACATGACTGGGCATGAAGAGTCGTGCATTGTGCATGCGCCATCCTGTGTTGAGGAACGGACATGGCATGTCTCGAGGAACGTTACGCATTTTGATGGGGTGCTATAGGTAGTCCATTCCTCCATTCGTCCGGTTGTCTGAAAAGGACGCAGAATGAGTTTATAGTCTCCCATTTTGCAAAAACCAAAGAAGGCCACCGATTGGGCTTTGGGTTTTGGGGGGGGGGGGGTGTTCAGCGTGATTCCGCGCTAGCGGGAGGGGGCTCCTAGGTCTGTGATTCAGCCTAGATAGGTTTACCCATGTCGTCCAAAGATTTGGCGATCTTGGGCATTTTGTGAATGGGGATGAACAGCCCTTCAATATTTTGCGAATCCTGATGTGAAGGTTTCGCCTTTCACCCTCCCCTTTCAATCATAAAGGGACCCCCAAAGTGCAGAAGTCTTTCGTGTGTCTTCAAACAAGATATGATGAGACAACCGGTGCTGACAACAACAATCACTTTCAGAAGCACCTTATGCGAAGGCTCCCTCACCATAGCACTGGCCGGTGCTCAAAGCAAAAAACTGTGTATTCCTTTTTGGACCTGCGTCAAAAAGACTTGCCAAAGGGCCCCGGCTCCGGCCCCTATGTTCACCCCCCAAAACATGAACGACTGGTGCTTGAAGAGCAGTGTCCTTTGGATTTGTCCGCACTGGCGATTTGAACATAAGCCATTCGCCAGTGAACCCCTACTAGGCTGTTTGGGCTGGACCTCAGTTGGAGGGGTTCTTGGTTCTCAAGCAATTGCATTTGGGGGTCCCTTGTTAAATCACTACTTAGACAAGGCCCCCCCCCCAATTTTCCTCGGTTTGTCCATTGTAACTGGGGAGATCCGTCTCGTGCCCAGCTGCCTACCGGGACTATGCCATCCCTTCGCATCGCATCGCCATCAGCTGCACGCGACTCCACCAGGCAATGAAAGACAGGAACAGGGCGTCGGAAAAGATAGCGACCCTTTCAGGCCAACACTGCTTGAGTGGCAATTGTCAGGTTTCTCATTTCCCAGACCCACTAAGCTTCCCCTCGTTTTCCCTTTTTTCTCCTCAGAGGGGGTTTCCCTTTCAAATCCAACCCTTTGAAATCCAACCAAAAGGTGCCCTGCTTTCCCCCAAGGTGCTGGAGCTCTGTTTTTCCGAACCTTGTGGATCTCACCTTACCTTTTGACTCGGTGTAGCTTCTAGTCGGATTTGGTTTATTTGAGCCCAAGAAGTTGATAGAAACTTTAGTTGCAACGTAAGGGGAACTTTGAGGTATCACAAAAAGCCGACTTTGGATTCGATCAACATGGTTCATAAAGGGCCGCCCAACACATCCTGAACTAGGCAGTAGGAGCGCTTAGTAGATTGGCCATGCCGTTTGGCGTTCCTTGACTTGAAACCCAGCACACGACAACTGTAGAAGAGTTGTTCTTTGGCGATGCGCCTTGTTGGCGTGTTTTGCCTTCCTTGAGGAAGAGTAGTCGCCGCACCGGACTATATAGTCGCAAATGTCTAAGGGTTTGAGGAACTTGCATGGACATTCCATTTTTCGCCCACATGAGTTGCTTACATTGTCGCTTCCAGCCTGCACATGGAGCATTCATGCTTTGAATGCTTCACTGGGTATGTCGACTTTGTGTCTACGGGTTTGAGAGGGTACCCACGGGTCTTATGTTTTATGTACAGGTATACATGTCGGGCTTCAAGAAGGTACTTTAGTGTTGAGGTGTTTCAGTACTGTATAGTGTAAGAGGCTAAACAATTACACACATTATGATTATTTGTGATCATAAATATGGGTCCTCAAAGCATGTACTCTAGGGTCACTGATGGCTCTCTTTGACGGTCTTTCTAAAAGGGGTCAAAGTACCTGTTTCAGACCAAATTTAAAGTATCTACGACGTAATTTAGTGTAATAATAGTTTATCTAGTGCATATGTTCCATCTCAGCAACTTAGGTACTTGGATCCTTATTTATGGTTTGGCAGATAGGCCAACATCGGTGCGAAACATCAACCACGGCAGTGTTTGACTGAATGCTTGGGGAGGGCCGTTCCCTTTCAGAAAGCCATGTAGGGGATAGCCGGGATAGCAATACAGCTAATATGTTCCCGATCTAAGTTGCTCCAGGACGCGTGTTTTTCAGAGCGCCACCGGTTCCAGAATGCCACTGACATTACAGAACACTACGACTCCAGACATCTGGTTTTTGTGTGCAGCTGTTTGGGCCAGCTCGTTCACTAACAAAATGCAAATCGTAAGTTGCTTAGGTAACACTTGAAGCAATGAATTGTTTTTTTTTTTTTGTTTTCTTCGGGGGTATAGTAGCAGATGACACTTCATTGTTCCAGATAGCTGGACCTTCCGACATGTAAAATTAACGCCGTTTCCCAAAACAGCAATAAGTTTCGCCGGTTGCTGGAAAAAACACTCTTTCAGAGCAAAAGCGCTCGCCGTGAGTCCAGCTCATGACCAGGAACAAACGCTGTTTTGTCGGCAAATTACGCCGTTTTGACGGCAATTTACGCCGTTTTGCAATTTGATTGATGCTAGAGTGTGCAAACACTGAAAACTGCCGGCAGGCGAAAATAATCGCTGTTGGGTCCAAAAACACAGTTTGTGACAAAACAGCAGTAATTTTGCACATGTTGGAAGACCCAGGTATATCATTCATGTCCAAGCTATGTAGGGACCTGAGGCCCTGCATTTGCAGCTTGTTTGGCCCATTGGCAGGAGTGATTTCTTACAGATGCTTCCGCAGAAATGAGCTTTCCAAAATACATGTTTGGGTTCTCAACACATGCGATTCGTGTTGTTGTTTATCGCGAGTGAGAGCTGTTGACTATCTTTGAGTAAATACATTGTTTCAAGAGCGCCTGCAAGAACGCTACCAGAACTCTAGTAGATATGGCTACGGGCCCGCTCGCCTACCAAAATGTATTTTGGGCAGCCCAACACATGCAAGTTGCATGGACCCTTCGTTTGCAGCCCGGGCAAGAGCTACCTTCTCGGAGCCTTGATGGATGGCTGGCCTGGGAGTAGCTACCACTGGCCGAGCAGCCCACAGGGAAGATTTGCTGAGAAACCTCGGTGTTGTGGCCAAAGACGAGTGCTTGATTTTGGAGAGCGGGCTGGACTTCGACAATGAAGCAGGTCTGAGAGAAGCGTTTTGGCACGCTACCACAGGCGAGGCAGCCCAAGTTGCGTTGCAACCAGCCAGCGCGAGGCTTAGAACACTCGTCAAATGCAGGGTGCATTTAGCCATCATTGTAGTGCAAACGGTTGTCGGTTTGAGCCAAACATAAAGTTGCTTGATTTGTATAATAACTGAATTAATTAGTCAGAATGAAAGCATAGCTTGCCTCATTGCACTTGACTCATGAGCCTTGCAAAGGTAGTTCTGTTACACATTCCAGAGTTGGGAGAATGTTAGCAAAGTAAAGGGGCACTATCAAATCATGATATTCTGTTCTTTGACTTCTTGGCTTTGGTGGATGTTCCCCTTCAACGAGCAAACCATGTTAGCTGGAGTCGGATCCGTCTGGCCCATGGAATTGGCGTTCTCATTCTGGCAAGCCCTATGGCCCTTAAGGCCGTCCTCTGAAATGTCTTGCAATGAGATGGGCCCAGACCTGGCATCTGGTGGTTTGGAGTTTGGATTGGTTAGGAGGGACTGGGGTATCGCCCTTTACTGAATTATCAAGAAGAAGTGGGTCAACTCCCGCCACAATCCAATCTATCAAAGGGGTAGATGTTTGTTGTGTCCTCTATGGAACCTGGGACATTGGGGGCGTGCCGTGTTTCTTTGCGTGGGTGACTCAGAAGTGTTGGGACATACTGTTGATGTTCCCTACAAGAGCGACTGAATGGATCTATGATGAACCCTCAAGAGCTTTACAATTTTTCCAGGCCCACGATTTGGCATCCAGATGGGCTACTGGCAGAGGTCATTTCATCCGGTTGAGCGCTCACAAAATCCACGCCTCAATTTTGGCAGGATGCGCTGGCGGAGGCTTGTCAGCTTTGGCACGAGCTGCCGGATGAAAATGGTCCCTGCCTTGGCTTCCCTTTCCAGAGTGGATACAAGGTTTGGTCAACATTCCCTGATTTGGTCATGGTTCATGCCCCATGCCCAAGGGAACAATCAGCTTTGACTGTGGCTCATTTGTGCAATGGTCAAAAGCCCTTTCTACTTGGATGGTAATTAGGGATGGTAATGGACCAGTTAGGACATTTGGACAAACCATGACAAGGCCGTTCTAGGGAGCAATGATCATGACCCTCATAGAATTAGTGTTGATCTGTCATGGCACACAAGTAGATGGCCCAGTTGCGCCTGTTTCCCTCTTATTTGGGCGGACTCGGACCGCGACAAAACCAATCAGCTTGAAAGTAGGGACCCTGAATTTTATTGCCATGGTCGCTGGCAACTGGGCGGGTGGCTACCGAATATGCTTGTCTGATTGGGTTGGGTGGTTGCGGGGAGCAAAGATTCCTCAACCGTTTTAGAAAAATAACATGTCAAAATATGTCAAAATGAAAGATAATCGGGCTCCCTTTTTTCTTCACCCTCCGAACTTGTTTTGAAAAAACAGGGAAGGGTTGAACAAAAAGGGTCTGAAGGGTGAGAAAAACAAGTTCCCCAAGATTAATCTGCTGCGCAGTTTTGCTGCATTTCCTGACGTGAGCCTGTGGGGAGCAGATGCGCTGGCAACTCCATCTTGATTTCAACGGGAGGGATCTGGGTATGGGTCAAAATTAAACCACCAGGGGACCGCAGGTTTTGGTCCATGTTTCCACTTAACAGGGTTCCATTTTGGGGTACCGATTTTTGACCCACAGCCATCTAAGCAGCTGGGGATCTGAGTCACTCCAAAGCTCAATGACCAAACCACGAGGGTAGATCGGTGCAGGTCTTTGGAGCAACCCTGTCCCCTCAAGAAGCCGAGGTCGACATTGATAGCTTTAAGCCAACAGCAGAGGTCCCTATCAATTGCGACACCGGAAATGGGGTGTCTCAAAATTGGGGGGGGGGGGCTAAATGGCGTCACTTGGATGATATCCAATGAATACTGGTTCACAAAGAAACGCCACCAACTGGTAGGAGTTTGTCAACACGCTGTAAGACTTTGTAGAAAGCACATTGTTGTTTATGGTCCCTTGGGAACTTGTTTGAGGCAGGTACCCGTCCTGGTCGATTTAAAGAGCTACCAAAGGAATCCATCTATTTTTCGGGTCCGCCATGTGAAGACAAACCCATGTTCAGATTTGAGAGCTATTCTTATTGCGAATTGGGGGAGCCTCTTTTTGGCTTCCACGTGAATTTGCAGGGGAGTAGAGGTTCCATGATCCTTATCACTTAAGAGAGCGCAATGCTCGCGTCGCGTGTTGGTAGCTAGTATCGGAATTGGCGCAATTGGAGGCTGGGCGGGGAATACTCCCAACTATGAGCGCCGTTGCATGTGAAATAAAAGGGTTGCCGAAATTAAGTAATCAGTCTTTCAGAAGAGTCTGCTTATTTCCATGATTGCTGGAGGGAGGGTGGAAACAGCACTTAATTGACACTCTTGTGGCAATGTCTTGGTAGGTGTTGTGTAGATTCCGTTCATACCTCCTGTTCCAGTTCCAACTGTGTCTTTGTGTGCGTACTTTAGGTCGGTAGCCACAGCCAACAGCGAGTTTATATGACGTGAGTTTGATAGCTTGGTGGAATTGCGCAACGTAGGAACAGGTGACTGGCTCGCACCATCTTGAACTCCAAGATGTGCCAGATATGCACATCGTTTCCTGATGTTGTCCCACTTTGGTGGTTTCAAACCTCACCTTTTGGGCCCGCTTGAAACTCGAGAGCCACCACGGAGTCGCCGTCTCAGGCTTCTTGAAGCTGACCTTGCATGCGTTGCAGCAGGATGTGCCGAAGGAGAGGGAGAGAGACGAGAAATCGTGTTGTTGCGCTAACCGAACGGGAAATTATGGGGATGACCTCCTTCCGCAACCATTTGGGTATGTCTTCCTTTGAAGGTAGCCTTGCGGTTGCTTTAAAGGAACCAAAAGGGAAACCATCCATTTGGGAGGTTCTCCCATTTTGAGACAACCCCATGGTGCAGTAGATGGGCTTAGCAGTTTATTTCCATCGCCCCGAATCGGGACCTAGTAGATGTCAAGTAAAGGGGGTGACTAAAACAACATGGCACGAGTTTAATTCGCCATCGACTTTTCACCCAACTACTTCGGAATCTAGACCATGAATGGTTTTCCTATTGATAATGACGTTTCTGAGTGAATTGTCATGTTTCTGCGTTGTTTGACGGAGAAGCCTGAAGGAACCACAATTTTTAATTCTATTTGGAGACAAAGCGTCAAACTTATGTTGGCAAACGTGACACTGAGGGATCCCTGATGGCTGGTGGTACATGTAGATAGTGAGCACACCATCAATCCTGGCCTGACTCATTCCCACATGCCTTGTGTTTTTCGTGCGCACAGAAAATTATACACTGACAGAGATATTGTTGATTATTGGTGCAGGGTTGCTACCCTCCCTCAAACATTCATGGAAGCTGACAGGAGGGTTTTAGAAGACTTCGTACTTTCCTTTTGAGAAAGCCCCCGGTCCAAGATTGTTGGAAAGAGGGTACCTCTTAGGGTTCTACCTCCATCTCAGGTGAGCAACTCTGTGTCGTTTGCCAAACCGAGGTTCAATTTGAGCTTCACGCGCGACCTCAGGTTTTGTCGACAGCTGGGTGTGTCTTTCTTTGTTTGGGGTACCCCTTGTTTGGTGGTTTTTTAGGGAAACCAAACGAACACCGCCATATATATATACATATATATATACATATATATATATATATGTTTTTTTGGAGGGGGGGGGTCCTCTAAAAAGGCATTGGAACCTGAAATGGAACCTGAATGGTGGCCCCTGGGTCTTTGGACTATTAAGTCCTGGTTAGGACAATTTCCTCCAGATGGTGCGGGGGTGGGGCGTTTTTGGAGGGAGTTTCACCATGTTCAACCTTTAGCTACACGCCCCATCCCAATGAATCTGTTCTAGCCAGGCAAGAATTCGCAGCTTCCACTTTTCGAGGTACTAGACTTTCAATGTTTTAGGACTTCCATTTTAGTTGGCGTGTAGCTCCAGTGTAGACTTCAGGTTTACATCGACATGATCGTCCGTCAATTCAATTCTGCGGTCCTGCGCAGGACATGCTGAGCCGGACGATTACAAGAACTCTGCAAGAGGTCACGGCAAAGTCCGGCTTGCAGATCAACAAGGCGCGGGTAAGGGCTTGCCTGTTTTTGTTTTGTTGTTTTTGTTTTGGGGGGTCGCTTTCATATCAAGCACCAATAATTCCGGGCCTTTTTCCCATGGAACTCCACTGGTTTCGTTTCCGCTCATAAAAAAAGGTCAGTTGGAGCACGGAACGTGTGGCCTGAAAAGAAGGTTGGTGCCCTCGCTCTTTTTGGAAGCGCCCAGATGTTCTTTCAGTTGACCAACAATGGACAGTTCTGGATGTGAATCTGTACGGCGAGACAAATCGTCGAATTGTGCGATAGCGCAGAAGGATGGCGTTTAATTTGTTCGCTTTCCAGGGGCGAAATTGCGGGGGTGGCCATGGAGAACCGAGAACAAGAGCAGGCCAATGACTGAAAGGGGAGATGGTGCAGGAGCCTCGGCTTTGCAACAGGGTGCACCGTTCCCACCCTGAGACCCATGTTCCGACCGGCTTACACCGAACCAGCAGCGCCAGTTCTACGCTCCAACCTGCTTCCGATTTCGCTGAGTCTTCCTTTTGAGGAGGAGCTGCTGTCTCCAATGCAGCCATAGTGCCCAATTCACGTTGCACGCCACTAGACAGTGCGAGCAGCCTGGCCACATGGACTACTAACTGGATTACATCCTATTGTGCCTGCTTTGTGGGTGAAAAACGTGCTTCAAAGTTAGCCAATATCGCAACCGGAAGCACATTTGCAAAGGGTTTGTCCCTTTGAAGTGTATTTTGGGCTGGGTTTCGCTAGCATGAACCAATCAACATGGGGCAAGTTCCCTTTTCCCATGGACCTCCCAAATCTGAGTAATGGAACCCGAAGCGACTGGAACCCTTTTTGTTCATCCGTCCTTGTGTTTTGGTCTCGTCTTCCCATGTCCCTCATAAACCAGTTTTTTGACCAACCTCAGTAATACGGTAAAGAGGAGTACACTTTCAGACGTGGGTGAGTTGTAAGCTGCTACCCAGTTGTTAGAGAGTTCAATTGCTGACTTTGTCGAACATTTCTGGATGTCTTATGTCTTAGGGAAGATCATGCTGGTGGACACGTTTAACAAATCTATTGCTAGCCCACTCAGGAAGTAATTGTGAGGTTTGGTGACTTGAGTGCAGGATTGCTCTAGGTCCTAAGCACACATGGCCCAGGCAGTAAATCCGGACAAATCATAGCTTGGGCGACTCTGATTACCCCAAGCTGGGTGGTTTTTCTCTGGGTCTTCCGAAGGAAACTTATCAAAAAGGGTACCCTCAAAGAAGACAAACAGACACAATTGCTGAATTTGACGAGTCACCCAGACCAGTCCTACTTTCAGCCACCATCACACAATGATTGACCTGGGTCCAGTACAGAGACATCCTCATGATTACCCTCTTAGTGTTTTAAAGCGAAACTCGGGACCCTAACAGTAGTTGTGCAAGCCCTCGGCCGTCACAAAAGCAGAGCCATCATGCAGGTCAACTATCTAATGTGGCACGTGCTCGTTGCGGTGGCTGAGCGGTGTGTGAGGCAAGCGTTTCTCAGCTTGGAGGTTTTGGAATTTCCTACCCCCCACCCCCCCCCGTATGGGTGGCAAAAGTCCAGCCGGAAATCCAATACATGTGCGCTTCATAATCTGGTGAACCTTCTTTCTGTGGTGCGTCCTTGTCTTGAAACCATCACCTCAGTCCTTGAGTTCCTGGACTTTATGCTTATTGGAAAGACCATGAAAATGGCAAACACAATCTTCTGACTTGCTTGGGGCAATCCACTCAAGAACCGAGTCAACAAGAGATTTCCTTTCTTGAAGAAGTGCAGGTGTCAAGAAACAACCGAACAACGTGTGCCCTGTCTATTTTGTTGCAGTGAGTTTCCCTTTAAAATCCACCAACCAGGGGCGCCCTAGTTTTACCATGCGATCCGTTCGGGGGCTTTCCAGAAGTGGAGAGCCAGGTGCGGAGATCGACCCACCAGGCCAGTGTCATCCAGTTCGTCCCAGGGCCCCTCGGCGAAGTTTGACGCGCTGCGAGAGGCAGCTTCTTTGGCACACTGTCACACTGTTCTGTTCATCCTTTACTTTCTTCAACCGTACCATTGTCTCTTGGGGACCACCTAGGTAATGCGGATGACATTGAAGGAGAGGTTTGGTCGCAAAGTTGGAGACTACCAGTGTCCACTGGCCTCTATGTTGTAGGTGCTGCAGACAGTTGATGTTTTGAAGCAGCTTAGATTCACAGAAAGCAGCCCAAGACCCAGATTTCTGGCCAACAAACTTTGCATGTCAGGCGGAGGGGCTTGGATACTTGAGGAGAGAACGTGGAGACGCACAACCGGGGTCAAAAGACGTGTCTCGAAACACACCCTTCAAGGTTGCAAAGCTCAGCCTCGCCCTGAAAAAAAGATGTCTCGCAGCTTCGAAATGACGAGATATCATATTACAAGGCTTACTCACTCGTGTTCAAACCAGTGCGTGCCTTTCTTTAGCACTTGGAAGCACCGGTTTGTCATGATAATCAGTGGCTTTGTTCAACAAGTTGAGGCCCGCCAAAAGGCATTGTTTATCATGCCGACTGTTTTGTGTACAGGTGTAGCATGCTTGAACAGCATGTATCATGTATTGAAAGTTGAAGTTGCTTCAACATGTTCAGTAACCTTTAAATGGGTCGTTGAATTGGGGCTTTTCCACCTGTTCACCAGCCCCCCCTTTGCCACACGTGTCGCGACCCGTCCGAATTGAATGTCCGCTTTGCCGAGGCTGGGCCCTCGCAAAGCGAAGGTCTTCATGAAAGCGCTGGCGGACTCGGCCAGGGCCCCGTTCTCGCCGGGCCAATGGGCCTACAGGCTCATAGGCTCAGCAGCTCCTAAAATGGCTCGCTATGATTCTTCAAATGGGTGCGCTTGTTTCGCAGTTCGGTTTTTGGGTGTGGTTTGAATGTGAACCAAAAGGAAAGCCACCCTTTCTTGGGCTCGCCCTATGTTGACGCATGCCCAAATGGGCATCCCTTGGTTGGACATATACATCAATACACAAAGAGCCTGTTCACAGGCATTGCTAGCCAAAGGCATAGCAGTCCCGCAGAAGGCCCCCTTTGCCTTAACAGTATCGCATGTGGGAGCAACAATTTTCTTTGAGCTGAACTGTACGTAACGTTTGTGCGAGATGCCCTGTCTTGTTGCAGAAGCTTGAAAGCAAGCAATATCAAACAAGAGCGGTGCAAGCGTTTGGCATATCATGTACCGGTTTGCTGACGTACCGAGGGTGGGAAGGGGCATTTTGACAGGGACATGCAGGGACACATTCCGTGCAAAAGGGATGCTTGGAGAGAAATGATGAGAAGTGACAGGTGATGCAGATAAGACTCAGCCAGCGGTCAGGTTCTTTCCTTTGTCTTCTGCTACATCGCTTGTGCATGGGTCATTAAAAAATAAATACCATCCATCCATCCATCCATCCGTCCGTCCGTCCGTCCGTCCGTCCGTCCATCCGTTCCATCCAGGCATCCATTCCATTCCGACCACTTCCATCCTATTCCATTCCATTCCAATCGATACATCCATGCATGTCTGTCATACCCTCATCCTATGACTAAGCTGGGCTGTTCAAAGGCAATCCCGAGTTCCTCGTCGGTTACGAAAGGGTCCCCCTCTGTAGAGGTTTTTCGACAGGGATGCATTGGGTTGGACCAAGCCTATAGTTCGATCGACAGACTGGGCGAGGAAGAGGTGGATGATGACTCAATAGAGGCGAAAGGACCGAACAGTGCTTCACCGGGCCCGAGAAGGCGTGCCTGGATTTGGTAATCCAATGTTACAGCCGTTAGGGCTCATGAGCAATTCAGAGGTCGTGGGAGGAGACTCAGAGTAGTTGGTTCCTTTACTGCTGTTTGGGCCAAAGACAGCTTGTAAGCTTGTTGCACATACTAAACTTCAGGAACCGGCAGGACTTCTCGTTCAAAGCAAACAACAACAAGTTCGACTTCTTGCTTTAGGGGGTTCGCCCAGTCAGATTCAGGACCCAGTGTGGCGGATTCCAAGCTTGCACCGGCCACAGGTCAAATCCAGGGACACGGTGATCGAGATCCTCGCGAAGCATTTAAGCATCAAGGACGACCTGTTTATGGCCCAGGAACTCAAGATGCCCAGTAGGAAGCCGACAGTTTCATTTTTTTTTTCAAGCATGCAACCGGAACCCAAAAAAACAGCAGTACAGAAAGCCGTGAAAGGGTGGTTGTCGCTTGCAAATTGACTTGGAACCCACAAACATGGTCCAAGCATGAGGGCTTCTTGGGCTTTTGCTGTGAAGATCGCAAGTTGTGGCCAGGTGTTGGTGGGGTACAGCTCTGCCTCACCCCACCCGTAGTTGGCTCAAGAGAACGTGAATTCCGCTACACCCCCACACCCAAAGGAACATCGGGGAGCTGTACAGGCACACAAAAAGCGACATTTTCAGAGGGCAATTTATTGGCGTTCAACGCTGCCTTGGTGTGGGCGGTCTCCGCTTTTCGCTTGCGCTAGAAGCAATACTTAACCACATGCTGCAATGCAAGCGGTGATTAGTTCCTTGAATTTAAGCCGCATCTTTGGTCAAGGCAAACATTCTCTATGTGTCTATAGATTTGTATCCTTCCACATACCAGTTCGCAATGTTGCTGTGCAATGACCCCAACTGCTCCTATTTTTAGCTTTAAAGATAATTCACGACAGGCTGAGGTTGCGCTTGTGTGCTTGTGGTGCACCGCTTGCTCACAGACCGAACCTGCCGAATCTGTTCGTGACCCAAAAGCAACTTGAACCTCTGAGTCACCTCGAGCACAATGTGCAGCCCAGGCCAAACCGCAATGAATCCCAAACCAAACGAAGAGCCCTTGAATGACACTCTAAACCTGCCAGCTGCAAAGCCACCGGAATTAAGTTTCAAGTGGCGCAACCTGTAAGGCGCGGAACAGACCGTACGTGCAACCATCATTTAAGATGAGGCTAAGGACAACCTTTGGCCCCAGGAATGCCTAGAGAGCCGACGTAGTTACAACCCATGTCGATGTTGACAAGGTTTCTACGATACGTACCAGATCTTGCGTGTCTTTTCGTTGCAGGAGTTGACACAGTTGTCAGTGCTAGCTCTGAGGGCAAGATGAAGCGTTGAACTCTGTGCGGACCTTTGTTGCGTACGTATTTGAGCTGCAAGAATCGGGACACACTATAGTGACTATAGCGACCTCTCGCATGCAGGTTCCTTTCATGGGGACCTGTTTGAGGTTGGATGTTGGACCAGAAGGGCAGGGAGTCCGCAGCAATCTGTCCAGGATCCGATGACCAACCCTGTCATGAAGAACGTGCTGCCGTTCCTGAAGAGTCTTGACTGCAATTCCGCCACTTCCAACAAAACCGGGTTAAGCTTTGCATAGGACATTATTTCATGGTAGCTAGGTTCCTTGAAGGGAAGCCAAATGGTAGGCAATCATTCTGGGGGTTGCACATCCTGTCCGGAACAAACTGAACAGGGTTTTATGACTGAAGTGTTTTGCCAGAGGCCTTGGGCGAGCATCTGAGAAAAGCAACTCGATAGCCGCTTGCTTCGATATGGGTGGTTTCGTCTTTATTTAGGGCCCGCCATGTTGGGTGCTTTCTTTTGGTTTCCCGTTAAAACCATAAAAAGGGTACCCTCAAAAGAAGCCAGATCGTTGACTTTCATTGAAAGACAATGCGCCCTGTGCCATTCTCACTCGGCAATGAAGGTTACTAGGGAACCGGGAACCACCTCAAAAGTGCTTGGTGGACATGAATCCCCACCTAAATGATGAAATGTGCCATTTGCGGATATGCGATTGGAAGCAAACATGGAAGCAGGGAAGCGGGGCTTTGGCAGCCCTTGTGATATCGTCATCACCCGGCTTTGTTGGCCCACCACATGACTGCATCTGACCTGTGTTGCCGAATACACGGAAGGCTGGTGTCCTGCCATAAAGATCTTTCATTCAGCAAATGCCACGAGCATCTGGAATGTTCGATTTGATGACTTGTTTCCTTGCCAGATGCCAAGAGAACCTGCTGCTGTTGTTCAGATTCCAGACGGAACTTGGAACATGGAATATGCAGTGTAATGAACATACGATTTGGGCTGATTTGCCGAGTAGACAACATTTGACGCCCATGCATGTGCATGTGTCTCCGTGATTCTAAAGGCACAGCAGTTATTTCCCAACCCCAGCCTACCATTTGGCTCGGATACCATAGCTCTCACTTATCCAGACCTCAGCTGCCCACGGCAATGGGTGTGACGTCTGTTTATGAGAGGATTCTCACCTCTAGCCTCTATCCCACGTCACATGTCTTATGAGCATGACTGAATCTGGTTTTTGAAGTACCCCACTACCATTCTTCCATTTTTTTGACACCTGTGTAAAGTAGTACTGTTGTCCTGTGCTGACAATGAAATGAACATCACGACATATGAGCGACTGCCTTTTCTATTTGCCCAGGACTTTTGTACACGCCGGGCGAACACATGTTTGTGCAACATGCTGAATTGAGTGCAAAATGAGGGCCAAGACATAGGTGGTTGAGATCGCGAAACACATGCGGCATTGGAAAACGAGTCAATGAGTCCAAATGGGTGCAGGGTTGGAGAACACGGTGGCAACACCCGACAATTCAACCATGTAGCAAATCACTGCCGTAGCTCGTATCATGTCCCTGAGTGCTTGCCAACCCACCCCGGTCGTGGGTTCCCGTTGCGTTCGCAATTCAGGGTGAACTTGCTTTCAGCTTTCGACTCAAGGGAAGTGGAAGAACCAGGGGAACTTTGGTCAACCTTACTCCTGATTGTGCCAACTCCACAGGGGACGGTTTTCAAAGGAGACCAATTCCTGAGCTCAATGTGGCTGACGTCGGATCACCCGAGTGGTCCACAGTTTGATCGTTTGAAACTTTTAAGGAAGACGACATCATGAAATCCGCCCATTCGGGGCCCTCAAAAGAAGCTCTGCACAACAGATTATGTTCGTTCGAGTTTCATTTGTAGCAGCACTCTAGCCCAAGACCCCCAGCGATTCAAGGGCCTTTGACCGCCAGCGGCCAATATCTTTAGGCCAACTGGTGTCGGATCCCATCGGATCTCTTCGTTCCGGCAAGGATCGAGCCCGACTTCCGGGACCCTTGGGGTCCGGAGGAGTCGCCCAGCCCGGGGCTACGGGGCTATAGCCGGAGTTGGTTGCAAGACTGGCAGCAACATGGCGACGGTTTTCGGGGACCGCAAAATCCCAACATGGAGTTCGGCTTTCCCAAACCCCGAAAGAGGTTGTCAAAAGTTTAGACTTATTTGGAAAAGAGAGATTGGCCCAACACTGTTCGAGGTCTATTGCAGGGCTTCTGATTTCGTTTGGGGTTCGCCCCTGGCAATGCCACGATGGGTCTGAATGCTCATTTGGGCCTTGTGGTGTGCATAAACAATGACATGAATATTTACAACCACCAACTATTCCTGAGAGTGGCCCCCCACTAAATAGCAACACGAGTTGCGGCCGGTTGTTTCTTTGTTTCATTGTGTTTCGGTTGTCATGGTTTCCCTTCAAAGCCACACACACACACATGTAGCTCCGTTAGTTTTGAAACAGACCGTTGGCTGTTTGGCTGGTAGTTAGTTGCTGGGTGAGTCGATCGGTCGGATGCAAAACGCGGTTCGGGCTTGTCACAGTCAGCGCTCAAAAGCTCCTTGTCGCATGGCAGTCCTGGCTTGAGCCCGTTTTGAATTTGGGCTGGAACTTGGTTGGTTTTGAGCTGGTTTAGGGCATTGTTAGGGTTGGTTTTGATTGGCCTGGGGTGAGCTTTGGCTTGGCTACAAGTTGACACGGGGCTGTCTTCAGGTGGAATGGTTGAACTTGGGTTGGTTCAGCGTTGGATGATGCCTTTTTTTTGTTGGGTTGATTGAAGCAGTGGTTAGAATTTGTGGGTTGCCAAGTGTGCAGCGCCCAAGATTCGATGTTGGAGTATCTCTTAGTTGGTTCTGCTTGAAATTAAACACAACCTGAAATACAGTTTCAAGGTTATGGGTTGAATTAAGGTGTCTAAGGCTTCGCGCTTCTTCTTTTTTCAACGACGCTCCCAGCCAAAGGCAATGCAGCCAATCGCCACACTTGGTTCTGAAGTATTTTCGTGGCAAAGAAACAGTTTGCTTATTTTCTGGTGAAGCCAGTCAGGAAGTGAGTTTCGATTGGCCGGCCAGGCCGGCGTTTGGTTGGATGAGCGAGGGATCAAATGAGCCGGGGGGTATGTAGCACTTTGCCAGACCAAGGATACAATTCTTGGCCTCCAACAATGGAAGCTGACAGGAGGGTCTTCCGAGGCCTGGATCGCCTGCGGATTCCGCGGCACCTGCAGAACTGGGCAGCGCCGGCGCTCATTTTGGGTCTGTCAGGTTTTTGGGGGGTGGCCTTTGTGGTGGGTTTTTGACGTGAAGCCGAAAGGAAAACCCACCATTTTGGGGGGGGCCTTAAAAAACTGACACCCATTTGTTGCTACTTGAGGCCATGGCTGTGACTAGGGTTTAGATCTTTTTCGGGCCACTGTCCGTGATCTCCTTCGAAGTGATACAATAGTCCTGCGAAAGATTGGTATCACAGACGGGGCTTTTACAACCATGAGGCAGCCCTAGAATGGCTTTGGTCTCAAAGATTTTCCTTTGAAACCCCCCAAGAAAGAATGCCCTCATAAACACCAACATCAATTCTGGGAAGCATTTGTAAGCCTTCCCTGATGGAAATTCGGGGCTCGGGAGCATGGAATGGTTTTCCTGCCGCTTTCACCTTGTAAGAGCCAGCTTTCCGAAGACCCATTTGCTATGAGTCGGCTTCACAGAAGGGTGACTACATAGTTTGACCACAGGGGGTCGTCACGAACCTGAAAGGATGTGTTCCCCCCCAAGGATTTCGGAACTTGTTCACTACGTTGAACGTTGAACTCCTCGACCAAACCGGAGGCTTAGCTATCCAACATGTCGAACTCACATAAATCAGGGGCCTGTCCTGGTTTGTTTCATGCTTTACTGTAAAACATGGTTTCGCGCAGACTTCTTTCATATCAGGTTTTGAAACTTATTGCAACTTGAAAGCTCTTTCGCCGCTGAAAGCTTTTTATGACATCACTGGAAGGCTATGTCTCAGAACAGGGACTCCTTTTTTGGGATGGGAAGCAGAGAGGCAAAGCAAAAGGAAAGCACGACCCTAAAAAAACAACAACAGAAAAGACATGGAAAGCAAGAGGAAACACAAAGAGGGTAGTGCAAGGATGGAAAAGACAACATATTATCTTCTGATGGTGACTTAACTTCCTTTAAAGTCCCCGCCCCCGCAACCCCATTCTAACTCTGTGGGCCCTTGCTGGTCCTTTGGGGAATCAAGAGGGCTTTGGATATCGTCCATCGTTTCAGACGGAGGTGCCCAGGCGGATTTAAAGCTCGCTTGAACTGCCCAGGAGCAGACAGTGGCAGCGCCCAGGTAAAAAATATATAAGTAAATAACACTGTTTGGAGCAATGTTTGTATTTTTGGGGAAGGTGCCTTTCCAAGCCATTGGGACAGACTGGGCTCGTCTGAGCCACTCGCGTCCCTCGAGCTTCAGAATGATCATTCCCAGATTTTGAGCTGGGCACTGTCAGCAGGTCATGTCGTTTGCGAATGTGTCGCCAGACTTCAGCACGTCGTCAGCCTGTGTGTCGCAAGGGGATGTGTCACGGTGTTGTTGGTGGAGAATTCATTTGCCACCTCGCATCGCTGTGGTTTTGAGACAGGCCAATATCACTAATGGCAGGATAGCAGCCATGAGGGCCTTCTAGTCTCGTGTACGTGACAATGTGATTCTGCCTTAGCAGCACTTTGACAGCCTTAGGATATCGTCTCCTGCAATTGCACAGCCATGCAGCAGCTGCCACCACAGCTGGCCGCAGATCTTTTCCATGAGCTTGAATTAGAGCAGCTGCGTCGTTCATGGTCATGATTGCGTGGACAGTGTCATCTAGGAGGTGTTAGTTACATAGGCACCCCGGCGAGTTTTGGCGTATCGAAACAGCTTCTCCTTCAAGAGCTCATCCGTTGGCTGCGGCCCACAAATCAGCTCCTGAAACCTCCCATCAACCTTACCTTGCTTCGCCCTAGCTCGTATCGCGTACCTTGAGCATCGTATACCCTTGAGGCGCCGCGGTTTTGCAGAGAAGGCAGTCGACCGGTCGTGGTGATCCCTATCAGCCAGGTTGCTTGCCATTTGCACGTGTCGATGCGCAGTCCTCGCTGGCGGAGTTCTGCTGACGAGCTGACTGCCCTCCGCACACCCGAACAAATCACGATTTCTTCTGCGAAGAAAACAAGCGAAGGGTATGTTGTTCGAAAACAGCGTCGTCGGCGTTGTCAGGCTTTAATGTGTCGTCAGCAGGCAATGTGTCGTCGGGGAATCTGTCGTCGCACTGTGTCGTCAGGCTCGTCAGCAAGTTGTGTGTCGTCAGGGAATGTGTTCTCAGGGAATGTGCTGTCAGGCTTCAGGGCGTCGTCAGCAACAGTTGTATCGCGAGGGGATGTGCGTAGTGTTCTCCTAAAGGACACATATTTGTCGCGATTGGTAATTACCCCATCATCGGCCTGGTTTTGAGACAAGCATATCACTACCAGCGGGCTTGCCAATGTTGATGTACAGTCCTTGCATGTTGAGGGGCTGACTGGCCTTGGCCTTTTCACGCAAAAGAAACAGGCAAGCAGTTCGGGAAGCGTATATTGTGCGGCAACAGCGTCGTCGGCAGGTGATGTCGTCAGGAAGTGAATTTTGATCCAAGCACATACAAAAAGGAAGTATATGGCAAGATGTGATCCAAGAATAAGCTCTGGTGATATCCCTAACAGCACCACGCGTATGCGGAACCCTTGCAGAACCCTGCTCCCCCTCGCTGAGCCCTCTTCGCAGAACCCTGCGGAACCGTACCTGAGGCCTTGCGGAACCCTCGCGGAACCTTCCTCGGAACCGCCCGGTGCATCCCCGGAGCCCTTGCGGAACCTGACCACCCTGACCCTCCCGGAGCCCTTGCTCGCGAAACCATCCACGGAACACTTGCGGAACCCTCGCGAAACCCTCGCGGTACCCTCGACCCTGCAAAACCTTACCTCAGATTCGCCCCGCCCCGGAGCCTGTCTGTGCTGAGACCCCAGCGCTTTCAGCTGTTGGGGAATAGAACCAAGAGGAAGCAATACACCACAACAAAAGTAATCCAAGCAGAAGCAATAAGCCACAACATTGGATCCAGAACTAAACCATCAGGTAGTAATAAACCACAGCATGATCCAAACAACAAAAGGAGCCAACAAAAACAACAACCACAACATGTGCTCCATACATAAGCCCAAAAGGAAGCAATAAACCACAACATTGATTCATCATTGCACGGACGCACTAAACCCACCATTTGATACAAAAGTTAGATCCACAAGAAAGCCATGAGAGGCCCAAAGGACGCCAAAAGGGGTAGGTCAGGTTTTGCGTTTCGCCTTTGCCAGGTCCAGGCCCTCTGCAAGGAGGCGCTCTCAGCTCAGGCGGAGAACCTTTTCGGCTCAGACGAGGAGGTGCGCGGGGGCGGTTTTCCCGAGCCAGAGGTGCTTTCGAAGATGGGCCAGTGGTGTTTCTTTTAGAATTTTCGCCTGGCGCTTGGTTTTGGGATTGTCTTCTGACAAAATACAATAGAATACCTTCAAGGTAAACGGCAGAAGGCACATCGTATTGGGGTTGCCTGGACAGCTGGAGTCTGGTACTGTAAGAAGGAGTTTGCGAGTTTGTACAATAGACAATGAGTGGCCACCAGATGCGGGGGGGTGGGTGTACAAAATGTTGGGACCAAACAGTTGATCCAACATGTTGCCAGTTGATCTCCCACGTGTTGGGGACCTTCTGCCCGAAAGAGGGTACCCTAAGAAAAGACACTTGCCCAGAGTCCAAACACGTGTCTGGCGGTTTCAACAGCTGCTTGCGGAACGTTGGGGCTATTGTCAGTTAGTTTACGTAAATTCAGAACGAGAGTAGGCGTTTCCAGCGTTGCAATCTCCGGTCCCATAATGAACGTAGGGGGTCTCAAAGGAAATTGAATGAATGAACCTCGAGGAGGAGTGAATCTACTTATATATGCCAGCAGTATCTTCCCTGCAACACAAGGTCCCCTCAAGATGCCATGGAATCCAAATGGTCGCCAGAGGCAGGTTATGTTTGCATTGACGCCGCCTGTTCATTTTCCGGAGATTTCTCAGCGGAAATTCTTAAGTTGGGAAGGCCAGCTCAGAATGAAATATGAAGGCCAGGAATGCAGCTGCCTTGGCCTGCAAGAGCCTTGCCTGGGTAAGGAGCTTGAGAGCTAAACACGCCCGGAAGTGGGGTACGGAGAAGCGCTGAGAAGTACCTCCCCCCCAACCGCCCCTCCCACGAAGGCTTCAGCCTTACAATCGAACTTTTGATGGAACACTAGGGGCAGGCAGTTGGGCTAGGGGAGGGGTTGGGGCCCTACCCTATCAATGAAACCTGACGGACAATCTGAAGGGGACTTCGGTTCACCCAGGACTCGGCAGAGGATGCGGTGGGGCCAGGGCAGCCCAGACTCGGTGAGATCGTCCCGATTTCTTTGGAATTGGCTCATTGGTTGACCCCAAGACTCCAGAATTTTGACAGGTCCTTTGGGCAAGTGAGTCAAGGGTTAGTTAGGCCAACATGTACTGTCGATTCCCAAAGTGCCAACGAAGGAAGCTTTGGGAATCCGGATGCGTTGTGATTGCTATAGTTGCAATGTGTAGGGAGTCCTATGTAGGGACATTCCGACATTCCCAATTTATAGAAGAGCCAAGAGCCCCTTGAAGTTTGCCGAGCTTTGGGTACTCATCGGTGAGGTTGCCTCAGTCACCGACATATTGGCTCCTTCGTTAATATTGCGCGGAGTGTTCCGCCAGCAGCGGAGCCATAAAAAGGTGAGCTTTGCAATCGAAGCTTAGACTCCTCAGATGAGATGCGCGTCTGATGCTTGCTCCCCTCAAATTTGGATCCTAAGAAGGTCCCTAAAAGCAGTTTCCTCCAAGAACAACGGTTTGTTGGGCGGGTTCCCCAAAAGAGTTTCCTCTGAAATCAGCTGTTTGTTGGGTTCCATGTTATTCTGCAGAGTATCGATTCTTGGGGTCCCACTCATTGCAGAGGGTTGACAGGCACTGTGCAGAAACTACAGGACAGGAGCCACCCTGTGATCCTTATTGTGTATCAATGTGGTGGAACATGTTTTTTTTTGTTGCTAGGGGAGGCCACTTTCGGTGATTCCGAGTTTCAAAAGGGACACCAAAAAGTCAACCCGAGTACGCATGCCCTTGGCCCCAGGCGAGTGATGCGACTTCTGCAGCGGGACGCCAGCTTTCAAGGCGTCATTCAGGCCGGGTCAGACCAATTAGGATAATAAGCGGGCCCCTTTGGGTCATTTTTGTATGTTCCACTCTTACAGCCAGACCTTTATAAACTTCCATAACCTTGCGCGGTGGAAACACAAGCTCATCAGGTTTGGGCGCTGCTCACTGTTCGGTCTTCGATCATTTGGCAGTCTGGGGCACAGCAACCAGCTTGATATGCCAGACAAAAGCCAAGTTCCTGGTAGAGGCTATTTTGAGGGGCAACTGCAGCAAATCTGGGAATGACTATGCACATCCTTGTTTATCATCCGTGTCATTGTTTTCATCCTCGTCATGCTCGCCATCGTCAACCTCTTGTTCATCGTTTCCCTTCTCCTCCTCATTGCATTATCCTTCTGCCTTCTCCTCATCACTCACTTCTCAAGTGCCTGGGAATACCATGTTAGCAAACAACATGTCCATCCACAGTATCACCTGCAACTTTTCAAGTGAAAACAACAAGACTTGTTCTTGTGTTGGCCGATGCCAAACATAGCGACCCAGTGAAACCAACTTTTCTTCAAGCAATATGCCATCGACTGTTGTCCCCTGAGGGCATTCTGGGCTGTATCTTTGTTTGGCTACGAGCTAGAATATATATATATATATATATACACATATATCATATATCCAGCTTCCAAACAGTGGGGTTGCAACCCAAGGACCGCGCCCCTTTCAAAGTACTATCAGTGCTCTTTTATGTCAGGGGGGCTGAAAAAAAGAGCTTCAAGTAATCAATCATTGAACCTATTATTCCGTGTGCAACTGTTTGGTTCCGAGCACTTTTGGCGGAGTCCAGTTGTTGTTGTTTTTTCATCCACTTGTTTTTTTCTTTTCGCGGGGGAAGTTCCCGTGAGCTTAATTAACGCCTCTTTGCCAGGACCGGGACTGGTCAAACTGGCCGGCTATGGCAGGCGCTGACATGGCAAACCGAGCATCGCTGAAGATTTCGAGTCAGGCCCTTGTTTTTCTGTGCCAAGGAAATTCCCTTGCAAGTGGTGCTGGTAAGGTAGCCACTTTAGTATCACAGGAAGCATGATGGTCAAACCTCACGCACTTCCGGTCGAACGATCATGCCTTGTGTTGTTTGTGTGTCTTCCGTGTCCATTTTGTTCAAAGCAGACCTCGCATGAATAACTGTTCAAAGCGGCGTGTCTCCAATAAGGATAAGGTGCTAGCAATGGATCGAGGTATAGACATTTTCAAACACGTAGTCCTGACCCAGACTTGCCCCTTGACCTCAGAAAGGCTCAGCAAGCCGGTCTTGCCTCTAAAGTGGTGCCAAGGGGGAGGAGAAGAAGTCCGGGCGGAGACTGCCGTAGGTTTCTCTAAAGATCTTTGTCAGAGGTTAATTTCAATGTCAATCGACGGGCCATCGCTTGCCATCATCAGGATCGACCCGTAGTGAAAAACATGGGACGCAAAATCATTCCAAGAGGGTCTCCACTCCCAACCGCTACCTCCAGGGGAACATACAGGCATAACCACTATATAGACATCGTATATAGGGTGTATAATAGTGCATTTCCCTTGGAGGTATATGCTTAGTGGCCTGGGGGCAGTGGAAGCCCTGATCAATCAGATCTCATGCAGGTGAGCCTCAGTATCCGGACAGCGCCAACCTGGACACTCTCTTCGAGATGATCGTCCAAGAATTGCAAGAACCTTACAAGGACAGATCCGAGACCTGGTGTTCTGCTGAGCCGTGCAAAGTGATTTAGCCATTGTCTTGTCCCTCTTTACCCGACATGTTATGCATGACTGCAAAGATCTTCCCAATGCCACACTGGTCAGCGAGCATGAATCCTTGACCTTTGCCTGAAACAGCGCCAGCTTTGGGGCACAGCCGGCATTTTGCGTGTTCTCAGCGGTTGTTTGGATGGTTATTGTTCTTCTTGCGGACGGAGTGGCATTAAAAGTGCTTACCATGCTAATGAACCATCAATCTGGTGGCCAGAGGTTCAGCCAAGTACCCCGCAGTTTCTCTAGGGATTCGCTTTGGGGTGGTCGCAGTTCTGGGAATGAATGCAGTATGGCTGTTCCTGCTATGTAGTTGGCTGGGGGGCGCAGCATCCAACAACGATAAGTCCTCCGCTCATCCAAGTGAGTGCCCTTTTGTTGGGTGATGATTAAAGGGGAAATATAGGGGGCGTAAGGGGCCTGGCCTGGGCCATGTTGGCGGGATGCGCTAGGTTCAATGACGTGGACCGGGCTTGGTATGCAAGTCAGGAGGGTACTTGCCATGTTCAGGGAACCAATAAGGGAAACGAAAAGAATAACCACCATTTTGGGGGGGTCCCCTTAAAGAAAACAGACCCATATAAGGGTTTGTTTGGAAAGTAATAACTTGGATGTCCGACCAGTTTAACAAACGATTAGCCACTCGAGTTACAATGCACTACAGGGTTAACCCCACTTGGGGGAACTTGCAAGCGAGTTCTACCCTAACTTCGCCGAACCCCGTCACAAGCTTCAGGACTTGCGCCAGATCCACTCGGAGCTTTCGAGCAGTGAGCTGCTGGGTGCCCAACTTCAACCGACGGAGACGGATTCAATCGGAGCCCTAAGTGCATCAAGGACTGGTTTCAAATGGGACCCTAAGGGACCCCAAGAGACCCCTATTTGCCCCCAAAGACCTCAAAGGTTTGGGTTGCGTCATTAGAATGGAGAAGAGATTCCTCAGTCTGAGTGCGACTCAGCTGGAGGTTTTACCTGGCGCTCACCGAGTCTGCGGAGGAGTTCAAGTCAGGGTGCATCGTGCGAGGCACCGTGCAGCACGGTGCCTAGTGAACTCGCCAGGAAGGTTGGTTTGCAAAATGGCTGCCTTCAACCAGACACTGGTCTACTTAGGGTTCTTAAAATACTGTTTCCTGTTTGGCGCATAGAGTCGTGAGACGCGGAGGCAAAGTGAATGTTTAAACAGATCAAGGGTTGGCCCAACGCTTTCCTGATGACGGTCAATTGACAGAGCTTGTGGCAAGAGCTGCCCTATGAAAATCCCATGGGATTTGCGTAGACTTCTTTAGGCTCGATTGTGCGGTAGGCTTCAGAAATCGGATCCAGGAACTCAGGACACATTGCCCCAGAAAAGCGAACCAAGCTCGTGGCTGGCTGTGACCCAGTTGTCCGTTGGCGCTGTTTTCTTTCTTTTGTGTTCGTGCTTGTATCTTCTAACATCCTCAACCAAAGGGGGTTCCGACCACCCCGGCAAGAAAGGAGCGCAGCTGGCAATATTTGGGGATATGGTGATAAGTTGATTGGAACATTGGAGGGGAATGCCAACTCACGTTGGCAAAGATCATTGCGCGTGGACCATTCTTGAGGCATGTTCATGGAATGCCAGCTCCGATTCAAGATTCACATTTTTGGCATAAATATGGAGGTGTCGGCTTTGAAGGCACCCCTCTTAAGGATCTTGGCATTGGGTAGTTTTACGGGGAAAAGGATTTCCATCATTATTTGGGGTCCCCGAAACCAAACCCATCTCCCATCGTTCTGAACGTGAAGTCGTGCGTCCAGACCGACAAACTCACGGTTGACCCACGTAACGCCAAGCACGTGAACTGCCCTCATAGGACACGCAGCCAAATCGAATCGATTCCGCCAAATGGACAATGGGTGGTTTTGTTTGGTCAAATGACTCTTCTGCGCATGACGTTTGGTGGCGGTTTATCCCACGTTGAAAGTGGCAGACCGATTCGCAAACCTTTGCTTAGCAACACACCAGCGGCTCGCTAGCGTCTTTAGGTTTGTAAGTGGACGAAATTCGGATTGCGCGTGCCTTTGTAGCGTTGAGAGGAATGCATGGTATTTGTTCATCTCACTACGGTGCCTACAAATGAATATGCGGAGCGCGGGCCGAGGATGAAGGCGTCGGAGGTAGTGCATGTTTCCAGTTTGTTCTGTTTGTTCCAAGTATTTCAGGTTGTTTAGCAGTGGCCGGGCCGGTCGGATCCGGTAGTATCAAATACAAGTTGACTTGTTCGAATATCCGGGTGTTTGTTTGTGGGTGCAGTGCCGTGATACCCTGAGGCGAGACGAAGAGTACCCTGACAAAGATCAGGCTGGGCACGTCATCAGCCGACATTCGTTGCATTGCATACCCCTTTCCATACAACAAGACTTGTTGCATTTCGTCACTAACAGCTGGTTGCATGCCACCTCGTTCCTACCCCGATGCCTTGAGGGATTCCCCATGGGCGCTTGCAGAGCATGCTTTCGCCGGGCATACCTGCAACTTGCAGAGAGCTTGCCCTTCTTCAAAAGAAGAAAAGTTCTCGGTGGAGCAGATAGCAGGGATGAGCCAGAAGAAAGCTTTTTGTGCTTTACCTCACTGCATACCTTATCACGAAAGCTAGCTTTAGCTAGCTGAAGTTTCTCCTTGCGTAAGCAAGGTAAGGGGCTCAAATGCCGAATAATTGATTTTTTCAATATTTGAGCCGAAAAGATTGAAAAACATCAATTATTTAGACCCCCCCCCCTCCCCCCCCCCCCCCGGTCTCAGGCTCGATTCCTCCCTGGTCCATCCCCCCCCCCCGGGCAGTGGCTCAGTGTTCAGCAGTCTCGGTTTGCCCGTTTTGGACTTGGTGCTACGAACTTTTACATGTTCCACCGATTCAGCTTGTTCATTTGAGACCTCAGTCTTCTCGGTAAACCACCTCGCAAGAATCTTTGCACACGCAGCATGCAGAACCCAGAGGTGCTTTCAGACAGCTTCTGACGCCTCTCGTTGTTTTCATTTTTCAAGGTTTGCCACGCCACCATGTGCGTTTGCGTGTCGCATCCTACGAATCTTGCCGGGCCTCTCGTTGTACACAAGCTACCTATGAATCCACTCTGTCACCGACCCATCTCATGCAACAACTGCTAGCTTTCGTTCACCCGCTCCTCAAGTTACATTATTGCTACGTACTTGCATACCCACTCGGGTCCAGCAACCCCCCTTTTCTTGCTGCCACTTGCCTTGCGCAGAATAGTTGCCGCTTTCAAGCTGGAGCTGCGGAAGCGTACCCGGGAAATGAACAGGTGTGCTGCATACCTCTGGGACTGTAACAGGACTAGTGCCGAGCCGTGTGTTGCATAGTTGCCCTCAAAAGAGTCAAACATCGCTGAGATGTACTGCAGGTGGAACGAGGTCGGACACAAGCACCAACTTACCATTGCAGCAGGGGTATGACTCAAAGTCCTGACAGTTGATGGCGGCTCACCATAGGTCACCTCTTGGAAGTATGCCAGAGGGTCAAGGGCCAGTTAGGGTTCCAGCAAAAGGGTTTGGGGTTTAGACAACAGGCAGAAGACACGTCAAGGTACAAAGACGGCTTCAGGTTTCGATATATATATATATATACATATACATATATACATCCTCGATTTGTTTTTTGGCTTGGCTTACCTTCCTAGCCTTCCCCTTCTTTGGTGTTGCTTCCTCTTGGCCAGAAACTAGTTAAATTCTGGGGGGCAACAGGTAGAGAAGTGCGGCTTCAGCAAGCGTAGAACCAGGGCCTAACGCACCCAAAGTGCTCCCGGAATGTGGGAAAGCACTCGTATGCTTGCCACCCAACCAACGTACCAAGCCCCTCCAAAATGCTGGTTCCTTTTGGTTTCCATTCAACCCAAAAGCAGGTACCCTCAACAAAAGACAGACCCGCATAGCTGGTGAGGAAAAGGAAGACGACGACAGGGGCCACTATGTGCCCAAGGTCATGGTGCGTCTGGCCTGGGGACCTGGCGCAAGGAAGCTTTCGGCGGAGTGGGGCTGGTGTCACGTTTTGTAGGGCAAACAGCCACAAAAGGTTTGAACAGAGGGTAAGACTCTTCAAGAGGTTGCCAAAGTGGAAAGCGGTGGCGGTGCCAAAGGGTAAAGCTTTATATTAAAACAAGGGGAAGGACACAAACATGAGAAGGACGGGTCAAAGCGATTTTGGTTTATAGCTGTGCGGTTCTATATTGCGGCGCCTGTTTTTTGACGGGAGCCACTCCTTTCAGGTTTGGTATTTGTTTGTTGGGCTTTCTTTCTGATTGATTTTGGTTGGAACTTTTCAACAACAAGAATCCATTCAACTAGAGGAACCTGGGCCTTCCCGCGTGTTCCGTGTAAATACCAAAAAACAGAAAACCATTAACTGGAGGACCCTGGGCCGTTGCTCCCGCGTGTTCTGTGTAGCCAAAATACCAAAAGTGTGGGCCTTCCAGGCCAGTGGCACCTCGGTGTTGGGCAGCTTCCAGAAGGCCGGCGATCGTTTTGTGCAAGCCTTCCCTGGAGTCTCCACCTTTGGGGTCACCGTCTTTCTGGGTAACGCCCATGACTAGAAAGGGTCATGGAGACTTCCAGCTCTGTCTTTGGGGGGGCTTTGGGGTCCTTTGGATTTATTAAATCAGAACAGAGCTGGGGTGTTTGTGCGACTCAGAAATTTGCGGCGGTCGGTCGGGGGACTTTCAGACCTCAGGTGACTAGGTCTTGGGGTCTTGGGGTGGAGGGGTTCCTTTTCTTTGCATGGCAGCGTGAGCCGGTCTTAGAGACTGAAGACTGAGGAAAGCTGCGGCTGAGTCGCTCGCTAATCAGAGCGGCGGGCGGCTGGTTCCAGCGCCTATTCTTGGTGCTTCCTAGCCATCCCCTTAGCTTTTTGAGTGGGGATTTCCATTTCACCCACCAAAACTTTAGCATTTTAGCGGGCGATCTGAGGGCGGCCCAGTATTGAATTGTTAGTCCATTGTGTAATTTTAGTCGTCACTGCAGTGCTTGAGATTAAGGATTTGCTTAACTGGGGTTCGTGGGGATTTGTCATCAGCCCTTCAATCGATTATACATACATGTATATATATATATATTCACAACCAATGTCAGGGTTCATAATAAACCATGACCTACCATGACCATAGCCCGCAAGAAGTTTTGACATGTGGCGCTGTATGGCGCTGTAGGTTGACCTTTGAAAAATGCCTTTGCTCTTGTTGATACTCACCTTATGCTGAAACTGGTAGCTTCCATTGGCGGTTTCGGCATAAATTCTGAAGCTAAATCATCCTGAACGGGGGTTCGAATCGCCAGTTCTCACCCAAACCCTTGGAAGGCTTACTGTCTTCGCCAGTCAAAGCTATGGGGCGGAGCTGCTCTGGAAGGGTTCCGGTCGGGGATACCTGGGGTCATTGTGTGTTATTTCCTTTCATTGCAATCCTTCATATTGCCTTACCAGATCTTTCCAGCAAGGAGTCTTCACTTGTTGCAGGGTGTCCCGGGTTTTGGCCTGTTTTCTTTGTGGAAGACAATCTCTGTGGTAAAGCACGCCGTCATACAATTTGGGCCATCCACTGAGGGAGGAATGAGAACCTCTTCGGGGCAGACCGTCTCCTCATGTTTCTCCAGTTTGCCAGGCCTACAGCCACGGCAAGTATGGGCGGTGCGCTTAGCTGCACACGGTTTTGGACACGCGACAGAAATCGCCCAGGCGACTTACATCGGCTGGTCTTGAAATAAGGGATCGAACATTCCAACTGGGCGGTTTACCTTTTGCTTCCATTTTCAAAGGGCCACGCAAGAGGGTGTTTTCAATAAAGGGGGCCATGCTCAAATCGCCCCTACAGTGTATTTGCCAGTTTCCCCGAAGAATTGAGAAGAGCAGGCCAGAAAGCACCAGCTTGGTCCAGAATCTTGGCTGTTCGACTAAGTGGAGAAGCCACTTGTGTTATACCCCACCAAGAATGGGGTTGACTCCGGGGAGAATAAGTGGGTTACAACCATAGCTACCAGCAGCTCGCAAGCTTGGCCGCTGGGATGGGTCCTGGCCACCTGTCTCCAATTCGGGGGTTGCCGGAAGAGCTGAAAAGTATCAACCATCCGTTGGATGCAATTGCCTCGGGATCAATAGCACACTGCTTTCCAAGCTTAGCGCCTTCTTCCTCTGTCAAAGTAGAGCCAGGGCCATTGGCGTCAGGGAATGCTTATGCCGTCAGCCACCTGAATGAACCTTTTTGAATTGATTTTTTCTTGGCTGATTCGCCGACGGAAAGCAGATGAAAGCACATGCCCTTCATTCTTCTATTTTTACCAGCCAACAGGCGCCCCTTCTTAGCGACAGCCAGGGGATCGATCCCTGACCGCAAGGAAGGCCGGGCACCTGCCTGGGTGCGACCGGCACTTCACCAGGGGCGAGGCCATCCTTGCCCGAGTGCGGGAGGTGAAAGCAGGCGCGATCGATCGGGTGACCGGCTGTTTGTTTTTTGCCCAAAGCCACTACGCATGGGTTCCAATGGTTGGAAATCCATGGAAAACCCTCAAATGGATGGACACCAATCCCCATGTTAAAGATGTCCACCAAAACCAGCAGTGGAGTGGCTTGGGAAGATCGTGCACGCCACCAAAGCTGGCAGCAGCAAAACCGTGTTCAGATTGTTGGCGGGCTGGAGGCTGGAAGCAAAGCTATTGCCGGTTTCAAGTTTCATGAACATTGAATCCAGTAACAAGGAATAGGATCAGTTGTATTGGAACATGGACTTGTTCAAGATCATCTTTTTAATACATTATATATTAGTGGATCTTGCAAGGATGGAAGTACCAGGAAAGTGTAAGTCAAGTATCTTGGTGGTCCAATTATCCGGCGGATCGACAACGCATGTCAATGAAATGTTGAGCGGTAGAACTGCAACAGAAACAGGACGCTGCTTCTTTCGCCATTGTGGCCAGAGGCGTCCAAATTCACCGGCGTTTGTTTCCGAGGTTGCGCAAGCTTTCCCTTCGCTGGTTTTTGCGCCCGATTCCAGACATCGTTCAGTTGCACGCTACGGTCAAAAGATTGATTCCCCCCAAAGGTTCCGATGTTTCCTGGCAAACTTGGGAGACAGACGGGACGAGTGAGGCGTGTGCCGAAGCACACGATGAACCGCTACAAGACCTGGGGTTGTATAAAAGGTAGACGAATTCTAATTTAGTATTGGGCCGGTCCTTCTCGACTAAACATGCGCAAGACCTTGCAAACGTTAATGAGCTGAGCAAAACAAAGCGAACGCCATTGGTAAGACATGCGTGCTGCACATGACATGATGGAGGCCCAGTCGGGCCTCAGGCACTGGCTCAAGCCACTGGAGGAAAGCCATGGATATTCTGGACAGGATGGTTGAATCTTGCTGGGTTTTTGGTCTCACTTCCTTGTTCGGTCCGAGGGACTGTCTCGAAACGATGACAACCACGACAACAGCTTCCCTGGCAATGTCCATAGAAGCAAAACACAGTTGTCTGACCATTGATCACCTGTGGAGCTTCGACCATGAGAATATGCATTCTGGGCGCAGGCAACTATTCCTTCCGCGTCCTTTTGTCCGTAGACCAAGACGAGGACTGCGCCGAATGACCCATGTCGTGAAGAGGCAAGAAAGAAAGCACTACCAGCATGTCGACCAGGTTGCGTGTAAAATCGGAAAGGTGTCGACACGTGGGCGGGAGAGCAGCAATGCAGATGAGTGGTCGGGCACGTATCTTTAAACGGCAATAACAACACTCATGTCCACTTACAAGTTTACCGTTCGCACAGTCGCCATTGTTCGCAGCGGGCAACCGTTTTCCCCCCCCTTCTCGGGATGATTTGATGCCAGCGCCAGCTGAGTTTACCCAAGAAAAGTCTGCGAGAAGCCACGGCAAGCATTGGGTATCGGTCTTTAAGGTGCTGGATCATCCTGGGGAAGTGCCGAACCAACTGAACCCAAGATGAGAGTCCACAGGTGGGCCTGGTCAGGTCATTTGAGCAGCGCCATAAACCCTGACAATACAAAGTAGTAAAGGGGGGTGTCCTATAGAATCCCCGTGAAAGACAAAACACAGGCCGCGAAAGCTTGCGAAAGCTTATCGCGAAAGTAACCAAAGAAGGTCCCACCGCGAAAGACCCGCGAAAACCTGCATGCTGTGTGACGGTCCGCCGCGAAAGCGTCGCGAAAGCAATTCTAAAGAAACCAAAGCCCGCAAAAGCAAAACATGGGGTCGCGAAAGCATCGCGAAAGGGTCCGCGAAAGCAAGTTTATAGGACCGCTTTTTACACAAGAGTATTTGGCACGGCTCATTTAAAGGGCAGCCGGGTGCCCAATGTTTGCTAATTAGGCCTAGGGGATGCTTGGCAAAAACCAATCGGTTGGTTGGCTGAACAGTCTGAGGAACATTTGTGTAAAGAGCACTTCTTTGGAGAAGGCGTTCCTTTCAAATAGACTACAAACAAAGCCCTAGCCAGTAAGAATGCAGTCGCCGAGATCCTCAAACCTAAATTTAGTCATGATCATGGGAATCGAGTGGGTAATGATTCAGCCTCAGATACCGAAAAAACCGGGCACGCCTTTCCCCATGGCCACTGACTGACTGGGTTGCACCAACGCTGGGGGCAAAGTGGTTGAGGTGAAGCCGGACATGAGGTTTGGTGAACATGTCCTGAAATCTGTCTATCCAGGGGGTGCACTCATTGTCCCATGTGGCCCGCGGAGCTTGATCATACCGGCATGCCTTCGGGAGCAATTCTTTACTGTGAAGTAGCCATTCATTTTGCCCCCCTTCTCATTTTCCATGCCACCGCACAAACCCGGCACAAGCACAGTTTTATTCAACTCAGCTTGTCAACTTTGGACTTCGGTTGCACAAGTCAAATGCGCACAAGCCTTTAAGCCGTGAATTGCAAATCAAGTGCAATGAACATCCCTCTCTTGTATTCATGAATCTGATGGTTTTTGTGCCTGGCAACGGGGAAGCCCATGTGGAAAGGACCGACGTGGAAACGTTTGGGACGCCGGGAAACGATCAACAAACATGTTGAGCAAAGAAGCTCAATGCCAAAGAACGAGTGGGTACGGGTGACAGCTCGGGCACCGGGTCCCTCAGAAAATATTGTCATTCTCAAAATGGGGAACCCGTTTCCTGTGAAACGACAAGAAGGGGCTACCATGAGAGCACATCCCCCTCCAGTAGTTTCCGGCCAATCTCAGGAGCCAAAAGGGACGCCGAAATGGTCGGGTTTCCGTTTGGAGAGGCCGTTCCAAAACAGAAGGCGCACCAAGGAAGTCGGGCAACCCATACCTGCGGTGGCGGTTGTCTCATTCTACTTGTTTAAAGGCGATAGGTTCTTTTTCAAGTCGCATACCAAAGAACGGGCACCCATCTCTCACTTCCCGAGTTCCGTTTGATACTTTGGGGCAGGCCATGTTAGTGGCAAACAAAAAGGCAACGCACTCAGAGAGTGTGTTCTTCCCCATGGCATTGTTCGGCCAGGAGATTTGGATGGAATCCTTGCCCATCAAGGACGAGGATGTGCCGTACTTCTTGCCTGGCAGCGGTGACGACTGGACCAAGGCACCTGGGCATTTCAAAAGTTAGCGATGCCAACACCCTGTTGGATTGGGCGATACAGGCTATTGTGTTCAACAACGTGCAAAGACCTACTGCATCGTTTTAGCAAGGTTCCATATTGTTCTTGTCGTGTTTTTGTTCATCACCTTTTTGGGCCAGGGGCTGGTTGGCTGGAACGCTGGTTGGCACATTTTGCTCAACTTGTCCTGGTTGAGCCAATTCCTCGAAATCCGGGAAGGGAGCGGATCCTCGGGCACAGTCCAATTTCCAGACATATATAGGTGCTAATTGTTTGCGTTGTTTCCTGCAGAGTTTTTTCAAGATCAGAATTGGTTGTCAAAGGCCAATCGAGCGGATGGCATTGTTTTAGTTTCTCTTTGGTGTGCCTTTGGTCATTTCCCCACAAGGAAACCTTTCATCTGTCTGGTTCTTTGGGCAAGTGAGCCGAAGGAGTACAGAGCAGACGTTCATTCCGCTTGGGTAGCGCCATTGATAGCTCCAAGCTTCCGGAGTTCCTAGCCAATTTTGTTTCCGACGGAAGTGCATAGGCCCCGTCCCAAAGATAATGTTGTCTTGCAACGTGGGGCTTCCATAAAAATAAATAGCTTTCAAAAAAGGCCCTATACAATATGATATATTGATTTTCTTGCTCATAATATATAGCGTGTGCGTATCCGGACGAGCTCAATGAGGCTTACCAGGCTGACGCCTGACTGCCGCCGACCCCAAGTGGTCTAATTTTGTGCGGTTGGGATGGTCGAGCTCGGGAGGGCTGGCACGGGCTAATTTTGTGAGCTGCGAAAGGAGGAGTCGAAGCCTCAATGGCCAGGGCCAGCCCCCAAGGCCAGCCCCAGGGCCAGCCCCAGGACCGAACAACTTGCTTCAGAACCAGCCCAAACCCCGCCCTTTTAGGAAAATGAAGAGCTTCCTCTATGGCGCATGGCTCAATAGTTGCAAACCTGCCGCTCCTCGGTGTGAGTAGGTTAACAGCAGGAGGGGTCGGCGGATTTTGGCGGAAGGGGAAATGGGACGCTTTCTGAATTTATGAGTGTTTCGTGCACAGCCCGGGCGAGTTCGCAAAGCCACAAATTTGTGAGTGCTGGCCGGTAACCTGTTGATTCTCATGCGGGAGGGAGATGAAAGTGCTCAATCATTTGTTGTTGTCCTCAGATGAAATGTGTGCTTCGCACAAATGGGATCCCTTCCCTTGGTGGCATTTTGTATGTGAATGCATAATATACGTATATATATATATATATATGTAGCCATATTCATGAATGAACCTACGTAACTACAAAACGAAATGAGTGATAATTTCAACTTACACAGACAGGATACGTATATTAGCATATATGCATACACTGATACAGCTGCGTACATACACGCGCTTGTATGTGTATATATATATATATGTGTACACACACCTACACGCACTTTCACAGACAGAGACAGCTTGAGCAAGTAGCGGTGTGGCCTCGCAGCTTAAACCCGACCTTAACAAAGCTTGGAAGCCCAATGACTTTTGGGAAATGTGTTTTTTGTTTTTTTGGGGGGGTCAAGGGTCAACTTTATTTTGGTTTCACATTTCAGCCGTTCACTGGACCTGCAACCTTGACCCGGCTTCAGGAAGAGCTACCAAAGCGAATCAACATGACAAGTTTGGGCTTGTGAATTACCACGGTGGATAGTGGATGTGCCCAAGCTTGCTCATGCACTGTGCCGGCACAACCAAACATGGATTCAACCTGTCACGATTCTCAATCCAGCTTTGTTAAAACGATCCACCCTGAAAAAAATCTCTTTTTATTTGGCGGGTTTGGGACCCACTGCAAATGGAAGGAGGAGCCCGCTGGGGAACACCGTCAATTCTTGGAACAGGGTGTTCCTAACAAGCCCACGGGTGAAATCAACCAGCTGAAAAGAGCTGGCCCCTTCTTGTTTGTGCCCTTTCTAGGTGGCCTCAATCCTTCAGTTCGTGGGCTCAAAAGATGTTTTTTGGGTCTGGATCATATCGGGGGCTCTTTTGATATTGGCAACCCATAATTTGACTTGCAGGTGAAGCTTGGGCTACTGGACAACTCCGAGCAGTCGCTCTGGCAGAATTTGCGATAGAACGATGAAGAGGTTGAGCTCGCCTGACGGGTCGCTAGTAAGTGGCCCAGGTGAGGTCCTTTGTTTATGTGGGTTTGCATGCTTGCAACTATAGAGAATCGACCATTCTTTGTTTGGGTTTCCCATAGCACATGTTCATTCCAACATGTGATATCGTCTGATTTTCGGGTCCTTTGGGTTGCAAGTCAGTGAGGAAGATACGGAGACTTTGGTTGTTATTCGAGAAAGGAGAGGTCGATCGTTGAGGCATCACACCGCTCTTGGGTCATGGTGACGTTTTGAACTTGCCATGACACCATGTTACTACGGCCATGGAAGAATTTGGCACAGGGAACTGCAGGCACATAGAAACTCCAGGTTGGTCCGCCCTTTGGAATGGTTTTAGGCAAACGAACTGTATCAGCTCTTTGCGAGTTCGCTCAATCAATGGCTATGAATGCTAATGGGAAGTACCCCAAAGCCACTGCTGAAACACAAAACAATCTCGAACACAACAAAGGCCATGTATCTTTGATGTCCAGAGGGGTCCAGTCCGGGCTTGGAGCTGGTTGGCTTTGACAATTTGGGTACTTCCCAGTTGTGTTCATGTTTGTGCCCAAAACAGCAACGCAACTAATTGATCAAAAGGCACTTTCCCTTTTTGCCACTTCCGGATGTTGCTTTGAGAAACAACATGCAACCACTAAAACCTCCGTGTCGCCCCTTTTGAGCGGCTAGTTTCATTGTCGATACATAGGTGTTCTTTTGTGTCAGTTTGGTTGCACATAGATGGCACTGGTTTAAGTTTGGTTCAATCATTTTTTCCAAATTGACACCTGGGTTCAAGATCTTTCCCGTAATATACAGATGCATATGATCCCCTTTGTCGTGGTTTTCTTGGTCCTGACAGAATTTGGGGCCTCCACATACGTCCTTTTGACACCCCATTTCAGCAACTCCGGGTGTGTTTGGGGACCGGGTCCCGGCTTCTGCGATTCTGCGTACCTAGCCCCAATGGGCCCGGGTAGTTCCACCCAGAGATTTGCTCGCGCCAGGAAGCGCAAGGCGCAGCTCAAGGATTGGATCCGCCGGCCTCGGAACATCAAGCACCCCAACTACGTGGCCGCGCCGGCCAGTTGCTTCGTCGGCCTTGCCAACTCCTGAAAGGCCTTGAAAGGCCCTTAAAGGCCCCTGTTTGGGTTTGCTTCAATGTCCCTTTCAGCGAGGACGGCTGATATAACTGATTGAAGGAGGGCTATATTTGGTGTGGGTGAAAAAGAAACTCGCCGACATGCAAACCCTGAGTTGACGTGTTCACCAAAATGTCCCAAGCGAACCTGCATTTTTTGCGGACTTGGCAGGTGAGAACTGGGGGTGTTGACTGCAAGGGCCTGTTTGGGACCCTGGGGGGTTGTTTGTTCAGGGTCCCCGAAAGATACATTTGGGCCAGCTAGTAAATCACTTTTACAGTGGGTTCCCTTATGAAGTGTTGATCCCGCAAGCCCTGAGCTTATTGGAAGTCTAAGCTTATCTACGGACGGACCCCCTCGAGAAAAAAAATATATAGCAAAAACAAGGTCCCCGGCCATCAACGTTGTGTTGCCAGAAGTAGCCGAACCTTGTCTTCTGTTTCCTTTTCCTTTGAATCAGAGTTTTAGTAAACGCTCGCCATGCAAGCACTGAGTTATGCCAGAGTCGTGCGACCCCCCGGTATGTTGACTAATCCTCAGGAGCAGACTGCGCACTCCAAAGCAACAGGGAAGCCCGCAACATCCTTTCCACTGGTATTTCCTTGTGGAATCACTGAAAACAGGCTTGGGAAAGCAGGTGACAACAGGTAGTCCGCTTGAAAGAGAACCTGAAAGTTGATGTGTGAGCAAACGTGGTTCCAGCACTTTTCGACCAGGGCGGCCCATGGCAACCTTCGGTTCATGAGAAAACCGGGAAGCAACTTGCAAGCCCCACTTGCCCAGTGGAGTTCAGTTTCTTTTCCCTTTGTGCGTTGAAGAGTTTATCTTCCTTCAAGATCAACCACCACAAAAGAGGGTGCCCTTCTCCCCACAGCTGGGCAGAAAGGAACGGAGTTGTCACTTAGCCTCCTCGATGATGCCCTCAACTGCGCGGAGACCCAAATCGCAACATGGCAGGTGGGTGACCATGCCTACGCCGTCAACACCCTTCAGCACTTCTTTCTAGGCGGTGGCCTCAGGAAGTTTCCCGGTCCACGTTTGGCAGTTTTTGCCTCGGAACAGGTGCTTAATCCTTTTCGAGTTGAGTTAGCCAAGCTTTGTGTTGGGCAGTTGATCCACAAGCCAGACACTCTGCATATTGTGGCAGCCCAAGCTTGTTTTCATCCTGGGGTTCCTTCCCAAATTTCCTAGCCTAAGAGGCAGACATGTTTAGTTAATCATCCCATATCGAAAGCAATCTGAGCAACCTACCCGAAAGTTTGCCCACTAAGGACCTCAAAGCAAGCGCTTTGCTTTCTGACACCACAGTCATGGCGTGTGACGGGCATTGGGCGGCCAAGAGTTGCCAACATTGTGACGAGTCAAGATTTGAGGACCGGTCATCTCTTGTTCGCTTTGCTGCAGCCTTTGCAGAGGTGCATGACCACCTGTGTCTGGTCACGGCAAAAGAAGCCGCACGCTCCAAGACGTCAGCTCATGGCATCACTTGCCAAATGCAGACGCCTGCTAAGGGATGTGTATGTCCCGCGTTGCTATGCATGCGTTTGCAGTGAAAGAAGGGAATCGCGTGCTGCCTGCTGCAATGTGGCGCTACGAAGTCGCCAAAGCCACACAACTTGTGGATGTGCAACCTCAGGCTCAGCTTCCGTGACTTCGATAGCTTCTGCCCATTTTACTGACGCCTGGTAGCCCTGTGGTGGTCGGTCGGTCAGTGTGGGTGGGTGGGTCGGTGGGGGGGGCGGGCGGGTGGGTGGGTGGGCGGGTGGGCGGGGGCAAGTGGGTGGGCCGGTTTGGTGCCTGGGTCGGTGGGTGCGTAGGTAGGTGGGTGGATGGTGGGTTTCTGGTTTTGTGCTTTTGTGTTTTTGTGTGTCGTGATTGGTTGCTCCATTGAGGAAGATGTGTCAGTGGGCACATTGCTTAGAGCTTCCGTGCAGAACACTTTGGGTCTGTCTTCTGCTCCCTCTGAGGGCGGGTCCTGGGTTGGCTTGCGGTTGACTTGGTGGTGTTGCTCTGACTAAGGGTGAGTCCGGCAACAATTTGAGTTAACTTATTGACTGATGGCTGATATATTGTTGGGTTGAGGGTATAGTTGGACCGGTTGCTAGCAAGTTGTTGGGTCGAACAAGCCTCTCCGTTTGTGGGGTTGCACCCTCCTCAGATTCTTTGAGTAGCTTGGGATACCGCGGATACCCTTGAATCAGTCAAGAAAGGGTGGGCCCTTATCGTTCCCTGCCGGGCTTGCCAAGCCCGCCCCCTCCTTTCAAAGGAAAATCGCACGGGCCTGAGCCGATTCTTCTAGATAGCCACGCGAATCAAGCTGGCATTCCAGCCAGCTTGCATCGTCAGTTTGCCGCACAGTACCCTTGGACCGAATTGTTGTTCCCATTTGGGACAAATGGTTGTCCAATGTCCCAAAGGTCAACCATGAGTTCCCTGGTCTTTGTTTCACTTTGGAGGCTGGAGGTATGTTGTTGGCATTTGTGAATAAGGGTTGAGCTGATACATCAGGACATGCTGCATTGCTTTACCAATTCGTTCCCGCAGATGCTGGACACATCGCGCACTGACCTGCAAATGAGTTTTCTCAGCGCAGTCCAGAAATGACACTCCTTGGCTAAATTCAACAAACCCATGAATCGTCAGCAGCTGTCAGCGTTTGAATGGCTGGCTTTTGCAGAACTTCTCACGCTTGCAAAGCCTCACTTGCCCAAAGCCGACCTTTTGACCTTTCAGTTTCCCCCTTGTTGGTCGATGTTTTGTCAAGGTTCCAAAAGGTTAACCATCTATTTCTGGGTCCTTTGGGAACTGAGAAGTAGTTCGTCCCCACGGCATTGATCAACCAGCTAGACCCGGCCAACATGGTACATGTCCAAGACGGAACGTGCCTGACATGCCGACCGGCTTCAACAGGTAGGTTGTTTCCTCCTTAACCTACATCTACCAGGGTCGTGTCTTTTAATGTCGCGAGGCACTGTGCTCTTCCGATCCTCCAAGAACCATGACTTGCTCATAGCCTACTTGAAGGCGCTTGAGCCCACATAAAGGGAAACCAGCCGGCAACCTCAAGTCGTTGAGACTTGAGGATCCAGCTACAGGAGCCCTATGGCTATTGGGAACCCAGGATGAGTTAACGGATCATTGCAAGACTCACCTTGTTCACCATCTGAAAGCTTCCGGGTTTCCCAGATTCAGATTAAACCGCCATGGGCAGGTTGGCAGGTTGGCTTCCGGAAGCCGCGGTTTGGTTGCTTGCAGTTTTCAAGTAGGGACTCCCGACATGGTGTGTGTGCTTTCCTTGGTTTCCCTTCAACATAAGAGATCCCCTATTCTGGGCACGCCCGTCTTGAGGTCTTCTTTGTTGCTTGCTCCTGTGGTAGAGAGCCATCGGGCTTTGGAACCATTGTTTTACTCTGGCAAGCCGAAATGCAGTTCGGGCGACTGGTGGCTTCACGTTGAAACATCCCATTTCTGGAGATCCTGTACACCTTGCGGGGCAACCCCGCCTACGCGGGGAAGAACGCAATAAAAAGCAAAACAACCAAGGCGCCCCCCCAACCCCCCAACGGCTATCAAATGCTTGGTGAATGCGACATCCTTTGGGCTGTTTTAGACCATTTGCAGTTGGGACCTGGAAGCAACAATTGTAAAAAGGCTGACTTGGCATCAGCTTCCCAGCTGCCGACCTTTTGACCATGTGGATTTCCTGTTTGGCCCATGTGAAACACGGTCAACAATTTATTGCCCGGTTCTTTGGGCAATATGGCTATGGGTCAAAATTAATCCACCAGGAAACCGCTGGCTTTAGTTACCAGGGCTCGGTTGACCAGGGTTCCAGTTTGGGTACCTATTTTGGACCCACAGCAAGAAAGGCCATGACGGTCACCTCTTGCAAGGGTCCCTTGGTAAGCGATGGCCACGGTCACGCGTTGCCCAAAACCACAGACCTGGCTTGGGCCAGTCCGCCGCTCGCACGCTGCAAAGTTGGTTGGTTTTGAGCGTTTGTGCAGACTGGAGCTCATCAGACATCCAAAGAAGAGAAAAAAGCTTCAACATATCTAGACTCCCTCGAGCAACGCTCGCTTGGTGCCTATGAGGATGCATTTGAAAGGGGTCGAAAGGGTTAACGTACCTTCTCAGAAGGCACGTGGACCCTCAATGTTCAGACATAATTCCTGTTCAACCGTTTGGCTGGCACCTTATTTACGTGTGTGCCATGATCAAAAGACCGCTTCAGGTTGGTTAGGGTGGTCATTGACCCCATTTTGTTTAGACAACCTCTAAATGTTGACCCTGGAGGAAAAACGTCCCTCCGAAAGTGATGAATCCCCACTAAAACCACACTAACACAAGGGCTTGTGAATCTGGGGTAAAACTCTTCAGGGAGCCATGGCCATGAACCAGGAGTTTTGCTTGGCATGGTTCAGAGCCCAATGGCGGGCTCTCACTGGGGAATTGGCGAAGTCTACCCACTCACTAGCATGGATCCGTCCTTCTGGCTTTGGTCAGCGTGGGTGGGAGGGTACAAATCTGTACTGATAAGCTGTTAAGCTGCAGTTTTCTAGGCTACTTTTCTTGGCTGCTCGCCCAAATTGATAAGTGGTTAGCCACATGGGTATAAGTATAGGCCATCAGCAACAGGGTTAACTCCTACCAGTGGTCGTTAGTTATTGCCTAGGTGGCAGGTTATTAACAACTTGTTAGCTTTGCCGCACATCCAAGCACCACAAGGCCGAGTTTTATCAGGGTTTCGGCAGCCACGGTTTTGCTGGATTGTAAGGACGATCTCGCATTTGTTGCCACAATGATTCTTGTCCATGGTTTGCGCACTTTTCTTACCTCTCTTCTTCTTTCACCTTGCCCCCCTGTTTATGTGATCGAATTCTTTTTGCCTGGTCTCCCGTCTGGTGCCCGAGGAACTTGGTGAGATGTGGCTGGTCAAAACCAATGGTAGCATTTTGGGGTATGAATTCACCACCCATTCTAGAACCAATTTCAGTGGGGATTGGGACGGGGGGCTAACCCGGCTCTTGACCCATGGCCAAAGGTGAGCCCCGGCGAGTTGCCGCCCCCGCACCGCAGGTGCGGCCGACCACGGCACAGGAGCTCACCATGCCGGGTGAGCTGGCGCCCGACAAGTGCCTTTGCAAGAAAGCGACTGTCCTCCCGGTGCTGTTGGAAGTTGACCGCGTTTTTTTTTGTTCTTTCTCTTTTGCTTCTCTTCATTTTTTGGTTTGGTTTTGCTGAAAAAACACACACACACACACGCACAGGTTGGGTTTGCTGCCGTACCAAGGGTTGGACAGCTCCCCATCTTTTTGGCCTCACATTGGGGCCCTGTATGAAAGTCAGATTGTGTGCTTGTTTCCCTTCAATCCCTTTGGGGCACTTGGATCATGACAAAATCATGAGCGGTCAAAATGTATTATCTTCCAGGGTCCTCCAAGATCCCTTGGCGTTAGTGTGTTGATCCACATTCAATATTGATGCGTAGAACCCCCCTCTAACGGCGATGAACTAGTTGCTCGGTGACCTGCTTTGGGCTATTTTGGGGGCCATTTGCCAGCCACAGGGAGTCGGGGCTTGGGGGTCTGGGGCAGGTTGCTATAGAATTTAGGTTTGAAGGGTGATTTTGGGGGTGGGGTGTCACTTTGCGGGGTTGGACCAAACATGTGGTCCCCTGGTGGTTTAATTTTGAAATGGGTTGTCTTTTTCCCGGAAGCATTGCGAAAGGATAATTCTGGTAACATTGTTAGCCATATCGTGCATAGTGATATGCATATACACGAGGGGATATGCATAGTGATATGCACGTGAGACCATAGCGTAGCAAGAGACGCGAGCACACTTGTGTGAGCAAACTCGCACGAGCACACTTGCGCGAGACAACTTGCACGAGGGTTTCAAGCATATGCTTTTAAGGCGGCGCGGTGGGACCAAAGCCACTCTGCGAAAAGGACACCCTCAGCGAGGATTGGCGTAATCGATGTGCAAAAATGGGCGCTCGTTCTACATTTTGCGGACCGCGCGGCCCTCTGCGGGGATCGCAGTGGTCAATGTGCAAAAATTGAGGGCTCGTTCTACTCTGTGCGGTTGTCGCGCGACCTTTTCCGGGGATCGGCGTGGTTGATGCGAACAAGCTGGAGTGTTTTCTTCCGCTTCTTGGAAGGCACTTGCGTGGAGAACAGTCCTTTGCAGTGAGAACGACGTGCGCGAAAAGTTTGGACAGAGCAACTTCCAGAGAGATACTTGCACAGAGCGCTTGCGCAGAGAAATATACACTAAGAGCCCGCCCCGAGAACTTGCATCGATCACCTACGCAGCGAAACTTGCATCGAGAACTTGGGTATAGACAAGCTTGAGCAGATAGATGTAAACCGAGAACTTGGGCAGAGAAACTTGCGCCAAGAACTTGCGCCGAGAGATTTGAGCCGAGAATGGGAATGGTCCGTTTGGTTTCCCTTGAAAACTAGCAACAAATGGCACCCTAAACCAGAAGAACGGGTGGCCAGAAAGCATAATCATTAGTGAGCGAATCATGTTTTCTGCACTAGAGGTCTCTGCGCAATTTCACTCTGCAAGTTTCTCTGCGCAAGTTTTCTGAGCAAAGCAAGAGTGTCTCCGCCAGTTTTCTGAGCAAGTTTCTCACAAGTTCTCTGAAATCAAGTGTCTCTTCGTGTTTTTTTTTTGGGGGGGCTTCCCCGTTAAAGAGCCACACCCAATTCTTTCACCCGCAGCCGGCGAGTTGCCTTAGGTTCTTCCGCACCTTTGACGTTTTCGAGCGCTTGCCGCAGAAGCCCGGGGCCTTGGAGACGGCTTGCTCGCCTGGGCGGGGGTTCACCTTGGGTTGTAACCCACTCATAAGTACCCCCCAAGTGAAACTAACACTGGTATTAGTGGATTAGTAGCCCAAGTGGCTAATCACTTGCTAACCTTGCCGGCAAATACTGGATGATTACAAAATCCATGTCACAACAGTTGGAATGGATGAAGCGGATTTGAGTACTGAACCCAAAACCCTTAATGTGAAATGGATTTGGTCCATCTACAGGATAAGAATATGAAGGTACCCGTTTAACGGGTTCCAATACTGTAATCGGGTTTTCATTCGGACAATCATGTAGCATCTAAAAACCGAACCCATTTGGGGGCACCCAATCAGACTTGATTGAGGTTTTAGCAATTGCCAAAAAACTGGGGGGGGAGGGGGGGGGGGTACCGGACCAGGAACGTTTAGAGGTCCTAAGGGTACCCTGTGAGGGACTCAACCCTCAAAGCCCAATATCCTAAAGGAACGTGCTTTAAAACACCATTCGGCAGCCGTTCCTTCAAAAAGCCCCGCTCGCATGTCTGCTGCTTTGCCCTGTATGCACGCGTGCCCATCCCTCCTTGACACCCAACATTGTTAAACGACTGGACATAGGTTGATTTTGGTCATGCAAAGGCGGTGGATAGTCGTCTGGGAAAGTCCATAACAACTGCTGCCAAATCCTAACTGTGAGAGAAACCCGTTTGGGCATCCAAAAGCGACTCCGATTCGGGGAAGACGGCCATGTTGGGCATCCGCAGAAAAGCCAGCAATGGTAGTTCTCATTGTGTGGGAAACAAGTAGCTTGAGGCCCATTTTTCTTTGAGTTGCCAAGTGTGTGTGTGTGTGTGTGTGTCGGGGTTTTGTTCGAGGGCACCCTTTGCAGGTTCCTTTCAAACATTTGTTTGGGCTTCCATAATCTTGCACTTGCATTGGGCGGAGCGCTGAAGAGACCACGTTGGGACGACTTCTTGGATTTTGCAATCCCGTGCTGGAAAGCAAAGCAGGTACGCTACGGACGCCGGCCAGGGATTGGCGGCGACATTTGCTTGAAAAGGCTATGGCAAACCTGCATGCGCGTATTTGAAACTGAGATGTGTACTTGGAGATATGTGCTTGCCCTCCAAGAACCCCAAAGGGGGTATTTGTCCAATCTTGCCAGACCCCCCCCTATTCTGGGTCAACGTTTGCTAACATCTTGTATCTTTGCCCCGAAATGGTAGAAGAGCGGAGCAAACCCTATAGGACGTTGATTGAGCGTTGACCAGGTTTGCCCTTTCCCATGGAAAACATCAGCCTTTTTGGTGTAGAAACCCTTTTCACGGGAGGCCACTGCACTTGACAAACGATGAACCCGCCCAAACCTCGAAACCGGTGGCCCCAACCCGCGGCTTTCCGTTTTTGGAGGACCTACGGCTGCGGGTTCGAGGTGGCCAATGAACTGGAGGCCCGAAGTCCCCAAGGTTCGGGGGGGGGTCCTTGCGCATATGTCTTCTTGTTTGGTTAGCTTGGTTAGAAATTTGATGGGTTTCACGGGTTTAGAAATGATTATCTTGTTCCATTTACCAGGGCCATCTATTCTTCCACAAGGTCACTATGTCCTTGAGCATTTGTTTGGGACAAACCAAGTCTTGTGGGTTCCTTTTGGGGAGCACGGAGATTTGATGAGTGTCTCTGTTTGTGCATATGTGTTGTTTTTTTCCTCTCAGGGTAATTCTGTTCCGCTTTGCTGAAAGAATCCCAAATGATAATCACACCCATTTGATCGCAGTGTGGCTCCACACTTTGACCGACATGGGTATTGGAAGGCGATAAGGATACTTCCACTGTGAAAACGGAAGCGGCAGCCCTGGGCTCTTAATTTGCTTTGCTTTCCCCTGAAGGACAAAGCGATGGATTGTGTAGTTTTTGCAGCCCCTATTTAGTGCGTCCAAACCCGGGCTTTGATGGGCAAACGGCGAACTCGCTGATGGGAATTACAAAACCCAGTGATCCGCAACCCAAAACACACCTGGATTCTCAAGGATAGACACAGCAGACTGAGACAGTATCTCTAGACTCTAAACCAACTCCCCCATTGGCTCAGGTGGAGGGCCAGGTCTATCGAGACTTTGACGAGATCATCGCCCGACACATGGACCGGTCCGACCCGTTTGGCGTGCGGCCGGGTGTTGCCAGATGCTTTTGGAAAGGTCTGTTCTTGGGATCTTTATTTTGACTCTGTTTCTAGGGGTCATCAAAGTCAGAAACCGGGGTTACCCTTTAGGGGTTGACTTCGACAGTAGAAGAATGACTTCGACAGTAGAAGAATGGGTTGCCCGTGTTGGGTTCCCAGTTTCCCATCTCTCTAAGTTCCGAAGTGTGAGTCTGTGTTTTGCAGGCATCTGCCAGGCTGGCCACAAAACCCTTGACACATGCTTAGATTTCGTGGCACCTGATAGGTTCCCTGCGTGCCCCGAAAGGGTGTCACCGTTTGGCCAAGCCTTCATTTCACAATAATATCTTGCCACTATTCTTTTGAGTCGCAACTTGTCTCCGCCAAAGAAGCGCAACCAGAAAGGTAATGGGATCGCAGGAATTCTAAGTTCCTGGTTGATGGATATGAGGGTGCCCCGTTTAAGAGGGAATGCTTGATGTTTTTGGGGAACACCGGAACACGCCTTCTTGACTAATCCGGGGCCATCAACCATAGCGGGCACCAGGATGGCAATCATTCCATCATCGGAGGGCACGGCCCCCCGTAAATGCTGTACGACAAGTGTTCGGTTGGGGAACAGATAATAGCAAGTCCGTTGTGTTGGCTCGCTTCAGTAGTTACCATGTCTGGTGTAGGATTTTGTGCCATTTGGGTGGCCCCAGGGCTCCTCTGCGAAGTCTCTGGAAGTCATCAGAATGCGTGATCCCCCGATAAACCATTTTCAAAAGGAGCCGAACAAAAGACGGAACCTGTGCTGAGCCGCTTGTGGAGTGAGTGGGAATTGCTGGTCTTGCAGGATCCCATCATGGAGAACTTGCGGCTCCTGCAGGAGCACAAGCGCTTCGGGCTCCAGAACGGCCAAATCCAGGACGGCATGTTCAAATAACTTCCTAGTAGCTTTGCTTGCTTGCTTGCTTGCTTGCTTGCTTGCTTGCTTGCTTGCTTGCTTGCTTGCTTGCTTGCTTGCTTGCTTGCTTGCTTGCTTGCTTGCTTGCTTGCTTGACTGCCTTCCTGCCTGCCTGCCTGCCTGCCCGCCTGCCCGCCTGCCTGTGCCTGCCTGGGTATGTTGGTTGGTTGGTTGGTGGGTGGGTGGGTGGATGGATGGATGGATGCATGGTCGCTTGGCTAGCTGGCTGGCTGGCTGGTTCGGTTGGCTGGCTGTAAATGAGCCTTGCAATGATGGAGCTCAGGCTGGCTTCGGAGTGGACAACCTGATCCAAGTGAGTCCACCTGTTCGGCCAAGTTAGCAAGTTGGGTTGCAACCCACTCAGAACAGGGTTAGCTCCACTTAGGGGGACTAAGTGTGTGAACACTTTGGTTCCTGAGCTTACCAACTTGGCCAAACACCACCCCAATTTGCCAGCTTTCCAAATGTGTGTTTCCAAAAAATAGGATTCGGCTTTGAAGACTGCGTTTCTTTGTGCTTTCCTATCGTTGGTTCAGACGCAAGGAGTCATGTCAGGGATTTCTATGTTTAACATGGACACATGTACAAACCAGAGACCGCCAAACATGGGCTGCCATGTTTGTTGGCTTCATCAAAAGACCGAACCAGAAGAGCCTCTAGTCTTGGCACATATGTTTTCCTTGTTAATTTCCCTTTAAAGCCATCCCCAAAGGAGCTTTGGGCTTCTCCACCTTTGTTGTGACGTCTCTTTGCCCATCCCCAAATGCCGAAGGGGACTTCTTCACCTTTGTTGGCGCCACATGGTTTTTCTTTGCCAGGACCGAAAACAGGTGATGCAGTGCATGCAAAGCTTCAGCCGGGACAACCTGCTGCTGCACTACCACTTCCTTCTGCACGACCGCGCCATTGGGCACGGCTCGCTGCTGTGGTGCTGCCAAGGAAGGAATGCACCTTGGCGAGAGAAGCCTCGCTGAAGTTTTTAACCATGCAGCACGGTTATTTGACGGCAGCACTTTTCTGATTGGTTTTCAAGTTTGGCAAAATGGGGATCTTAGGCGATGCCAGCCAGGGGTTGTTTTCCATTCCTCCTGTTGGTTGGACATCAAGCTAGCCCTCGGGTGTAGATTCCCACGTGTGAGCCCGAGAACTGGGGTCCAAGCGGAGATTCCCTGAGCACGGCGGTTTTGGAGGTGTCATAAACGGGGTGTTGTGATATTTGGTTTGGGGTCAAAGAACGATCCCTGGCTCAGACTGGCATAGGGCTCGCCACCAGACGTCGAGACGTCGCGAGGTGAAGGAAGAGCTGATCCAGGTGACCCCAAGGGGCTACAGCTTGTGGGGCCAGCCCTTCACCACGCTCAAGGCGATCAGAGGATGCTTGAACTGCTGCGGTTAATGTTGAGTGACACTTCTGAGGGAGTGACGCTTCTGAAGGACTCTGCATTTGTTAGTTTACCTTTGTGTTTCACATTTCAAAGTTGCTGAAGAGATTATTTCACCCATGTCGCCTACTGCGTTTGTGTGTGTGCGTGTGTTTCCGTTGTTGTGCATTCCTGCTGGTGGGATGGGGAACTGACCAACGCTGGGATTCTCTGCCAACCTGGCATTGTTTAAAATAGTTCTAAATCCTTGTGCAGATGGTGGTGTTTGCCCTTATAATTATTGCGCGGCTTGAGATTTGGGGGACCCCCATCCCATCTTGAACCACCCCCATGGGTTGGACTCTGTCTACCCATCGTACAAATAGAATTATGTTAGACTATTACAGATCATATCTACTACACCTTCTGCTGACATTCAGTCGCTTCATATCTCAATGTCCTGGTTGACTTGCTCACTTCTACTTGGCCCATTGGCTGTATCCTTCGTAACAGCCGACTTCAAAGATGAGGATGTTGAGATCTTGCTCTTGAGTGTGCTTGTTGCGGAACGCATGATGTTGTTTGCATTTGTTGGAGAAGGAAGTCCTCGACGCGTGTATATAATTTAAATAATACAAAGCAAGGACACACATGAAGTATAATCTGTATCGTAAGCTCAACGTTAAATTGAAATTGTGGTTGTTCTTGTTTGACGAAGTTTAGCTGGATGTTGAATGAACTTTGAGAGAACAAAAGTCTTGTTGTTTGTTCTAGCTGGCCTGCTCTTTGGCCAACAGATTGACAAATGAATGGAAGCTCGAGGAAAACACAATCTCAGTTCTGTTACTTGCATAGATATTCAATCAGTGATCTGATTGAATCCTGTCCTTATTAAAGTACATTCAAATGCAAGTTAGAGTTTAATGAAACTGATAGTCGGAAGAAGTTACTATTCACAATTATATATCCTAGTTTGCGAGAATTGTTTTATCTGATCTAGTTCCTTTTCAATTTATATTTACATCCTAACCACGTGTCAATCAACATTCTATGTTGAAAAGAGTTCCTAGTTTAATTCTATTTGAAAGTAGGAATTCTAGTTGAAACCATTTCAGACTTGTTCTACGTTAAGCCGCCAAATTTGAACTTTACATCTCAATAGAACTGAAGTTGTATTTTCCGCATGTTTCTATTGGTCGTTCATGCTTGGACAGGAAATCCGATTTTTGACTTTGCCTTAGCATAGAACTTCCACATATTGTGTTTCCTTCTCAAACTGCATTCACATGTCAATCATGTTTTCAGCAAACTCGCTTCAAGGAATTCCTGTTCCAAAGAATGCCAATCAATCAAAGCTATATTTGGAAAGGATAGCCTATTTGAAGCTTAGCCTAAGATAGTATTTTGTGCTCTCTCGAGTTTTGTTGGTTGTTGACCCAAATTGCAGAAAATTTTGGAAAGGATTCCGGACACCAAAGGGGTGGGACCAAGGGTGCGGGGGGGGGGGGGAGCGTGGGGGGGGGGGGGTGTTCGTTGTTTTTATGTTGTTTTCCGCCCCAAACTTCAAAAACCTTGAGAAAACACAAGAGGGAGGGTAATCTTGTTTTTGTTGGTGTCTGTGGTTTTCTCGAGGTGTTGTTGGTTTCCTGCTCCAAATTGCAAAAACAACTCGAGAAATGCAAACAGAAACAAAATTGCAGATCCAAAGGCGGATGGGGGAGCATGGGGTGTGTATTTAATTGTATTTGTGTGATTGTGATTTTCTCGGTTTTGGTTGCTGTCCCAAATCTGCAGAAACCTCGAGAAAGCCACAGACAAATCAATATTGCAGTCTTGAGGTTTTTGGGCTTTCTGAAGCCTACCCAAAAAAGTGTGCAAACAAGTGCACTCCGGGTGTCCCCTGTTGCCAAAGTTTATGTCGGATTAATCCATCTAGGGGAATTCCGCTAAACCGAATCCATTTTCCTCTCGAAGAGCCGGCACCTTGATTTGTAAGATAATCCGAAGTTGACATTAGAGAAAGCCTTTTGGGTTCCCTGTTTTGTCCATGTTCATCAAGTTGTGGCCAAACGCCATGGATTTCCAGGCGCTCATCGAGTGGTTCAAGACGGTGGGGATGTCCAACGCTTCGAAATGCCGCAGGGACTTCAAGGAGGAGCACCGCAAGACCCTCGGCTGCGCTGGCAAGATGGGTTTGCGTCTACATGGGCCGGACCTCCAGCGGTGCCTATTGTCCTATGTTTTTTGGATCCCGCTAGCCCAAAAAGGATAACTTCGAATTAGTTGTGTTTTAGCCATTGAAGTTGGTTGGTACCCGTTTTGTGAGATTACATGTCCCATTCACACAAGACCCATATATGCCACCTCGCCAAGGGCCTGGGAAGAAGGACACCCTGTCTTGATAGTTGATTTATCTTGATTCTAAAGGAAGCGGCTTTTGTTTTTTTTGGGGGGTCTCATTCAGGGACACCACAACAGTACATGCACCCCCCAATGGCTGGCCAATTGCCGGCACATCGATTTTGGGCAAACCGATGTCACTTTATGTCTAAGTGACTGCAAAAGCAATTTGCTATCAAGTATCACTCATCTGTACTTAGTGCAATTTGTGCAATGATACAAGTGACCTTTCAGGGTCCTTTCGAATGGGGTTGCAGGGGAAAGGGGAGAGCAGCAAATTTGAGGTTTGGAGGGCAAGTTTGCGAGGGGTTCTTGAGGAGCGTGTCACGGCGTGTCCGGGGGTGGCCAATTGCCGGCACATGTACGTTGAACGGTCACTTTTTTGGAATCTGAGCGTGTCACCAGCGTGTCGCCCCCCCTCCCCCCCCCCGCGCGTTGCATGTGCAAATGATCATACATGCCAGCCCAACCCCTCAATTGGATCCCCTCTAGTATCCTGAAGTGACATTTGATGATGGCAAAAAAACTATGTGACTACAAAACCATTTTTAAGTAAGTGCTGGTCAATTGCCGGCACTTCACCCGGGACGCCAATTGCAGGCCATCGGGGGGGCCTGGATGAGTAGATGTTTGTTTTCTTCCCCAGAGGGGGGTGAAAAGGACAGCTTGATGGTGTCCTGTCTTCGCGCCCTTCCCCAGGCCGCACTGCATGTGGGCAAACGAGAATGTGGAAGCCCTTGGAACATGTGTTTTGCTTGCAGGCTGATTATCAACCCCGGTAGAGTACGAGGGGGCTTGTCCCATTTTAGAATCTTCACTTTTTGGTGAATCCCTAATTGTTTTTTTGAAGGGTGGAACCCCCCCTAGAATAAATCGACCAAGTGGATTAGTTCAGGCCCACAGTACTGAAGAAGCCCTCTGATTCACCCGGCTTTTGCCGGGACGCTGGGCTATGCTTTGCTCGCTTTGGAATCGAACAGCTGAGTCAGGATGTGTGGCCCTGCAGTCACTGACTTGCCCCGGCAGTATACGGTCAAAAAGAAGGACATACATGCTACTTGTATATACGTAAAGACCACACACCACAACCCCCCACCCCCTACCACCGCCCACCACCGCCCCCCCACCGCCCACCACCGCCCACCACCGCCCACCACCGCCCACCACTGCCCACCACCGCCCACCACCACCCACGCCACACACCGCCTCACACCACCTCACACTGCCGCACAACACTAGACGCCAACAAAGCATGTATTATATATATATATATATTCACGTATACTTCACCCATGTCCCAGCTTGCCCCTTTCTTGCTTCCCGCTTTTCCTGGAATTCAAACAGGTGTCCCCTAAGCACACATGTTTCGTTTTGTGTGCGCGGTTCTCTTTAAGCAACAACACACAAACGGCTGTGTTTTGGCCTACCGGACCAAAAAACACAATTGTGCCTTCTGAGGGTTTCGCCCTTTTGTCTCTCTGAAAACTGGGCACCCTTTTGAAACTCAAAGAATACCGGGCATTCTTTGAGTTTTGGTACGTAGCCACTTGATAGGAACCTAAAGTCCGATCTGCCAGATCGGTTTATATAGGGGTGCAGGTGCGAGAGGGTAACCCCAGGATCCATCCTTGTGGCTCATAGGCGGGTAGCGACCTTTGGTGTTCCAAGTAGTTGTTCCTATCGTTCGGATCACTCGTGGCAACAAGTTGCAGCTACTTAGCACCTTGGCGAAAAGTTAGGAGGGGGCAGTCTTGCCCACTAAATGTTCAAATCGTCGTGGAGATCGCTCTGTTTGAACATTTGGCTCTGAGGAGACAACTCGAGCTCAAGGACAAGCGTGGCGATCACGCGGACCCAGAGGCTGGGCTTCCACGAGTATGTCCTTTTTCGTGTGTTATTGGAAGGGCTCTCCTTTGAAGTCAACTACACAAAAAATGTGTTTTTGTCCATAGCCTTTGGGCTTCTAACACACTTCGCGGAATGGGGGAGGCGAAGGTATGGTTTGTCTGGAGAGGATCCTTCGTTTCCCGCTTTTAAGATGGCTTTCTAGTGGTTAGCATACCTGTTCAGAAGGAGCTGGGCCTCTTGCAGCGCTTCGGAAGTAAAGGAGCTCGAGCCCCATCTCTTGTGGAGTTCATCATGTTTGTAAATACTTGCCAATATTTTGTACTCCTGGATTAACACTTTCTGGGTAGTGCTTTTTGGGGTAGCGGAAACCCTGTTTAAGCGGGTCTCCTACGACACCGTGCGGGGGGTCCGACGAGGACCTGGAGCTGGGATATGTGTTGTGTTGTACTGACGACATAAGAAGCACCAAATATGTGAATGTGTATGTGTAAGTGTACGTAATGTCCAATGTGGATTAGTAAACGGGAGCCCCCCCCCGACGATGGGTGCATGTGGAATAATATCTTGAGGTGAGTTTCCGTTAGATTTAGTACTGGTAGACTTGAGTTTCCATTTGATTTAGTATTGCTGGAGCTTCCTTTTGAGATTTGGAACCAATTTTCCATTTGATTTAGTACTGCTGGAGCTTCCTTTTGAGATTTGGAGCTGAGTTACCATTTGATTTAGTATTGGTAGACTTGAGTTTCCATTTGATTTAGTATTGCTGGAGCTTCCTTTTGTTTTTCTTGGGGGGCCAGGCAACAAGACTTTATTTCGGGGGGCCCTAAAATAATGTGAAGTTGGGGGCTGAAGTACTACCCCCTTTGTGGGCTTGATTGTTTGCAGGTTTTAAACAAGAGACATGTAAGAAAACATGGGTTTGGTAAAGCTGACAATTTTGGATTTGAGGAGCAGGCCCAAATCTAACAACACAGCATGAAGCACTGCCAGCCTCACCTAGGCTGTCTAACTACTTGACTAGCTAAGAGGCAATTGCACTGGGCAGGTTGTATTTTTCAGGGGGTCAGGCAACAAGACTGTATTTCGGGGGCCCCTGAAATAATGTCAAGTTGGTGGCTGAAGTACTACCCCCTTTGTGGGTTTGATTCTGGGCAGGTTTTAAACAAGAGACATGTAAGAAAACATGGGTTTGGTAAAGCTAACAGTTTTGGATTTAAGAAACAAAGTGCCAAAGATCCAAGGACCAGGTGTTGGCTTGGCTATCTCTCCTCTCCTTTCTCTCTTTCTTTTTTTTTTGGGGGGGGGGGGATTTATTTTGTTTTGCGCGGGTGGCGGGTGCTTGTCTTTAATCCAAGTGTATTTGTTAGTTTTTTGGGCCCCCAGTTGTCTTTATCACGCGTGCAATGTTTAATTCCATTTGGACATTACATGTATATATATATATATGGGTATGTATATATGGTCCCGGGCTCCGGGTTCCCAGTCCTCTGCGCCCAAACTAACCCTAAACTAGCCCTAAGCCAACCCTAAACTAGCTCGAGACACACATCTTAAACCAACACTTGACACGTTCTGAACACACTCTAAACCAAGCCTCAACCAACCTAATCAACCCTAAACCAACCGTAAGTCAACCTTAGATTGAGCCAACCCCTAAGCTCATATCTTAAATCAACACTAAACACACTCTAAACCACCCGGAACTAACCTAAACCACCCCTGCACCAAGGATTAAAAACACACATCCTAAACCAACACTAAACACACTCTAAACCAACCCTAAACCACCCTAAGCCACTACAAGTAGATCAACCCTAAACCAAGCCTAAACCCGTACAACCCCGCCACGGGGGGGCGGGGGAGGAGGGGTGGTCTGAGACCAACCATAAACCAACCCTAAACCCACAGGGGGGGGAGGACACTGGGAACCATTGGGGGGGGGGGAGGGGGGGGGACTTGCGAACCCTTTACCATATATATATATACATACATATGTATACATATATGTGGTACCCCTCCATGTCAAGGACCCAGGTTGTGTGAGTCTCTATATATATATACATATGTGTACATGCACATGTGCATCTACATGTATTAGATGTTTTATGCATATGTATGTATATATACATATGTATATATATATATACACGCACAGGGTTGCACCTATCTTTGTTTGGGCACTTGTTATTGCGAGCTTACCAGAGCTCGCCGGTGAGGAAGATTCTTGTCTTGCCGCGCGCTTGAGGTTGGCGACTTCTCGCAGTGCCCTTCAAATCAACGTAGAAGCCTTACGTGGGCTTCCTTGACCGAGATTCCTTTTGAAGCCATGCGCCGTGTTTGGGTTCCTTGCCCGAACCTCAAGGAGTTATACTCCTGTATGATGAGTTTGTAGGTACTGTCAGCTGGGGGAACCCGGAAATGCTTAGTTTCCACTTTCCCAAATTGGCTGTGTCTTGAAATCGGATGTTGGTTTCCTTTTGGCTCCCCCTGCATAGCTTTCCAATTCGCAGGCGCGGTACAAGCGGCACCGGGGCTTTGCGACCACCGCCACCACCACCCAGGGCTTGCAGACCCCTGGGGGCCGCAACACCCCCACGATGTGCCCTGGCCGATGCTGGGAGGCGGGTCTCCTTTGAAATAATTTTCCCTTGGGGGTTCGCCTTGGATAAACATATCGAAATAGTTGGGCCCAATTGGCAGGAATCAGCACCGGAAAGGTGCTTGCACCTTCCGTGTTTGTTGGGAGGGCTTTAGCTTGAGCGCATCGGGTATAGGAGGAATGAATTTTCTGGGAGGGTTCAACAGCCGATATATAATCAACAGGTTTTAATGGGTTGGCCCAACCTTGGAAGAACATTCACATCTCATGCAAAGCTCAAACCGCAACAAGAAGTGCAGCCGATGGAGATGCTGGATCGGTTCAAACTCGAGCCCATGGTGGCTGGAACATGGAACAAGCGGCACTGCAGGGACGGGGTGCGTGGGGGGGGGGGGGGTGGCGGGTTCAGAAGCTCAAATTCCGGGCCTTGAGGTTGATTCATTGCATGAAAAGCTTGCAGGGGACGCGGCAAGCCCGTTGTTGATCATGTTACCTCCCTTGTAGGAGAGGGGGATAAGGTCAGCGTCTCGCAAACGTAAGACCGCTGCAAACTCACATGGACCAAGAAAGGAGTTTCTCCAAACGCAGATGTCTCAACAGTGATTGCGTTTAGGACTCCATGTTAGTCTGACCATAATCCAGGGGTGGAATTAAAAAGCTATGGTTCCATAAACCAATGGCCATGATGCTGGCTGATTCCAATCACCAAAGTGCTATTACTGGCACCTGCCAGTAAACTAGGGCTTCGTATTCATCAATCTAAGAACAGGGTCTCTGAAAAATCGGTAGCAACACGGCCAAACGTTCTGCGACGTTTCTTGAAGCGAGGAATCTAAGTGGGATGCCACACCCCCTCTGTGTCAATCAGCGGTGGACTCCGCCTAGTGAATAAAAAACCATGGGATTGGTAAACTCTTCCGAATGAATCGGACTGCCTGGATGCCCTCTTTTGGGTTATGCCATGGTAAAGGGAATCATTACCCTTTTGCGGGAAGATCACAGACCTGGAACCCGCCAGCTTGCCTAGTCCAGGGTCGACACTAGGTTTGACATTTGTCTCTGATTCATGTGTGCTGATCCACGAGAAATCTGTCCGTGTGTCAAAGTGACGTGTTCGATATTACAGCTGTACCTCACCAATAAACTAGCGTCCCCAACCGGCCAACAATGGAATCGTGACCCCCTTGCTTAAGGCGTCTTTAGACTCCAGTCACATTACATCATTTTGGGTGTCTTAAAAAGAGGAGGCTCCCAAATGCGGCTTGATTTTGCTGTCCTTTAAAACCGCAAGGGATTGACCTGCTCAGTCGACTAGCCAGAATACTGTTGCCACACTGTATCCAAAACCGGGCCCTGAAAAGTGCTAAGTTCGCACAAGAAGTGGCGGCAACTTGTCCGGAAAGCCAACCTGGGCTATGATTCGGGTCCTTCCTTCCGACACTCGGCTTAGGTATCAGGCGGAAGCCAACGCCCCCACTCCAGCGGGCTTGTCCCCTGGCGTTGCGCCAACACCCAGAGGCGCGGAACATGCACCCTTTGCCTTGGCGTGTACTGGGGTGTGTTGCCATGGTCAGCCGTGGTTACTACGTTTGAGACCAAACATGGTTTTACTTGTCAATGTGGACCCCTGTTGGGATCCAGGGCCCCAAGGCCCTATTCTTTTTTCCTCGATGCCCGGGTTTGGGACCTGAACATGGGGAGGGTACAGCCAGGTTTGATTCAAAGGCGGGTCGTTTGGGTTCCGGACTTGTACCTCAGAGACGTAGATGGTGCACATTTGAGCGTGGCTCAAAATAAAAGAGCTGGCACCAACCGCCGGTGGTCTTTGGTTCCATTCACCAGGGTGCGGTTTTGGGGATTCCATTGAGTCACGGCCGTTTCGGGTACCATTTCAATGATATGGGGCCTTTGCCAGCGTCCCTTTGGGTTCAAAGCCTTCGCGCAGGTTCACCAGCTGCGGGGACCCCGGCAGCAGCCTTCCAACGAAGCCCGGACCTCAACACATCGGTTGGGACTTGTGGCATCCAAATCCCCAAGTTTGGAAGTGGCTACCCTCCCACCAATTAACATGCAACCTGACAGGGGGTTCCTTTAAGTAGGAAAACACTCTTCCAGGACCCCCGTGTCAGGTTCCATGTTATTGATGGGACTGTAACTGCAGAAAGGTTCCCTTTTCCACCAGTCGTGCCAAACAAGCACATGTTTTTACCTGACATGGAACTCACCGCACACCGTTGGAAATGGTCCAAACTGTCCAAACTGCAAACTGGAAGCCCCGATTCAGGCCCTACGGCGGGTAATTTTCATAGTGAATTTGCATGGATTGCCTGGCCACGCATGGCAACGCGCGAAGGGCTCATTCGGAGCCGGTTCTAGCAAGGGCATCCCGAACACGATCACATGGCTATCAGAATGTAAATCATGTTTGTTCTTTGGCAAGGAGCCGAACGCTGGCGGTCATAAGCCAATTTTAGGGCACTTCCCCCAATCATCGAAAGGCAAGGGAGTGAGTCTCCGCGAGCGGGGTCCTGTGGAGGAGCCACACCAACACAAATCCCGCGAGCGAACTTGGTTTTGATTGCATAGTCTTAGTATCCTACGTAAGACGTATATCAGTCGGAATCCTTGAATATGGCAATCTTGGTTGTAAGACAAGCCAAGTGCTTTTGCGCGCTGCGCATAGGTCAAAGGATCGATTCGATGATTGCGATGGGGTGCTGCCAGTGCTAGGAGTCCTGTCAAGGGAACCATGAGGGAGTGTCTTGCTCGCCACCCCGATATCCTTTAGGTCGCAGTCAGGGCGGAAAGTTCATCCATAGTGTCCTGGTTGGTTCACATGCAAGGCTGTTCCGGGGTTGAAATGCGGGGTTTGCCTTTTCACAGACCCAAAGAGAGGATCTTCAGGGAATTAAGACACCCTCAAGCAGTGTTTCTACACCAACAAAGGCCACAAGGCAACACACCCTTGTTCCAACAATCGCGGCAACGGACTGTCTCTCAAGACCCCTTTGTCAGCTTCCGCAATTCTTAGAAGGGGTTGAATTGCGCAGTGTGTAAGCTTGTATTTTGTTCTATATACATCACACATGCGGTGTGATCAACACATCGAGGAGTCTATGGTCCACTTTAAGGGAGGGGCATGTGGGACTCGCTAATTGTCCATCTCCTTTAGGGTAGCCAGCCAACTACAGGGTAGTCAAAGTTTCTTGGGGCCTTCGGGACAAGACTTTTTGCCTTGCCTTTTCGTTTCTTTACATCAAGGTGAATTCTTCCCCCCTCACCCTCCGAGTCCTGCCCAACCCTCCCAAGCCTGCGCCCACCACTCTGCTAGCGCCAGGCCCTGCGCCACAGACTCCCATGGCTGCCTTCGGTGGGGATTCGGGATCGCGGTTCTAGGAAAGCGGAGTGTGGGTTTGTGTCTCTTTTGAGGGTACCCCTGTTGGAGTTGATCTAATCCACCATCGCACGGGGGCATGATGCAGGCTCGACAATGCCTGGCATCATGTCGAGCTGTCAAAAGTGTGGTACCCATTTTGGATCCCTGGAAGGGTGGCGCTAAATGTGGCTTGTGTGTGTGTGGTGCATCCATATAGGCTGTCTTCCTTTAACACATGAGTGTGGGTCATGAGTGTGGGTCAAAATTACCACCAGTGACCAGGGGACAGGTTTTAGTCCTTGTGTCCATTTACCAAGGCATGCCAAGGCAACCCATTTTGGGCGCCTATTTGACCGAGACCCGCATACCCAAGTATATGGTTCCATTTCATTTTTGAGGCACCTTTTCATTGCCGGATGGATTTGGGTTGTCTCAACCGCGGTTCCAAGGCGGTTCTATCCCACTAATGACAGGATTAACTCCACTGACAACTTACTTGGCCAAACATCCAAGCAGGCACTTGATGGTTGAGTTCAGTACGTGGTGAAATCGAGCTCTTTTCTTGCTTTTTAATCATTTTAGTCTATCTTAGTGGGGATTGGGATGTGCGCTGGGGGTACGGGGTTTTGACCCATGGCCATAATATGTTCCGTGGGTTGAAGCATCACTGTTGGTGTACCAAGCTCGATTTGGTGTCCCTTTGTTTAAGGGAGTGCCTTGAACTGCGGCATGCAGCGGCGTTCTTGTTCCCTTTGGGCATATTTACCAGGGTTGCTCCCTGGCGGTAGGGGTAACTTCCCCATTCTTTCCAGGGATCCTTCTTTCTAGAATGCCACCAAAAACCCTGGGTAAATGGCTGCTTCTTTAAAAGTACGATGGCTGAAAAATAATGGGGAATCAACCCCTAGAAAAGGGGTAGATCCTTTGTTTTTGTTCTTTTCCCGCGGCCAACTGCCTACCCTTGTGACTCGGTCTTTGAATCACCCGTGATGAGGACCCCCAAGCCCTGAACCTCAGAAACTGGTTAAGTTAGATTTGCTTTGGCCCGCCTTTGAAACAAGCCATCCGAAACGGGTGTTTTCAACTTTTGGAGTGCCCAAGTACCTTCATGTGCATTTTGGGGACCAAGAGAACGAAGCATATCACAAGAGGGTACCCTTCCTCCCACCTGGCAAACCTGGGAGGCACCTGGAAGATCCATTCAAAAAACCTGTCTGCCAGTGGGAGGACTTTCGAAGCAGGTCGGTCCATGTGACCCGCCCGGGTGAAGAACACGGAAAACCGCAGGCGCCGCGCCACAAACGCCGGCCGCCGCCTTCCCGCGAGGCGCGCGTGGGCGCTGAAGGGCAGACCCAGTCGCCCTTGCACGACGCCCCCACAAACGTGGTTGGCTTTCTGGTGGTTCCGCTTCAACACCAACCCAAGCAGGGTTCAAGCACTCATAAGGGGCCAGGTAATTAGAATATGGGTGTGCAGTACGTTACACAACGACATTATGTTAAGATGAACATGAATTTGAACTTGTTATGCTCCTGATATTCTTGGTTGCATTTCTTACAAACTATATGTGGGATATTCAATGCCGGGTGGAGCAAGTATGGGGTACACCCTTGCTCAATGCCGGCTCAAAGACTTTTCCAGCGCCATGAAGTTTTTCAGAGCACAGCCTTCCCACAATGATGAAACTCACCCCAATTCTACTAGTCGATTCTCCTTCTGGGAGCCCTCTCCTTTTGGCTCCATGCTAAGTTGCCAGGGGGCACCATCCCACAAGCATGGAAGTGCACACTTCGGAGACCCCGGAAAGTGGTCTCAGGAGATTCCTCCAAGCAAGTGCGCCAGATACAGAAGCTCAATTTGGTTTGCCCAAGTCTCGCGGCATGTTTGAGATCGCCCCTGTTGGCCCCGGCTCAGGCAGAACGGGCTTTGAACTCTTTAGCCACTCATCAAGGAATTCCCTGTACCCTGTGTAGGGTCATGATGTTAAGGATCCCAATTCCCTGAAAAACCTTTTGACCCTGTTTCTGACTATGTATCAAGTTTATATTACATGGCTGTGTTAATGTGTATATACATACATATATATATGTATGTGCGTTTTGTTGCTTCATGAATTGCAGGCATGAGGGGTATGCCCTCAGAGGTAGATGACAGTCCTTGACTTGGGGTTGAGTGAAAGGACAGCGACTTGGGGACAAGCATCAGTTCATGTGGATTCCAGGTTCGGTCAACATTTCTAGTCTAAGTTTGGTCAACTTGACCCACAAAGCCAGGGAGAACTCACTTATTCTCCCTTGCCCATTTCGAATACTGGTAGCGCCATGATTTGTCAGTTGCTCATGTAGCCGCTAATTTGGGTAACCAGGGGTAGATGCGGCTGTGTGTTGCACAGTCAGGCATAAGTTACTCAAACAACCTGCAGGTCCTGTTGCCGTTTAGTGTCAACACATACACTGAGGATGTTTAGACAGCATTGGCTCGAACATGTTTGAACAGGTTGCCCAACCCTGGTGTGTGTGTGTGTGGTGTGTGTGTGTGGTGTGTGTGTGTGTGGTGTGTGTGTGTGTGGTGTGTGTGTGTGTGGTGTGTGTGTGTGTGTGTGTGTGTGTGTGTGTGTGTGTGTGTGTGTGTGTGTGTGTGTGTGTGTGTGTGTGTGTGTGTGTGTGTGTGTGTGTGTGTGTGTGTGTGTGTGTGTGTGTGTGTGTGTGTGTGTGTGTGTGTGTGTGTGTGTGTGTGTGCGTGCACCACACAACGCGTGTGTGTTTTTTTGTTTTTCCCCTTTTGTGGTCTGTTGAAACTGTTTAAACTAGTTGTGACAGGTGTCCATGTTGACATGTTTCTGGGGGGAAGGCATTGACCGTATTGAAACTATTTTGTGAAATAGTTAAAGCTTGATGTAGACCTTAGCATTTGGCCTGCAGAGCTTCGGATGATCACATACCGCGTATTTTGTTAGCCATACAAGTTATACATGTATGCCATGCATATCCAGATGCATACATATATATATATATATATATGTATATATCTATGTGTGTGTGTGTGTGTCTCAGGAGCCGCGCCGCGGTCAGGCCAGGAAGCGGGGTCTGAGGTGTCTAGTGGTCGGATAAACCTGCATGTTGTTTGCAGGGGAGGGGGCCGCATTGTTGTTGATGTTCCTGACATACTGCTGCCCACAGTTCTGGCGATTCACTGATAAGCACACACGGATGTAGATAGTAAAGGGCACTTCTCTGAGTGGAGCCATTTAAAGCCCAGGCAAGCGCGGGTAAGGGACGGTTCCAGCCATAAAAGGGTGCGGATATTCGCTCTCATGATTCTTTACATAGTTTTGGGTAGACCACATTAGTTAGTAATTGTTGTTTGTTGCAGGATACCTTTCATTGAGGTCAGGGTTGATAAACTATAACTATTCAGCTTAGATCGCAGGCATGTGCTCTAGACTGGTTTCTTTTGTGGGACAACAGCATCATGACCAAATATAAGACCAGCCCTCATTTACTCACATTCGCACAGTTCTAGCTACAGTGCGCAATGTTGCATTCCTTCGGAGGCCTTTTGTCCACCTCGTTGGAAAGTGGGTGAGTCCCACCAGCTTATGCCAACCATGTAAGGACTGTGGGTCTAAACTGCCTGTTCAGACATGTTTTTGTTTGTTCAATGTTTGTTTGTTGTTTTATCTTTTCACAAGTTTCCAGTAACAGCTGGCATTTCGAGGTCATAAGTCTATTGGGTCGGGTGTTGCCTTTTGACTTGCCAGTCTCAAAGGTAAGGACCTGGTTGGACGGTCCATCCCACACCAGGCAGGCTTTCAACTTGCATGTGCCACGCTGAAACGACTGCTAAGAGACGGAGCCGTTTCTGGACCATGGAGTAAAGAGTAAGAGACAACCCTTCAAAAGGCAGCACAAGGCGGCATCAGGATCCAAAATCGGATCATATTGAATTTCCATCACACCTGCAACCAAAACTAGGTTCCCGCAAAACAGGACAGCACAGGACACAGGGTGGGCATGTTTGACCACCCAACCCCTCCCCGTTTGAAGGACACATAAAGGAGGCTGTTCAATGAAGTTATTTCACACATGTTTTCACCACTTGTTTTCCCAACCCTGGACACACACGCAGAGCATCTCCCGCAGGCTTTGCGCCTCAGACCCCTGCAGCCATTTGGGCACCTCGCGATCGAGGCCATGGGAAGTTTTTGTTTTGTTCCAGGTTTTTTTTCGGGGAATCGGCCATTTGAACACGGTGCTAAATGAAATGTGCCCATAATTCTGCACAAAGTGAAGGATTGCTTGGGAATTCTTTTTGTCCAGCGCGTGCTAATTGTATAAATTGTAGCCTAAATCATGGCTAGTCGTCCCGAAGGAAAACGAACGGGGATCGGTGTGGTGATCGGATGTGTCCTGGCCCCCTTACAGAATAGTTGTTTGGCACTCCATCAATCTCAGGCAAGCCACTGTTTCCATCTGGTTCCATTTGTTTGTGTTTGGCATGGTGTGCAAGCTTTCATGGAGTGTTTCCATACAATGAAGTAATTGCAAACTTGGAAGGTCCTAGCGGAGTACAATCCGCAAGCCATGTTTTAAGAGTCCACTAAGTCCTTCAGAGCCTAGGCAAACGCTCGCAATGGGATTTCCGCGCTTCACCTTGTTCGCGTCTGTTGGAAATGGGATCCCGCATTGCTCAGACCTGCAGACTGTGGTGTGCAGTGAGGCAGGTGTTGTTTGTTTATCGGTACCCCTTTTGTGGGTTTGCATATAGGACACCACCCACTTCGAGGGTTGACCCATCTAGAGACAGCTCTGCATACTGTGACATGTGTCCAGCTCACCCAATCTTATCCAGACGGCAGAAAGTATGGGTAAGTGGGTTTTTTGTTTAGCGTACCCTTTTTGGGGTGGTACGAAAAGGGACACCAAAAAAGGATGGACGGAAGGAAGGAAGGACAACATCAAGTCAGCCGGGCGTGTCCCTGAGAACATGGTCCAGACGTGTCACCAATGCAAAGACCGGTCTTCTGTGGGCTGTTTCAAGGCGAGCGTGTGGCGCAACGGCTCGAGCCATGGGGCTTCAAAACGCTGGGCTGTGTGACTGAGCACAAGTTTTGTGTGTCGGCGTGTTCTAAAATCCCAAATAGGGATTTGGACTCCAATGGTGCATTTCCTAAAACACCAAAACGGGAACCCCGAAAAAGTCACAGCTATGAATGTTGAGACTGCAGATGTTCCGTGTGGGCCTGTGGTGTCTTGGTCCCTGCCATTCACGCGGACAAACAAGCCGCTTCCCAGAGCCTCATGTGGGCTCCAACAAGGCCGATGAAGGCGGTCCTTTGATTCACCTCTGGCCAATTGTATGAATCTCCTTAGAAAACCGCTGAAGTGTCGCTGCGCTCCGAAAAATTGACGCCCAGAGCTGGCAGATCCGTTTGGTTTTTGGTTGAAACAACCCAAACGGGCAGCCCTCAAAGAAACTGAACCACTTCCTTTTGGTCAATATGGGTTTCGCGCATGTACAAACAGTGGCGTGACCCGAACTCCTTTGTGAAACACTGTCAGAGTCTGGGACCCTCGGAAATTCCGTGACCGTCACCTAAGTTGGCCCGACTTTTCAGCCGGCCCTGGCCCTCTCAAGTAATTATGGACTGAACGACGCTCCTGCTGCTTCCTTTGGACGGTGAAGGTTGATGACGCAGATGCTGGCTGCCAATATTGAGCAAGAGGTTCCTCTGAAAAGTGGTATTGGGAAATCGGAAGTGGAAGGAACCCTGGAGGTCTCGTGCCATACATGACAACCGTAGTTCTCCGCCTTGCTCAACCGCTTGGCGGGTTGTCGCATGACATCCAGGTCGCTGCTAATGTGACCTTCGGCACATGGTTATGTAATCCGTACAGAAGGGGTCATTTTGTTCCCATATTTCCAGCAAGGCGCACGACCTACCAAAATGCTTCTCACCGGGGCAGATATGGATTACAACTGAGGTTACTCTCCATTTGCCAACCAGAGGTAGCAGGGTTCCCCACCAGACACTTCCGACCACAAAACCCTGGACAACAAATGAATTACCGAGTCCCCACGTGTCCCGTGCAAGAATGTGGATGCGCCCTGAAGTAGTGGACCACTCAAGGTAGTTGTTGTTTCATGGGTTCCTGCAAAACACCTCAAGCAGGTACCAACACCAAGAATTGCCCTGCCCATAGGAAAGATACATTTGTTGGCCTCGCCGGTTTTGATCATATAAAGACTTCTTGTTCTGACTTTATCACTTATAGGGAGATTCATTTCTGGGCTCCGTTTTGAAATTATATATTGCATTCTCACTATTAGACTAGGATCAGAATCCACACAACTTGATTTGCCGTTGTTGTTTGCGTCATTCTTTTTTCGGGGGGAAGGCAAACGCTGAGGTAGGTAAGTTGGCACCATCGCCAGGCACGCCCAACGGCCACGGAGGTGCGTCAGACGCGGAATTGTCTCTTCTTTCGGTGGGTGAAGGGGGTGAGCTCGGGGACCTACAAATGGGTAACTCAGGTGTAAATGAAGGTTAGCAAGGGACAATCCCGGCCAGAAACGGCTACAGCCGCCTTCTTAAGTCTTTACATGGTTCTGGGTCAACCATTCAAATACCGGGTTTTGATTGCGACTCGGGTTAAGATCTGTCCAACTTGGCTGAAGACCCAAGTCCTCGTTGTATTTTGTTACAAGTAGCAAGATCCAGGGCCGCCCCGAGAAGTTCGGACTTTTATACGTCCAGTGAGGGGGAGGCCATAAGGCCAGAAAACAACGGTTTGCCGAACAGTCTGGCATCCCAAAACAGACACTTTGGGCCAACAGCTGGGGCCAAATTCACAAGAGGGGTGTCTTAGTGGTTTGTGAATTTCCCCGGGGAGTATGTGATGGCGGACCCGCCGGGCTAGGCATTACGCCTGGCGGCATGGTGCCTCAGACGCCGGCGGGCGCTTACCGGTCAGGCTGGGAAGCCTTGCCTTCAGGAGCTGCCATTCCCCCCGTACCAGGGGCCCCCTCAACCGCCGAGGCAATTAGAGGTATGTAGCCATGTTTGCTCATGTTGTGTTTGGCTCACATGCTTACCCGAGTTTACACAAGGCTTGAAAGTAGATTCCATCCTGGAAGTGGCACCTTTCCACCGTGGCTTTCTTAGGACCCGTCATCAACCATGTCTTTAAGGAAATGTTGGTTCCCAAGCAGGAAAGCAACTATGGAACCTGAGCAGAGACCATTTTGAAACCTGGTTTTCCGGCAACCCCATGCACATGTCCTCCATTGTCCTCCTGTTCGTGCCGTTCTTGCGGATTCCACTGCAGATATTGCCGGCGGACAATATTGGGGGAAATATTGACGTTAAGAGTTTTGTTCTATCTTTCTAGCTGGGCCTGGTCTGCAGGTTCTTTGCATGGGGTGACCACTGGGCACAAAAAAACACTTTCACCACTAAATGGTGAAAGTTAGCCATGGCCATTTTGAGGCCAGGAATATTGATCAACCCTCATACAGATCAGAGAATATGAAATTATTTCGCACCCAGTCTCTGGGCAGCACCAGGCACTCCCAGCGGGATGGTGCCGCAAACGCCGATAGCAGCCTTCAGCAGACAAGGTGGGCCTTTGGGGCGGCTCTGGGTTTTGCTCTTAGACAAGCTCCCACGCGAGCGGACAATATGGGTGTGTCCTCTTTTGAGGGCAATTACCCCTTAGGTGGTGACCCCCCAAATTTGGGTCTGAACATTGGATTTGGTCGACCTGAACCTTGGCCATCCTCCCCAAATCCGGGTATCTGACTTGTCATAAGCGAGTTGTAGAACGAGAGAGTCGTCGGGAGCTAGACTGGAGAGATGAGCCAAATGTACTCAAATCCCATCTCAGCGCGAGTTGCCGACACCGAATCAACCTTGCATGTTGGCCTGGATGGTACCTGCAACACCGACGTGGTCCATCTCATTTGGAGATTTCTCACAATGGGAATCCCTCAAAATGGCTTGTTTCCTTTGGTTTCCCTCCAGCCATCGACCAAGGAGGAGTCTTTGTGGGAAAGCATTTGGCTCTCGGTGCCAGGCACCCCGGGCGGCATGGTGCCGCAAACCCCAACTGCCGCATTTGCGCCCAGCAGAGGGGGAGGCGTGGCGGGCTCTCGGTTTTGAAGCTGCGCTGGCGCACGCAAGCCGTTGGGGTGGTAAAAGAGCATTTTGAGTCAGCCGCTTGCACACCCATCCGATAGTCAGGTGACTGGCATGCACACATCAACCACCTCCAAACCACCAGACCTAGCCACCAATTTGGGGCGACCCATGGCTGTCACGGAACCACCCGACAACAAGGGCACACCAATTCCAGGGCGCCTTGTTTCCACTGCGAGTACGGGCTTCTAGGTGTGTTTCATGTTTTGGGAGTTCCGGGGCCCTTGAGCCTACGATGTTGTGTTGGGGATACCGGCAATTCCTTCCAGCTGGATGGTGCTCCCGCAGCATGGACGGAATTTCGGCCTGGGAAGACAGCAGCGTCACAATCGGCTTGGTGTGATTGAGGCTGTTTTGGCGATCTAAATAGTTAATATCAGCGTTTTCTGGTGCTTGCACCTGTGTGATTTTGAACATCTTCTAACAACACACGGGGGTCCCAACACAGGGGACCCCTCCAAAATGTGGGCTTATATGTGCTATTCTCATCAATGCTCCACACCCACATCAGATTGTTGGAGTTAACCTCTCTGTTGTTTTTCTTGTTTTTTTTTTTTCCTTTTTTTTTTCTCTCTCTCTCTCTCGCTCGTTAACCTGTCCACCCATCATGGAAGCGCACCAAGGGCCATTCGCAGAAAGCTTCATGCCAAGATATCCACGTCATCCTGTATGATGGTTGGAGGGACGGGCAAAGCGCTTTTAGAGCTGTTCTTTGGCTAGCTTCTTTGCCCGGCAAAAGGTGTGACTGAACCAGGCAAATGGCAATTTGCTACTTATTTATTGTATGTAGTTGTGTCCCGTTGGTTTTAGCGAGTAGTGGTATTGGCTGGGCATGTTCTTCTCACTCAACACAGACTTGGGTGAAACTAGATGACACATATTTCTGTTGGTCGGTGACGATGAAACCGACGTGAGGGAATCGCTTTCACCCAACTGTACTGTAAGCGAAGAGTTCTTCTATACGGAGCCATTCGAGGCTTGTGTTCCAATGCCATCCTGTTTGGCTTCGGCTCTGAATCTGCGGTCTCTCGCGTTTGGGATACAAACTCGCTTCACTTGCGTTAATCCGCGACAAAGAAAGCGCCAGTAAGCTGTCAGAACCTGTCATAACGTGTCATAACCTGTCATAACCTGTCCTAACCTGTCAAAGATGTTGCGCCATCTATTATTGCGGGTGTCTTCAAGCACCTGCCAAAAGATGAATATGTGCATCCACCTGCCCTTGTCACGTTATTGCTCTAAGGTTCATTCCTACTGTCCGCGATGACCTCTACGGGCTTGCAAGAAGACATAGGTTCCTTGGAATAGACAGTCTGATGACCAGGTTGAATGTTCCACCAGAAATCCAGCGATATGTTTTTTTCTCCTGTTTCGGTGGTGCTCCAAGATTCCATGTTTGCCCTTTTGGTGGTTTGTAAACATGACCTTTTGGGCCCACTGAAATGGGGTTCAAAGGGGAACACTCACCAAATGAGAGCGGCGTTATTTTTTGCCCCCTTTGACTGGTTGAAATCTAGAGGGGCTGGCGTCCATAGACCCAAGATGACGTTGCTTTTGGGCACTAACCGACCCCTCCCTTTTCCCTATATCCACACAAACCCCTGGAAGACAGGGTGACCTCCCATGTTTCCTGCAGGTCGTGGCTGGCTCTGAGGGATGTTTTAGGCCGCAGATGTGACCTTTTTGCATGGAGACCCTTCCAGGGAAGGGACTTCAGACAAGGTGTTCCGACCTTCAGGTTCTCTTTCAAGTCAACCACCCTCAGGATCCTTCAGGCATGCTTGTCCTCGGGCCAGGTACCCCGGGCATGGTGCCACAGACCCCCCTGGCGGGATCTAGAGCAGGTGGAGGCCGGTATATAATACAACGACGTTTAGATCGGCTTCCGGGTTTATTTGCTTTCTCAAAACATGGTCAAACGGCCTGGAACTTGGTCCAAGAGGTTGTCATAGGTCCTTTGCTCCCGGGCTTCTTTTGGAGCGCGTTCAAAAAAGCACCTTCCGGGCCAATTTCGCTTTTGTTGTTTCGCATTGACCATTTGGCTGGGTGGCCGAAGACGAAATTGTTTCGTGGGGTGATGTCCGAAGGGGACATCTCAGGAACTCTTTTCCAAGGGAGTTGGCTCACAAGGACCGGACCGGACCACGTAGGCTCGACAACGCATTGTTTGGTCTTGCTTTCCCCTTGGCTGCGGCCTTACACGATTTTGCTCAGAGGGTCCAAGTATCTTCTGCGGATGCACTTGAGTCAAAGCATATCACAGCGTACCACCCTTTGGGTTGTTGGTGGGGTCTCTGGCGTTCAAGTCTTATGTGCGCGCGCGCGCCTAGTTCAGGCCGTTCGATTTTTCAGACCCTCGGCCGGCTTCACATTCCCAAGCCAGGGAGGTTCCATTATTTTGAGATCCGGATGAAATTCGGGCCTTGGGCTCGTAGGATAACCTTTCCCGTGATTTCGTCGACCAATTTTGAAGCGCTGGAAATCAAACCAGGCACACCGCTGAACACTGTAATACTTTGCTTGTTTCCTAGCCTCAATGTCGAGGGAACTGTGCGGCTCAGTGGCTGCAAACACAATAGGACAAAGTTCGCAGGATAGATCACCGGAGCCATTTTGCACACCTGGACCCCTGCCGGCAGGTCCAAAATGCCAAACGGATATCTGAGTCGGCGAGCCGTGGCTTCAAAAGGACGAGAACGGCCTGCGCAATTTGTTTAATTAGTTTTTGCAGAATCCAGGAACCCCACCGAATTTTACCATGTTGTTTCGTGGAAGCAAGTATATTTGCCTGTTAATCATATCTAACAGCGGCTCCCTGCACAAGAACGACCTGCTTTTGGGTCTCGTTTTAGCCGAATTTAAAAGCGGGGGCCTGTACCACTTGGACACCCCCAACCTGGGTTGTCGGTGACCAACAGCCGATTTTGAGGGCAAACGTTAAAGGACGCAAAAGTGAAATCCCATACACATCCTAGTTTACTGTAATTGGCAGCCAAATGAGATCTCAGGTGTTTGACGGAAATCGAAGCAACTTGGCTTTCAAACTGGCTCAGGTTGCATCAAAAGAGCATCTCCGTTCCGAAAACTCGTTGGCAGGCACGCCTAGCAACATGGTGCCGCAGACTCCTCCGAATGCCGCCTTTGCGAGAGCAGGAGGCGGAGAGAATGCGTAGACCTGCGTGTCCGCCGATTCATAGCCTCGTTCAAACGATCATAAGCCAATGGATGTTGGCAGGGAGGCCTGTTCAAGAGGACTGCAGTCTTCCAAACCCTTCCGTTGCAGTATCTGGGGTGTATGTTATTCAGGGGTCAACATTGGGGGGCCCTTTTCGGGATCTTTCGAGGCCGGCCTGGTTTTGTCACCGTTCAACGGGTTGAACATTGCCTCTTTTGAAGAGTGCCCCATTTGGACATAAAACCGCATGTGCATGTTGTCCAGTTGTTCGGTGGCAGCCATTTCCCTTGTTCGGTTCCCCACTAAAAACACCGGCCCCGAAAGATCAGGTTCCCTCTGTGTACTCAGGTCGCGCGGGGAAGTTAAACCCAAGGCGCAGTTCTTGAGCACGGCCAGAGCCAATACACCTAGCCCTCCGAAAGTGTAACATGCAACAAAATACATAAGAGTCATACACATGGCAGCGTTGAGTGGCCCCTTCAAGGAAAGTACAAGACCACACGGGCCCAGAACTGCCTGGAGTTTCCTTTTTTGACTCTGAATCACACGAAATGGGTTTACTTGAGTAGTGTACACATGATCCATGCTTTGAGTGTAAACAGAGACTCCGTGAAACCGTTTGTTGGTTTTTGTGTGGGACATGGTCTGCGTTCGGGCCGGTCCACGGCCTACTTGGATGTTCGGCCAAGTTAGTAAGTGGTTGGCCACGGGGGTGAGAAATCCAGAAACAACAGGCTTAACTCCACTGAATGGGGTACTTATAGGTGATTCACAGCCGCATAGCCTAGGCAAGCTTGGCAAGGAACACCGCACTGTCCGCTTGCAACCACCGTGAATGCACCTGAAATGACATTTGTTGACCTTGTCCCAAGGTTGGCAAACGTTGTGAAGCCACCACGCAGGCGTATGTATACATTCAATCTTTGAAGCAGTTGGATGCTGACTTTCCGTGATTGCCATGCCGATAGGTACTCCTGTGCCTCAAACCCCTGCGGCGGCCTTCGACGTTAAGCCCGACGCAGGCCCGGGGTGGACGTGAGTCTGCTTTGCAACCGTGATTCTTTGCTGCATGTGACTGTGACTGTTTGTTGTTGATGTTTGTTTTTGCTTCCGGCCGGGGGGGGGGTTCCACGGGTGGTTTTGACGGATGGCCCAAGGAAACCAACAAATTCCGGGGTACCCGTATTTAGGCAACGTGAGGTGCTCAATATGATTTTGACTCTGGTTGTAAAGCATCCTTTATAGACTCCGACTACATAAGGTTGTTAGACGGACATCAATCATAGATCTTATGGTTTCGTGCGGGTTGAAAGAAAGCTGCATCACCCATATGCTCAGCAGAGAAACACAGAAGCAGGGACTGGAGCAGGGGACGGGGCAAGGTTTTGAGAGCCGTGAAGACTTGGTTGCTGCCGGATTCCTTTCCGCGGCCATGGGGTCGTTTGGACTGACAAGCTTAGCAGACGTTTCCAGATTCGAGATTCGGTTAATTTGGTGACATGGTCAACACTTGTGCTCTTCTGGTGGAATTAACCCAAGAAAGGGATCGTTTCTTTTTCTTTCTGCCAGCGTTCCACCTTGTTCCCTTCCTCACAGAGAAAGGGCCAGTCATAGGCGTCCTTTTCGGCAAGTGCGGTTCAACCAGATGGATTCCACCTTTTTTTGTTTGGCTCTAAGGATTGTCCAGTGCCTCTGACACGTTCTCAAGGCTCGCAACAAGTGGCCACGAGGAAAATCCAATTCAATGGACATTTGCGCGGGTGGATTGATGCAGCTGGCTGGCGACTTGGCCGCCCACTGTGATCTGCTTGTTGAGCTTGTAATCAATTCTCTTCTGGACAATTCACCTGGGAGAAACCGCGGGAACACCCATGATGAGGATATTTGGCTCGGGGATTCCTGATTGACGCTTTCTGAATAGTCATTTACATGTCAACTTTCAAAGGGCTCATCCTAACTTTGCTTCTTGGTTCTGGGAGGGGACTCAGATGGGGGAGATGAACTGGTGACCCCTTTCTTGATCCCTCTTTTCAAGGCGGCACCAAACGACAGGGTCCCAACAAAAGGTCTCTATGTCTGCTTTGTTGCAGGATTTCGAGTACCCCCGACCTCCTGCGGTCCGCTTTCTCTTCTTTGTTTCGGGTGGCTTTCCCTCGGTACCAATCAAGCATTTGGCTGTGTTGCCCAAAACCTGGGGCATAGGCTTCCGGCAAATGCCAAGTAACCCAACAAAACAGGCACGCGTGTTTTGTCGGCCTTTGCTTCTTCCTTCGGACCCAAACGAGGCTGTGATGTGCTGCGATGCGTTTCGCCTCTTTGGCCAGGTGGAGCGACTCCAGCCGAGCGAGGCCTAAAAGTTGGAGCACTTACTGTTCAATTGAGGATGAACGAGGGATAAGAATGCGGGTGACATGGGGATAGTGTTGGTCATGAAATGGGAACAGAATTGCGGATGGAACTGGCAATGGAATTGGGGGGAGAAATGGGAGTGGCCTAGGGATAGAATTGCGGAAGCAACAGGGATAGACTTGGGCTTGGGGGGTTGTCAAAATGAGCCCGCTTACCTGGGTGCCGGCTGCCGCCAGAGAAAAGCCGGAGAGGGTCCAAATCTGAACCTTGACTGCTAGCAGTCCTCCCATTCTTTCAAGGGGTTGTTCCTTCCTCGCCGCGCAAGACTCCTCAGGACAACTCTGTTTGGCCGGAGGTCGGACCGATGATCTCCGGCCTTTCTCCCAATGAACTCCCCGAAAATGAGAGCTAGTTCCTGAAATTGCTTCCGCCAAGAAATGGAATGCACTCTTGGGAGGCTGGTGTTAAATCAGGTTTCTTTGCATCAACTAGAATTGTTTAAGCCCTGCCGAGCGACCCTGGAAGTGTGGCTTCTTTCAGACAGCGTTCGTACCCCGAAAATTTCCCAACATCAATCACAGTGCGACAATCGCATTTTGCAGCACATGATGATTGCAGTGGTCCTGGCCTTGGGGTTTACAGCGTGTTCAAGTTGAAATTGAAATAGGTTGAAGCTCATCAACAACTCAGTCAAAATACTGGACGAATCTGCGAGGAGTAGCCAGCTGCCACGTTTCAGGATATGTTTGGTTTCCACCATCCAGGAGTCTGCTGTTTCTAAGCTGCCTCTTTCTTTTCGAGTTTCTGGACGTGATGCCGTGGAAGATCATTTAAGAAAAACAACACAGTAATGTTGGGCCCTCTATAATCTCACCCCCTCCCACTATTTTATTTAGTATTGCCAATTCTAAATTTAGTATTGCCAAGACTTGATCTCAGATTCCCAGTGCTCAACTTAGTATTGCCAATTCTATATTTAGTGGTGCCAAGACTTAGTCTCAGATTCCAGGTGCTTAACTTAGTATTTCCATTGCTAAATGTAGTATTGCCAAGACTTGATCTCAGATTCCCACTACTGAATTGGTATTGCCAGTTCTAAATTTAGTGGTGCCAAGACTTGTTCTCAGCTTTCAAGCGCTTAATTTAGTATTGCCAAGTCTGAACTTAGTGCCAAGACGTGTTCTCAGATTCCACGTGCTTAACTGAGCATGTCCATTTCTATATTCAGTGTTGCCAAGACTTGATCTCAGACTTCCAGTATTTGATTTAGTATTGCCAATCCTAAACTTAGTGTTGCCAAGATTGTATTGCCTATTCCAACTTAGTATCACGAGTATTTAATCTCAGATTCCCAGTACCTGATTACGACTTGCCAAGATGAACCACCCTTACAAAGTAAAAAGGCTAAGGCTCGGATCTGAGACTTTCACCCACACAACAACAATTTTGACATGAAACAAGACCCCGTCACATAAAACAAGATCAGGGGCTCCCGTGGAGCAAGCCCCGTTGTGTGACTGTTTGGGTGTGCTTGTTGTTTTTCTTAATGAAGAACCTATCACAAATCTGATGGTAAGTTTAGGGACCACTTGTAAAGTTGGATTTTCTGAATCTAAAGCGTTTATTTTGCCTTTGAGCAGGGAAGAGCTTGGCTAGAGGAACCACACTCTAAGAGTGAAAAGTGAAGGCCCTATTCTTCAGGAGCTGGAAACAATTGGGGATCTTTGGGCATCTTGAGTTAGGACAATCAAACATTTTTTAACCCGACGCCCCGTGTACAGAGCAGGTCCAACATTAACCTTGTCCTTCGCTGATTTGGATGGACAACAAGAAACCTTGGAAAATTGGGGTCCTTACAAGGGAGGGGTGCAACCATAGTTCCCTTTTTCAGGTTGGGGAATCATTTTCAATCAAGTAGGAAAGTCCACGTTTGTTCCAGGTTGAGGGCAGTAAGTCAAGGATTTTAATCCAATAGTTGTCAGTTTCCGAGCACAGCGCTTTGTTTGTGCGCTCCCATCCGAGAGGCTGAGCCGCCGAGTCAATGACGCACATTTCGGCTGGCTTTTGCCTGGCAAAACGTGTGACTCGGGGCATAGCTGGGAGCAGGGTTGTCCTTTTGCCACATCAGTGTTCAAACGCCCCAATGCCAGTTTTGCCTATAGGTGCTTCTATTCGGAGCCACGTGTCAATGTGTGTTGGCACGGCTCACATTCTGGCACTTCAGGGCGAATTTTGGGTTTTTAGGGGAGCCGACGTTTTTCTATTGTGGGCAGCCATCAGTTCGCCCATGGACACCAATTGTGGCTCACCCATTTGGGAATTCTCCCAGTGACGTATTGGTTGAGTGTGTAAAAGTGATTGGCCCGCCGGGCCATTCGACCAAGGGAGGGGTGCATGAGGCGATGCGAAGCGCGGGCCAAGGATTGATCACTACGCGGAGCTTCAAACAAATCTCGCATGAAGCCCTGAAGCCCCTGCAATCGCCGTTTTTGCTCAAGGTTGGCAGAGGAAGGTTGGCTGGCTGGCCAGCTGGTATGGCTGGTTGGTTGTTTGCCTTAGTTGGTAGGTTGGTTGGTAAAGTCTACAAAAAGGCCCACAGAGGTGACGACGGCACGTGTCCACAAGTCGCGAGCTACGTTTACTTGGTTCTGTTGCGGCTGCTTCTGCAACGCGACTGTCAGGGAGTTGTCGCCTTTTTCTTGACACTGAGAGAGATCGTTCTCGCCTTTATCCGCCTATTGATAAACCCAGCTAGTGCTTTGCATGAAAAGCGACCTCCTTTGATGAACACGTGCCTTGTCACCTTTGTGAGCCGTTTTCTAGACTTGTGCCAGGGTGTGCCAGGGTAGTCTTGTGCCAGTAGACACCAGCCTCCTGCGAGGTCGATGGGTCAAAGTCGGTGGCCCTTACGGGAGGAACACGTCAGGAGACCTGGGTTGTTGGCCATAGTCTCTAAATTAGCTGAAGAGCTCAGGGATTCAGGGGTTGAAACGAGCTCGTCCACGATTCGTCGGAGATTCTTACTTCTGGTTTGTGAAGTAAGTTGATGGTTTCTTGTTGGTTCTTCCTTGGAAATTCCTTATCTTGCTCAGACAAAGCTGCTTTGTGTCTGTTTCTCTGACAGGGGCACCCCCAGATGGGCCCACGTGTACCAGGTCATAGCCGAGGAAGGTTGGGTATGCGCCAAAGGGTTCCTTGAGGTTTCTCTTCAAGCCTACCCCAAAAGGTTCACGCTCAAAAAAGATTGCAAACGCCGACGACAGCTTCTCTGCTGGGGTGAGTGGTTTGTGGTAAGTGCACGCCTGAAGGGTGAAGAGCCCAATGCAAATCAACCCAAAGCAAACATCCTGGAAATCGCCTTATGGATTGCTGATGTTCCTCTACATGTGTGCGACACGTGCGACGATTCCCTCAAACATGTAGCTCACATTTCGTGGGCGCTTTCAAGGTGGCAGGCAGGGGGTGTACAGGTCCTTCGGCACTCCCGGCTTGAGGCTCAAGCCTGTCAGATGGCAACAAAAACAACGGCAGGTCTGTCACCAGCTTCAGACGCAAAAGGGCGTTGGCAAAGAGCCGTAAGCCTTCAACAGCAGATTGCCGCCAGCCGCACGTTGAGGATGGGACCTCAGCGGAATATGGACAACGGTTGAATCAAAGTTGGAAAAAAAGAACACGCAAGCGATATTTCTGAACATGAAGCATCGGGCCTATTGGTTGTTTTTTGCAACAGGGAAACAAGCTGACCTTGTTGAACAAATGTGGTTTGAACATGTTTGAATCCTTTGAGCAACAGTGGCCTAGCAGTTTTAACACCCTGCAAACGGGCTAGAAGGTCTTCCAACCCAGCGATTTGCTCAAGCGGAGATGCTGGAGTGAAGCGAACTCTATCGACCTCACCTCACCGAAACCTATGGTTAGATTGGATGTTTTTTTTTGTGTGGATTCCGAAATTTCAGGTTTTGTCCCCATATTTCCTTCTTTTCTTTGTGGCGGTTTCAATCATCGCCTTTTGGCCCATTGAAGGTGAGTGTCCTTTCTCTCGGGGTGATGCTGTAAGGGCAAGCCCGATTTGCAAATGTTGGCCTCAACAGAGCCGAGGGTCTGCTGTGAAGGCAGTGGGAGAGACACAGGATCGGTTCCATTCGGTTTCCTTTTGTCACCCAAAAGGCTACCCTAACAAGAACGACAAGGCCATATTACAACGGGAAACCCGGCCCCGCTAAAGTTTCGTTGCCTGAAGCAAGGCGACCCTCCCGGATTGTCTCCGTGAATCACGTGTCCCGATGTTGGGCATTGCAACGGACTTAGATTACGATCATTAACTAAACATGAACTTATTGGATTCGTCTGAAAATGTAAGTGACAATAGAATATAGGACGGCCAATCGCATGTCGCAGCATTAGGTAGTCTCTCCGACATGGTCGTGCAGATTCGGCAGCCACAGGCATTCCACTGACTTCGCAAGCATTGCAAGTGAGCCAACCAGAACACATGTTGGATTGCTTGAAAATTAATTCTGCTATGGAACGCTTTGGTAACAGTTTGGGGATTTGTGGTCACCAATTGTAGGTGCTCTTCAAGAACCTCCGTGGCCTTGAATGACTTGAGCGCAATTCTCCGATTTCGTTTCGCCTTCAAGGTCATGCAGAGCTATCCGCAGGTTCAGTACGCCGGACAACCCAGCAAGCAGTCAGCGAGTTATGTGAGCAGCACCCAAGATTGGCCATAGAAGGGGAACTTCCTGGCTTGATGGTTAATACTTTGGCCTACATAACCTACATAGCCTGGCGTAAACATGTTGGTAGAACAAAAGTGAGCGGGTTTGGGCGCTGCTTATTGGTTGCTGTGTGTGTGCTTTTCAGGGTACCCTTTTGCGGGTTGTTCCAAAGGAATACCACAAGGAAACACGTTTTTCCGGGTGGGGGTTCAACTATTCACGGCACGTGTTTTGGCTTTTGGTCTGTTTCTTTTGTTTAGTGTATGTTGCTTCATAGGGTGACTATTGACCCTTTATTTAATGTCGAAAGGCATTCCCTGGCATTCCGTTGCGCAGAGTTGTTTTGGTCGACACCAGGCGAACCTGAAGAGTTTTACGCTATCAGGACTGTCATGGACTCGGGGTACAAGTTGGCATGTTGCATTCATGATTTTCTCGGGCCAAACAACAGCGCGGCAAACAGCGATGGGAGAAATGTTCGCGCACCGCCGAACTGCGGTTGTTGGGCGTTCTCGCAGCTCCGAGCTTTCGGGCCGCCTGCGATTGGCATTATCACAGGAGGTCAACACGAACCCAGCCAGAGGGGGTCCAGTTGGCATGCGTTTGAAAGTCGTTACACAGCAGTTCAGCGACTACACAGTGTTTGGGAGTGCATGACATGTTTGACCCACGAGGCTTTTGATCTGCTCAAGGTCTAAAGGAGTTTAGGTGGTTGCCTGTCCAGCTATTGTTGGGCCAGGGACAAAATGAAACCAATGTTTGTAGGGTTCTCATTTGCTTTAGAAGCATCCATATGAAAGAAGCAAAGGCGTTCCCTTGAACGTCAATGTGTACATTGCCAGACATAGCTTGCCTTAACGTTGGTGCCTTTTTGGGGGTTCCTTCATGTTAGTTTTGTTCAAGCAGCAAAGGTGTCACTTGTTCAAGGGTCCCAATCGGATCCGTCTGACCCAATGATCTGGTGTCTCACCTGGTTGCTTGGCTCTTTCAGCGTGGCAGGCTTGAATTCTGCTTGTTTCTCAGCGAGTCACGTCAGGCTTTTGGGCCCAATTCTGTGATATCAAGGTAGTCCCCTATAGTCCCCTTGTATCTAAGTCGTTTTGGGTCAGAAGGTTCTTTACCAGGCGATTCATGTTTTTGTTGGTTTGGGAATTCTGGTCATTCGCCGAGAGAATAGACTTGATTTGCCGAGCCCTCCACATTGAACTTCCCGCATACCCATGTAAAACATTAGCCAGAACTTTGGTGGGCTTGTCCTTGTTTCTTTTTGTTGGAGGGGCGTCCACGTGACATATACTGCGCAAGAAAGTGAGAGTTTTGTTCACCGGTTTCAACTCATGAAGTCGCCATGATGGCGACTTCACAGGAGTATTGGTCGGGATATTGGTGTGATAGTCAAAGAGGTGTTGGTGGGAACAGCATTTGCAGCTTCCCCGTGAGGTTCGGTCAAAATGTCGAGTAGTCTGTGGTCGGGGACTGACTCACGTTCCTGGGGGAAACAAGTCTTGCTTGCCCACATAAAGACCTACATTCGTGTTTTTTGCTTTTATCCCCGTATGTTGGTGTCCCTTTTACCGCAAGCTACTAACGGCGATCTAAACAAAGGACAGCTGATGTCACCAGATCCAGACTTCGCACCTCCTTTCCTTGCGCCAGATCCGGGGTGCGCCCGGGGCTCCCATGCGCTACGGCTTCCGGGAGGCCAAGGCCCAGGCGAGTTCGGTGCAGCTTCCTTCGTTACGTTTCCTGGGGTTGAATGATGGCTCTTCTGAAGATTCTACATATATGCGGTGCTAACTGGAAGCACGGGCTAGATAAGTCCACACACTGCTGCCCTTTGATCATGACTTATTTCTGCTGAATTGTACCAAAAACAAACTTGAGTCATTTCGGCTGGCTTTGTTCACGGAAACTGAAACTGTTTGCCCAAGGCACGGGCCCCGAAAGATCTCCGGCTGCTTTCTTACTGGACCCGTTGTTAGACATTGCGTGAATCAGTTCAAGCCACTCAAGTATTACATTGGCGCGTCCCCCGGACAAACCGAGGGACTCATGAACCATTGCTCTCATCTCAACTTGAAAGCGGGCACTTGCGGGGTTTGGAAGGGGAGTCTGGCCCCTTGTCGGAGATGGAATGGGCAAAATGTGAGCTAGATGGAAAATCGGCAGTGCCGCTCCCTCCTGACGGCTTCAGGTGGTGCCGATGGTGCAAGGCCTGGTGCCTTCGGAGGTCGACAGGGGGGCTGTTGGGATACCACCTGAGCTTATTTTCCAAATGTGTGCCACACATTGGACAATTCCATCCAACAAGGTTGTGCTACGGCCGAAGTGTTGTTGAAAGCAACCACTATGCATCCGCAGTACAATGCCAGGCTTATCAAGCCTTGGTTTCCTTGGGTTTCTCTCCAATGCGGCACCTTCCTGAGCCCCCCCTTCTCATAGGTTAACCAAGTTGGAGCCCCCTTCATAGGGGGTCCTGGATTTCCCCTCTCACACGGCAAACCTTGGAACTGGTCCCTGGAGAGGCTAGTGGATCGCACGCGGGTTTGTCCTACTTATGGCCCCGTCTTCACCTTAGGGAAATCCACCACATTTCAAATGTTGCAACCAGCCCCACCAAAAACCAAAAGGTTGCCAGAACACAAGTTCCTAAAACATGTTTCGCCTTAAACAATGGGGTGGCACGTGTTCCAGGAGTTCAGTGGCACCCCTCTGTTCGTGATTTAGTCTTGGCGGGTTCCCGTCTAAAACTGGTGCTGTCGCCGGCAACTCCCCTGTTGGGACGGACCGAACAGCACACGGGTGGGCAAATCAGGAAGTCAAAGTGCATCAATGCGAGGGGGGCCACGGGAAAACGAACAGGATTAGTTTGAATTGAAGTATATCAATATACAATGTGTTCTGTGTTTGCCCAAGGCTCTACTGCCCTTGGGTCAAAGTAGTTAATGTTGTTTTTTCTGGCCGAACGCCAGAAAGTCTTTGTTTTCTGGCAGGTCGACCAGGCCCTCCGCAAGCGCCGGGCCCAGCGGTATTGCCCCCTTTGGTGCGCCCTTTGGGCTTGGTCCAAGAAACAGGTTGGGTTGAGAAGGCTGGGCCCCCCGGTTTGTTACCTTTCGGTTGCGCCAAACTGCACAGGTTGCGCAAAGTTTCAACCTCGCGCCTTTACTCCCTTGTGCAGGCTTCCTGTTGGGCAGACCAACGAAATACTGCGGGTGTGTTCTGTTTCCTTTTCAGGCAAGTAAGTGAGTGGTTGCAAAGGAAACCCTTCAAACCTTTGAACCAACCTGCAAAAGAAACCCTTCAAACACACAAATACAGACACTGAACAGACACAGGCACAGAACAGACACAGGCACAGGAACAGGCACGGACACACACACACACACGGACACACGGACACACAGACACACAGACACACAGACACACAGACACACAGACACGGAGACACAGAGACACAGAGACACAGACACACAGACACACAGACACACAGACACACAGACACACAGACACAGACACAGACACCGACACAGACCGACAGACCGACAGACAGACAGACCGACAGACCGACAGACCGACAGACCGACCGACCGACCGACAGACAGGCAGGCAGGCAGAGAGACAGAGACAGAGACAGAGCCACAGAGACACAGACAGACAGAGACAGATGCAGAGACAGAGACAGAGACAGAGATAGAGACAGAGACAGAGACACAGACAGACAGACAGGCAGACAGACAGACACAAGCAATTTGAAGTGTTTGCGCCTGTATGAGTGAAAGAAAGCTCCCCTGTTCAGGAGCTAAGCGTCACCCCTTTGGTCAAGTTGCTGTTTTGCCTTGGGTGATGTGATGTTAGAAGTTGCCGGGCACAGCGTACTATTTGTTTCCCTTGTTGCCTTTTGGGCTTCCCTTGTTGTTCCCTTCGCGACAAGTCAGGTCGTTCGGCCTAGATTCGGAAGACTCACGCGAGTGTTTTTTGAGGCTACCTTGTTCTGGCATGTGTCACTGAACGCCCAAGGGAAGCCGCCCAGACCTCTGATGCTGTCCTGTTGGTTTTTCTCTTCCAACCCATCAACCCATGCAACAAGGGTCTCCAGTTCATTGCTGGATAGTCGGAAACACAACGCCATCTTTAGGAGACTCTCTCCCTTTGGGACAGCATTTGCACTAGAGCTGACAGGCCCCAATCCAAGGGCCAAGGGTGTTCTATTTTAGAACCTATTTAGTGGGGATTGAGATGCTCACTGGGCCATATCTCCAACAAGCACCCCCCGTTCTCCATCATCAATCGCTGTGAGGCAGTGGCCGCGGTGCTTGCGGTGCGCGCCGGGGATGTGTGGAGTTGCCCCGCAAATCGGAGGAGATCCCTTACTTGGGATCTGCCAAGAATGTTTTAAATGGGTATGGGTCAAAATTACACCACCAGGGGACCACAGGTTTTAGTCCGTGTTTCCATTTACAGTAGCAGGGTTCCATTTTGGGTACCGATTTTTGACTCACAGCCAAATGTCTAAATGTTGGGGCCGGCTTATTATGGAATACAGTCAGAGACTTATGGAATGTCTTGTGCATTTGCAGATGTGGGCCACGCTACCCAGCTTACTCTCGGTATGTGGGATGTGCGGAATGTACCTCTCCAGCTCATGAGCGAGGGGCGGCGGTTTTTTCTCAAGTCCCCAGATAGGTGCTTCCAACTTTTTGAAGAGCAGCTAATCAAATGTTTTTAACGTTGCTGACCAATCGACCCAGAAAGTGAGTTTGCCCTCGCACCCAGGCAGAAGGTCCCTGATTGGTCTTCAAGGACCTCTCGCTAGTCAGGTTTCATACTCAGGGAGTGTTGGTCTGCTATTGCGAGGGAAAGCCTGTTATCCCGATGGAGCTCCTTGTCCCGCTGTTCAGTGGATTTAATCTTTGGCGGGATCGGGACCCACCTCTTTTGGAGCGGGTCGCAGGTTTCCTTTCACTGGCCTGAGGGCAGCGCTTGATCTTTCCTGAAGGGAAATTGATTTGAGTGTTTTCTCGACAAAGTACGTCCGCCTTCCTTAGCGGAAGGTACCCCTTCAAGGCAAGCGTCAAGTAGTTGCTGTTCTCAGAGTGGCTCAAATACATTAACAAGAACTGAAATTGTTCTCGATGATAAGAATCGAATTGTTCCTGGCGCCATAGTCTCCAACCGGATTGTTCCTTTTCAGGCGCCGACGCCCAACAAGATCCAGCCGCAGTTGCAGAACCTGCCCGGAGCCTACACCGCCAGGTAATGGACACCAAGTCTGCGGGGGGACGGGGGAGTTGATGAACCTGCCGCACCCTCACCTGCAGATTCAACAAGAGCAATCACATCCCTTTTTAGGAACGGAACCTCCCGGGAAGTGGATATCTGCGTTCCTCCGTCAAAATTGGTTGATTTTTTCAAGTTCCTGCGGGAGCCAAGTGGTGAAGCTGAGTCTGGCAGCTCGCCACCCGGCCCCGGAATATAACTATGGCAGGCATTCACGTTCACTTGACACAACTTCGGCTGACTTTTCGCTTGCTCCAATCCTAGGCTCACTCGAAACCCACTCTCAACCAACCCTAAACGCACCCTGAATCCAGCCAAGCCGACCCTAGCCAACCCTCCTTTCGACCCAAACCCTTCTGCAAACCACCCCTAAGCCAACCCTGAACCAACCTAGGCCGACGCTAAATCAAAGCCTAAACAAACAGCTCGCTGGTGATGCTAGAGGTGGTAAACCGATCTAGGGGTGTTCAGGGTTTTTACGGTGTTTTTGCAGCACAATCGATGCCCGACATGGTTTCCAAGCTGTTTACTGTGTATTGCAGCAAATCTGGATCCCTGCTTTTCCCTGCTTTTCCAGCACGTTTTCTGACTTATAGCAACAACTACCTTGGTGCTACATGGGGAGCATTGGACTTACGCGCAGATTCTCCCAGCTCTGAGCTCGCAGGGTTCTGCGGAAAGCATTTGATTGGGACACGCCGAACTCGCGACCTCGGCGTTGCAACCACTTTTGGGGGACTTGTTTGCCACCATAAAGAACCAAGGAGCAAATTGAAAAAGGGGCCCTTTAAAGGATGAACGGTTTCCCCCTATACCAACAGAATCCCAGCCCGATTTGGGGTGCCCATGAATATAGGCTCCGCCGAAATGACACGAACGGGTTGTGGAGAATTTGAGCACCAACTTATTAAGTCATAAAAGAAAAGAAAGGTTTGCATAACATAATATGCATATATATATATATATATAATATACAGCTACGTCACTCATTATATTGCTACTGGCGGCTTTGATGCCCTTAGTTTCTGGGCAGGGAAGGATTTCGGGCCAAATATGGCATGATTAAACAAGTCATACAGATTGCCTCAACCGCCATCACAGCCCGCCTGGATCCTGTTTCAGGATCTATTTCATCTCTAACTTCGACTCCAAGTGTGCTTTTCGCTACCATCCGGATGGTTCTATTGATCGCACAGACGATATGGTCAACACGTCCTTGCTCAGGATCTGCATTGGGAGCTAATCCTCCTATGACACCTACCCTATTGGGAGAAATTAGGCATTCTTCATGACCCCTTACAGGTTTTTGTGGCACAGACAACAGGGCTGGGATTCTTCCTCTCGGTTTGGCCGAGTCAGCCGCTTTTGTGCTGTAACTTCTCAATGTCGGCCTCATTGCTTTGGGGTCAACTGCTTCCCTTGCTAATGATTAACTGTGATTAATATGAATGTTTCCTTGGTTATTTCATGTAACTCAAGGCACACACTGAATACCTCGATTGCGAATGTTTCGAGTTCGTGACGTGAGATCAAACCACATCCCGATGGCTTAAGGCTCCAGGCCAAAGTTTGTTGCAGTCCCCATGGCGAGCATCGAGGAAGGCGTGGAGTCCCCACGAGACGTGGACCCAGAATTGAATCAGGTTCCTGATGCTTGGCGTGAGGCACCTGGGACGAAAAGCAGCAACCCAAGCTTTCGTGGTCTTGAATGCCAGTTGGTTGGACACTGTGTCAATACAGTAAATCAACCTTATTGGGGTGTTGCTTGGACGATCTAGGGAACCCTGCATCACTTGTTTGGCTGAGTCTTGGCTGCTTTTTGGTTGGATCTTGAGCCATCGTTTCTTTGGGAAGATGTGTCTGCTTGCACTAGCACCAACCAGCTAGACTTGTTGGGCAAGGGACGACAACAACCCAGTTGTGTGCGCCTTTACCTTGTCTTGTTTAGTTGTCGTTCGTGGCTTGCTCGATGTTTGTGGAGGTTTGCCTGCAGCTGAGATCGATTTGTATCCAGAGTGTTTGTAACATTTTCTGGGTGAGCGCACAGTGGCCTCGGAGTTGATTTGACGATTGACTCAACCGAATTGAACGTGTTGAAGCTCAAATCCACGCCGGCGATGCAAATCCTTAGCTATGAAGATCCGTGAACGATCAGTAGACAATGATAAACTTTGCATGTGCATAGGAGGATCACGACATGCCAACAAAACGCGGAGGGACTCTCTCATGGCAACTGCATATTATGTTGACTTTGGCTTACATTGGTTTGTGCATGCTAGGAGATTGGAGGAGTGCTATGTGTTTGTTTCTGGCTATCCTGAGTCACAGTCATTGCTCCTTGCGGCGCTCGATGATGACTGACAGCTAGCAACAAGACCAATTGGACTGTGGGACCCACATGGGTCCTGTGCGTTTTGGAGGGTACCCTTTCCAGGTTGAAGGGAGACCAACACTTTAACCCGGCACTTGTGAGGTCCCCTATTTGACAAACACTGCCATGGAGTTGAGGAAACTCAGATGAAGCCATTTCAATTTGCTGAGGTCTAATTACTCTGACTCAGTCTCATGAATCTGCCTACATTTGCTCAGGCGGCAAGAAACAGGACACCCAAACACGCGTTGCTTGTCTGAGGTGGGGGGAGACCTCCTTCACACATACCAAGGGACCCTCAGGCAACGCAGAGTCTTAGACTACGTAGGAATAGGAGAGAGAGAGAGAGAGAGAGAGAAAGAGAGAGAGAGCGGAGCATTAGCATCAAACTCGGTCGAATGAAACCAATCATCAGGCATGACCCACGCATCCTCACAAAGTGCTATTCTTCACAAAGGACACTTATTTATAGCAGACCTGTATTTTTTCTTTGGGGGGGGCTGTCAGCTCCGAGCCTTGCAGATAGTATTTACGCCTCCAGGTTCGCTCCGTAAGGGCCAGAGCCAATTGATTGGAGGGAACGTGCTAGGACAAGCTTTCGGGACATGGACCAAAAGGGAGTTATTACTAATACTGACTTTAATTGAATCTGACGCGGGTATGTCTCAGGGCAACCCAAAGTAATCCCACCTGAATGGGCCAACCCCAAACCAGTGGTTTCCAATGCAAATCAACAGCAACTTCCCCTCCCAAAAAGGGACCTCCGCTCCCAAACAGTGGACTTCGCCTTGTAAAATTCAAACTATGCCGCTTTCCACTCCCCTTCCAAAAGGCTAAACAGCCAAGGCTCATCCTCGTGATCCGATTCGGAAAAAGCTGAAGCAAAATGTGTCGCAGATATCCGCTCCGAAGCGATTTCGAGGTCTACGCCGGGGGGAAGTTCCAGGTCTCCTCGCTCTTTCCGCCGCTCACCTGGGCGCCCCGCTACCTTCGCTCTCTGCGAGGCCAGTCCACCGAAGAGGATGTGGACGCCATGGGGGACCTGCCCTACTCGGCACCTAAGCAGTAAGCAAATCAGATGATGCCAAGGCCTTCCCTTTGAGTTTTCTCTTTGGGAAATCCCAAGGACTGTTTTGGTTGGTTTCATTGGGAGGAGCAACAGGACACCTACCATTTTGCGGGGCCAAGCATTTTGACTTCTCAAGTGGTGGGTTTTGTATGGGCTTCAGTCACCTGAAGCGGTTGAGGTCTGTTAGACCCCCGCCAAGGTCAGGAAGCCAACTATCGACAATTTTGTCTCAGGGGCGCCTCGCGATTTGACGTCTACCTGGTTTAACGCTTCGTGTTGGTACCAACAGCTGGTTGTTAGGCGCACCTGAAATGGGTGTCACTTTTGTTTGCCCTCAAACAATCCAGGGGCATATACCCCCTCCCAAACTTCAGTGTTACGCCACTGACAACATGATTGGTAGTCCATTGTTAGTTTGGATGAGGAGGAGGAGGAGGTGCGCGGACCCAGGCGCCAACCAAGCACCCTCTCGTTTCCCAGGTCTCCTCGGGGAATCAAGTAATTGTGTCTGGGGATCATGGGATAAGGGCAAAGGGCACGGCTGATTTTGGCCAAGAGTCATCCAGTCTGCATCCAGTCATTGCAACAGACTGAGAGAGATGCATCTGCGGAGCATCTCATGAAAGTTGCGAATTGATGTGAGCGGACAAACTTGACGGGATACGTATCATGTTTGTTCTTAGTGCCCCAGGAGTCTTGCAGATCGGGATGGGAGTTGTTGGTTTGCAATGGCCCCCTATCAAGTTTTCTTGTGGTAATATGCGTGTTTCCAAATGTTTTGCAGGGGAATCAAAAGGCATCCACTCGTTTTGTGGGGTTGGTATAATTGGATACGTCTATACTGTCCGATGTTGGTGTGCCTCAGGTCGAGCGTGCTCGGATCGGGTGGTCAGTTAAGCAGTCTCCCCCCCAAAAGAGGGGGGGCCAATGCTTGTACTTGATGTGTTTGTCACCTAGGTTACAGCCCACTTCGGAGTGAACGAATCATCCAGGTGGTGAACCACGTGCTAGCTTGTCCGAGAGCTTCCAAGTAGGTTTTCCTATGTCCCCCTGTTGGTGGTTTCAATCGTCGCCTCGTCGTTTGTGGCTTGGTGATGTTTGAGCGGAACATCCACATGGGTGCTCCTTCAAGCTGGTAAGTTATGCGTCGCCTATGGTATGACATGACGTTTGGTCCAAATTACCAGAATAGCCTCTGGTTTATGTGGGACAGGCACGGGGGGCTCGCTGAACAGGCCTCACGAATTCTCCCATGCCAGGTTGGCGAAGCAAGTCATTTGGACTGTGGGCTCACGAATCAAACTCTTCTCTGAGGCCAAGGGCGACATCATCGCGGGGCTCACGGTGGGCCTCATGCTGGTCCCGCAGCTCGGAGCGGATTCCACCCTTCGATTCCCTGTTTGTTCCAGACTCCCAGTGAAAAGTCCCTTTTGCCAATCTGGTGGAGGGGGACTGGGGTTCTAGGCTTTGGTGGGTTTGACACCCATTAATTACAATCAAGCCAAACGAGGTTCCAAAAATGGGAGACTCTTCTTCTAGTGCAGCTTCCGTCCCAATCAGTCAACAAGTAATCAGACTCACCCGGGGCCAGGTGTCTTTTGTTTTTCTGTGTTTAGAGAATCAGAGGATCTTCCCTTTGTCCGAATTCCACGAATTCGCTCAGTGCGATTCTTTGGCAACTTCGGTGCTCGACTTTTCAAGCAGCGTTTTTAGCAACACCTTGGAAAGCCTCCAGATTCCAGGAGGTTTCTGGTTTTCGAAGGCTTTCGAGGGCTCTCGGGTTTGGGAAGGTGCCGGGGAGCAATTGCCCAATAGGGTTGCAGGGGTGATCCACTGGGCTTTGCTCCCTGTTTTCCAAACTGCTGGGACCCCCTAAAATCTGTAGAACCGCGGCTTTCCTTGCAAAAGCAGGCACACAGCATAAAGCTCCAAAGGAGAAACGATCCCCAGATCCATGTTGCAGCTTGACCTCTATAATACAAAAACAAATCTGCCGTGTCAGCCGTGTGTGTGTGTGTCATACTAGCTGCGCAACAAAAATGCAGTAGCTGCGTCCGGCATCTTCACCTGAATTTATGTACCTTCGTGGCGCGGGAAGTTCAGGCGCAAGCGTCGCTGCGGTTTGAATTGGTGGGAACTGGGGATTTGAACTCATGGATTTGTAGACTGTACATGGGAAACTCCCCCCTAACCTCCAAACCGATCCAAACCAGCAATTAGCGGGAAGCTGATTGGGTTGCGGGCGCGCGCGCGGCGCGCACACCCACACACAGACACACAGACAGACACAGAGACAGACACCGAGACAGACACAGACACAGGCACAGGCACAGGCAAACACGCACAAACAAACAAACAAACACAGACACACAGACACACACACACACAGACACGCACACCCACACAGACAGCAACACACACACACACACTCTCCTGGGTGGTTCTCAAACTGCTAAACCAGCCACAAAGATCAGAACAAGATAAGGGTGTGCCTTTTTTAGGGTCCCCCCCCAGCAAGATGGTGGTGACCCCGGTTGGGTCTCCTTCTTAAACCACGAAAGGAGTGCCGAGGCTCACAAAACGACGAGCCACCCATCGACCCGAGGCAGTGCCTGGCTTTCGCGCTGCTGGCGGGGCTGCCGATCCGCGCCGGGCTCTACGCTTCCTTTGCGCCATTGGTGCTCTACAGCCTTCTAGGCACCGGGGGGGGGATTTCCACGGGGTGCAGGGGGATTTCCAAAGCGATAAAGTGTCATAGGGATGGGAATCCCACGAAACGACACCACGCAACGCGTTGTTTTGCTTGCCATGGCTGAGGCGGGTGCCGGATGAAAATGAGGTGGGTGCACGCCCATTAACAAGGGAATCGATACGCCGCGTGATTGATAGTATTGTGTCACATATCACATACTTAATAGACATGACATGTTTGGAAGTATGCGGGGGCTGCTTCCCCTTAAGCGGTACAGCGAGTAAGCTGATATGTCCATGATTGATTTGTTCTCTTGCTGCCGTAGTTAAACTTGAGACGGCTTGCATGATGACACCAAAGCGAGCTGCACTTGAGGGCTCGATTCGCGATAGAGCGGATTCGCAGCATGTGCTGAAACTTTGGATCATGAGTTTCTGAGAGCCTGGCTGGCGTATGCCTTCAGGCGATCCTGCTACAAATTGTTGGTCGTGGTGCGTTGTGTTTTGACCTCGGACAGCCGCGTGACTGCTCCGAGTGCAATGCTAGTTGACGTCTAAAGATGAGTCTGGTGGGGAGACAGAGAGAGGGCTGTGTCACAAAGAGGACAGCTTCCCATTCAGCAGTGCAGTGACCAAGCTGATGTGTCCATGAATGAGTTTTGCATACTTACTGCCAGCATTGAACATGAGAAGGCTTGCATGATGACACCAAAGCGAGCTGCACTTGAGGGCTCGATTCGCGATAGAGCGGATTTGCAGCATGTGCTGAAACTTTGGATCATGAGTTTCTGAGAGCCTGACTGGAGTATGGCAGCCACGTGACTGCTGCGACGGCCAGTACAGTTAAAGATGAGTCGGGTGGCGAGAGACGGAGAGAAAGCGCTGTGTCACCAAAGAGGGCCGGTGCAAGCACTGTTCTGATATGCCCATGTTTGATTTGTTTGCTTGCTGCTGTAGTTGAACATGAGAAGGTTTGCATGATGACACCAAAGCGAGCTGCACTTGAGGGCTCGATTCGCGATAGAGCGGATTCGCAGCATGTGCTGAAACTTTGGATCATGAGTTTCTGAGAGCCTGACTGGCGTATGGCAGCCCACGTGACTGCTGCGACGGCCATTACAGTTGATGTCTAAAGTTGAGTCGGGTGGCGAGAGACGTAGAGTTGATTTGTTTGCTTGCTGCCGTCGTTGAACATGAGAAGGCTTGCATGATGACACCAAAGCGAGCTGCACTTGAGGGCTCGATTCGCGATAGAGCGGATTCGCAGCATGTGCTGAAACTTTGGATCATGAGTTTCTGAGAGCCTGACTGGCGTATGGCAGCCCACGTGACTGCTGCGACGGCCATTACAGTTGACGACAAGAGATGAGTCGGGTGGCGAGAGACGGAGAGAAAGGGCTGTGTCACCAAAGAGGACCGGTGCAGTGATTGGCCTGATATGTTCGTGTTTGATGTGTTTGCTTGCTGCCGTCGTTGAACATGAGAAGGCTTGCATGATGACACCAAAGCGAGCTGCACTTGAGCGCTCGATTTGCGATAGAGCGGATTCGCAGCATGTGCTGAAACTTTGGATCATGAGTTTCTGAGAGCCTGACTGGAGTATGGCAGCCACGTGACTGCTCCGAGTGCAATGCTGTTTGATGTCTGAAGATGAGTCGGGTGGGGAGACAGAGAGAGGGCTGTGTCACAGAGAGGACAGCTTCCCATTTAGCATTGCAGTGACGAAGCTGATGTGTCCATGAATGAGTTTTGCATACTTACTGCCAGCATTGAACATGAGAAGGCTTGCATGATGACACCAAAGCGAGCTGCACTTGAGGGCTCGATTCGCGATAGAGCGGATTCGCAGCATGTGCTGAAACTTTGGATCATGAGTTTCTGAGAGCCTGACTGGCGTATGGCAGCCACGTGACTGCTGCGACGGCCAGTACAGTTAAAGATGAGTCGGGTGGCGAGAGACGGAGAGAAAGCGCTGTGTCACCAAAGAGGGCCGGTGCAAGCACTGTTCTGATATGCCCATGTTTGATTTGTTTGCTTGCTGCTGTAGTTGAACATGAGAAGGTTTGCATGATGACACCAAAGCGAGCTGCACTTGAGGGCTCGATTCGCGATAGAGCGGATTCGCAGCATGTGCTGAAACTTTGGATCATGAGTTTCTGAGAGCCTGGCTGGGGTATTCAGTCGATTGTGCTACACATTTCCGAACTGCAGGTGTCCATTTTTTGCTGTTGCCATCTTCGGATGAGAAGATTTGGACCTTTGCACATCTTGTTGCCACACATCGGGCTTATCTTTCAAGCATTCACCTGCGGTCACGTTTCACGCTGTCGAGCGGCTTATGTAGTTTGGTTAGATTTGTATTTGGTGTTAATATTTTTGCATATGGACTATACGTAGCCAATGTAACTATACCTATAAGTGCACGCTTGACGTTCGCGCTTCAAACAGGGTGGAAGATGGCAGGGATATGCCCAGCCAAATAAGAGGCCATAGGATTGGGCGCGACTTCCGCTGATGGTTTGTCCTCCTTACTGCACCATGTTTGTGCGTGTGTGCTGTGCCAAGAACAGAAGTCTTGTGGTTGAGTTTGCCTCAATCGAGCTTGGGGAATTGCCGGAGCGTTCGGAAATCAAGCATGGAACCCGAAGGGTCCAAAGTTTCATTGGTGCATTGGTCTATCGGTCCATTGGTCCATTCATTGGTCCGTTGGTTCGTTGGTCCTTTGGTCCACGACCTGAGGAGGTCACTTGGTCCATGGTCCATGGCCTCGCGCGAATCGCAGGCACGCTGCGTCAGCTCCAGGTGGGACCCACAGCGCTGATGAGCTTACTCACGGGCCAAGCTTTGGATGGGGTGCTCCTGGCACCTCGGCTAGTGGCACCCGGGGACATGAGGAAAACTCACTCCATTCTCTCCCCCAAAATTTCCTGCAAAGAAAACAGGACACACTCATTTTCAATTGTCCCATGTCCTCTTGGGGAAACCCTTAAACATGGAATTGGGGGAGGGGTGACCCTTTTGTTGGGAAAACTTGAAAGATAGAGTTGAGGGACCCTCCACCCCCCTCCCTTGAAGGTGGGGATATGTTAGACAGCCAGACCCGTATCCTCCCTTTGCTGGGTTGTGCAAAGTCAATCTTGAAGTCCTTTTGCTGGATGTTGCTTCACTTGTTGTGGTGGTGCCAAGCCCCGTGGATTGCGGATTGGGAGGGAACCCACTGTGAAGCCAAACGGACAGCCAAGCGGATGATATCTAAGTGGTTGGAACCTATGGGGTCGGAAATCCCGAGGCAACCAAATCCCTTTCGGCTGGAAATGGCACCAACCCCAAAGTTCCACTGGGAAATCGTTGGCGAGGTCCGTGTTTTGAGACGAAAGTATCATCCTTGTTGGTGAATTGGCTTTAAATGACAACCAAGGGGATCCAAGGGAAATCACGGGCCAATCTGGAGGAGCGGGGGGTTGCGGCTTGTCTATTCCTGAGTTAAATATAGGGAACTTTGAACATGTGTTGTTCTGTTGTGCTCCCTTCAAGCCAAACGCAAAAATAGGTCGAGTACCCTCAAACAAGACACACCTAAACTGGCGGGGGGATCTGGTAATTATAGTGAGTTTCTGATTGGGGGAGTCATGCGGGCCCCTTTCCGCCCGAAGAAGCACGATATTGCGTTTGTACAACTGACCAAGGGGGTTGCCTGGAAAAGGGTGACAGTGGCCTACGCACCGAGCTTTCATCTTGCCAAACTAGCTACACCGGGGCATGGCTTTGAAGCTGAGACTTGGAATTTTGTTGGTTTCTTTGCTATGGCGAGGTCTTCTTTGCTTTGGTTGGTGAAATGTTGCTCACTGCGAGAGGTCAAACATAGTCGGGCAAAAATAGTCGGGCCCCAAAAGGGGCCCTTCGGCATGAAAGGCACCGCTGTTGAAGCGGTTGGGACCCGAAGAGGTCGACAGGTTGTCACTCCGAAGAGTCCGTGCGCTTGTTGTGTATCCCAGCACCCTTTTGCTTGGGTCACCGAGCATGGTCACGGACCCTCTTCAAAAAGCTCTAAACAGGCAACGTAAGGGTCCACGCTAGGGGAACTTGTGACTACGGCCCACACAAAGAAATTTGACCACGGTGCATACGGGACACCGGGGTGCGCTACGTTCCAACTCAGGAAACTGAGAGTGCACGCATGGCCGGCGCTGCCACGCTGGCATTGCTGGTCGGCTTGGTTAGCACCCCGACGCTTGGGTTGGGCACTTTGGGCGACTGCCCGCGGGGTGTGTGGCACCCGAGGTGGACAAAATCGGTCAGGGCCATGCTCACGGCACCTCTTTTTGTTTGGCGCCAATTGCCAATTCAGCCCCAAGGTCTGTACAGCTTTGGTTGTTCGATAGTTCGATAAATGCAACTTCCCATCCACCCGGCAAAACGTGACGCTTTATCGGGGGCAGACGATACCCAACATGGAGCCAGGTTTTTTAATTTGGGTTCCCCTTTGACGAATCCAAAGAAGGGTTCGCGTGATATTTATCAAGATTGCCGGCAGTGTCGAGGATCTTTGTTTGTGATGGCATTTGTTGACCTTACCCGGCTGGTGTTCAGACATTAGCAATCGAGCGACGGATGGCTCTTCTAGTTGCCACAAACCAACGAGCAGATGCCACATTAAAGTTTTGCAAGCAACAGCTAACTTAGACTGTTGGTCAATGACGGAGCTTCTAACTGTCAAACTCTTTGCTCCGGCAAACGGACAAGCCCGTTTCTATCATTATTTGTGTGTGTGCTATTCAGCTCATATTGCAGTGCCGGGTCGGACTATTTTGAAGAAGCTGTGCTGAAGAGATGATCGCAATCTTTAAAATGCAGGCATCATACAGTCGGGTTTTGGGCGCACAAGTTTGTGGCTCTGAAGAAGCTGCGGGCTCGCCGAAGCTGCGCAGATGTGTTCAGAGTGTGTTCACCCGTATACGTTTGTTGTGCTGCTTTCCAGAAGGGGATGAGCTCGCACAAAGCACGGGAGAAACCGTGGCTCAGCACGCACAGCTTACCTGGAATACTGGTTCCCATCAATTTTGCAAGCCTGAATTGTTCGGCAGGGGAGCTACACAATCCAGAATGCAGCTAGTTGGCTTTCCACGCTACCCGCGTGTGTGATGTTTATTGCCTTCTCCAGACCCTCCTATTGGCAAGCCCTATCTATGTATTTGCTTGCCAATACAGAGGATGATAACATAGTTTGGTATATCAATCTATTGCTTGGGGGGTTGGCGGCTTGGGTCTGGGGAATATGGTGGGTATGAGCCAAGTGAGCGATCTCCCAATAGCGACATCTTGGCTTGGAATCCCAAGTTCAATCAAGAGCAACTTAAATGCGTGTTGTTTGGGAAGAGGAAATGCACAACATTCACTATCAGCAAACAAACGCTTTCGTTTGTATTTGTTTCTATTCGCCAAAATGGGTGTCAACCCACCAAAAAGACGTGGTGCCCACTCGTTTGAGTAATTGGGTAAGCAACTAGTATAATGACCCATTCGGATGCGTTTCTTTTGGTTTGTGTTGATTTTCCATTTAAGACTAAACAAAGGGAGAAGCCAAACGCCCAAGAGCCCGTATGTGTTTGGTCGAATTGCCCTGAGGAGTTGCCGACCAGCTCGCATGAATGTCAGCTTGTCCATGTGTAATGTCTAACGGGGAGGAACCCAGGATTAACGGCCCAGTTTAGAAAGGCCCCTGCATTTTCTGCTGGAACCAGCCTGCCACTAATCCAAATCCAGAGTTTAGATTTTACGGCGCCCCCTCCAAGCAAGGTCAATCCTAAGAATGTTCTTTACAAGGTCCACTGAACAACTGGGTCATGGTTGTGACATTTTCCCCTTCGGTTTTGGGCCAACCACTTTGCTAGCATGGCTGAATACACAAGCAGGGTGATGGGTAAAGGGAACATACTAGAAACCTGTTGGTTTCTCAAGTGGGCGGGTATGTTTTCTTTATGGATTTCTGGAAAAGCAGGTCATTGGGAGTTTTGCCCCTATGTGCCGTTTGTGCACTGTATACCTTGATTAGAAGCCTTATCACCTCCAGATACCTCATGTACCCCTTACCCACCCCTGGTTAAGATTATGAGGAATTCCGGGGGGGCCCGACGAACGGGTGAGTCTGAGGGTGTCCAACCTGGGTTGATCCGTGTCCCCGACCGAATCTCTCGCATCCCCAGACCGAGGTCTGCTGCTGGGCGTTCTGCGCTTCGGCTTCGTGGTGGACTTTATGTCTCACTCCGTGATGAGCGCTTTCTGCACCGCCTCGGGCACCCTGGCGATTCTCCATCCGTGATTCGAGAATTCAGTGGGAGCTACTGCAAGAACTCTTGAGGTTCCTGCCTGGCCCTTGAAAAGTATGGAACGCGTGGGATGGTCAAATGGCCATGACGATCAGCTGCTTCTGGCAGCCGAAACTGCTGGGTTGATGGCCAGCCTAGACCCTCAGCAGGCGCAGCATCAGTAAAAGACTCTGGGCCTGAGTCGACCCTCCTTTTGCCGCCTTTGGTTTGTGCATGGGTTTCCAAGGCCTTTCGCGAATCTCGCCGCAAAGAGACATGCAAAGGAAAAACAAAGCCGACATGGTAAAACACGTGTTTCGTTTGCAGCCACACATTCGTGAAGAGAGCCGAGCCCAAAATTAGCCGACTTGCCGAGAGCTGCTCCCCTTTGCCTTTTTTTCTGGAGCCTCAAAACCCAATTTGGGGAGAATACCCTCAAACAAACCCATAGTTATCTTTTGGGCGGACAAACTGCTGTTCCATTTGGTAGGTGGTTTATCCCAACATGAAATAGTGTTTGTCCATTAATTTGCATCGTGAATTTCTCCTGGCGCAGTTACCCGTTTTGAAAGACAACCGTCCTTTGGTGAAGGCCAGGCCCTGTGACACCATGAAATTCCCGGCTCCAATAGGTTGCAGCGTGCTTGATGAGACGGGGGGCTTTGACGCCGCCTTTGGGTAGTGGTTCAAGTAAAACCAAGAGACGCCAGAGGGCCAAATGCCTTGACCCATATTTTTAGATAGTCATGACCCATTTTGCCTTGAGAACGAAGGGGCACCCGAGATCACGGAGGTGAGTTCTGACCACTTCCTGGGAAGATCCGGCTGTGTCATGACCATCTGTTCCCTTCTTAGGAGGCAATCCCAGAAAAACAAAAAGAGCATGTCTTGGACTTTGAGACATGTGTAAGGCAAACTGGTAAACCTCTAAATTAGACCAGTGACCTTGAAAATGTTGGGGTCAAAGACGTTGAACACTGGTAGCGGTCATGAGAGCAAACAAATCATCGAGCTTTTAGTTTGGGTGCCCTCTGTTGAGGGTACTTTGTTTTGGGTGTTCAGGTTTGTTGCTCAAAGGAAAACGCGCAAAGACCACCACTTGGGAGTTCAGCCAAGTTAAGAAGTTGGTTCCTCGGAACATGATCCACGAGGTCCCGGCTAACTGGAGTTTGTGTGTGAGTCTCCGGTGGCCGACCACTCAGGATTTCTTGGACCCGCGGTGATTGCACTCCAAAAGGAGCGCGCAACATTCGACATCAGGTCGCACAAGGTCCGGCAGTCCGTTTTTGTTCACCCAACTATTGGGTACAATGAAATCGGTGCCGCCCCTGGAAAAGTGATCAAAGATCTCTCTGCCAAGATGTTCTCTTGAAAGCAAAAGGACCAGTGAGCATCAACCACGTTGGCACAAAAAAGGTTATTTGCCACAACCATGCCTTATTTTTTGCCAACCCCCTACCCGCCCTCCCCTTTGTGTTTCCGGCCTTTGAGGCATCATCATTGCCACCTCGCAGTTGAAGCACGTGCTGGGCGTGGCAACTCGACTGGTTCCGCTGGGGCAGGGGAGCGAATAGATAAATGCAGCGATAGGCTGCAACGCAGGTCCAGGAGGTGTGCTGATTGACTCTACTTCCTCAAGAGTTTTGGGGCTCTCTGTGAGTAGTGAATGCTAGTGTATGTTAGTATGGTGATAAGTGTGCCTCTCCTGCTCGGAGCCGGGAACCGCGTGGAACCCTGGAACCCTGTGTTGCTGTTAGGTTAATTGTTTGATTCAACATGTCCCAACTTTGGATGCTGGGTATGGCTAGTTCAAGCAATAGCTCCGAGCATGAAAGAAGCGATTGGCTGGCTTTCTGGCCCTGGTTCTTTAGTTCAGGGTGGCCACGGTTAGGTTCGGTTCGGTTCGGTTTCTGAAACCTTTTGAAAACCTTTCTCCGGTTAGTGGCGGTTACTCATAACCTTCCAAAACCTGCCGGTTTGCACGGTTAATGCAGAAAAGTAAGATAAGGCTCTAGGTAACTCAGTCTGCTTTCGCCCACACTTCGCCAACTTCCACATCTCTGGCATCGCCATCCATCTGACATCGCCATCCCACACACCACACACACACACACAACCACACAAACAAACAAACAAACAAACAAACAAACAAACAAACAAACAAACAAACAAAAACAAACAAAAACAAACAAAAACAAACAAAAACAAACAAACAAACAAACAAACAAACAAACAAACAAACAAACAAACAAACAAACAAACAAACAAACAAACAAACAAACAAACAAACAAACAAACAAACAAACAAACAAACAAACAAATGAACCATGCCACTGACTGATGCTGAGCATGTTGTTCCGCGCACGTGGCCTTGGGAAGCATCTTCGCAGTCAAAGCCCAAAAGCGCAAAAAAAAAACAAGTGACTGACCGCTCATGGGTCACTTCTTTTGCTTGCCAAATTTCAGCGGTGTTTTGTGTGTTGCGAGCACTGCGGAATTAAAAATCAGAACCAGAAGCGGCCAATAATGCGGGTTTGTTGCTTTGACGCGTGCAGCAAAGGGGCCTCAGCTGCAGTGGCCTGCTAAGCGTGCCAAAGGTTCTGGCAATCAGGCTGGTGGGGCGTTGGGGAACGGCAGGGCAGGCCCAGGGCAAGGCGACAAGGCGTCGGGAGAGCAAGACAGTGACAGCGGGCAACTCAGTTTTCCTCCCGTTCGGCCCGCAAGAAACTGTTCCAATCCAAGCCGGGCTGCGCAAAAAAACCAACCCACTGACCGTCAGTAGTTGTTTTTTTCACGCTGCTGGCGCAGCCAGGCTGCAACAGGGTGCTCGGGCAATCCTGCGGGAGCAGGGGGAGTTGGTGAGACAGGTTGATGCTCGGACATGTAAGTAGTCCCGCAGTTCAGGCAGAGTTTGCGGGCTCAAATCCCGTTGAACGGGATTCCGTGGCGGTGCTGTTGGCGATGCTGTCTGCGCCAAAGCCGAGCAGCCCAAAAAAGCAAGTCACTGACCGCTCGTGGGCCGTTTTTTTGTCTTGCCAGATTTCAGCGGTGTTTCGTGCTTTGCGAGCACTGCGGAATTAAAAATCAGAACCAGAAGCGGCCAATAATGCGGGTTTGTTGCCTTGACGCGTGCAGCAAAGGGGCCTCAGCTGCAGTGGCCTGCTAAGCGTGCCAAAGGTTCTGGCAATCAGGCTGGTGGGGCGTTGGGGAACGGCAGGGCAGGCCCAGGGCAAGGCGACAAGGCGCCGGGAGAGCAAGACAGTGACAGCGGGCAACTCAGTTTTCCTCCGTTCGGCCCGCAAGAAACTGTTCCAATCCAAGCCGGGCTGCGCAAAAAAACCAACCCACTGACCGTCAGTAGTTGTTTTTTTTCACGCTGCTGGCGCAGCCAGGCTGCAACAGGGTGCTCGGGCAATCCTGCGGGAGCAGGGGGAGTTGGTGAGACAGGTTGATGCTCGGACATGTAACTAGTCCCGCAGTTCAGGCAGAGTTTGCGGGCTCAAATCCCGTTGAACGGGATTCCGTGGCGGTGCTGTTGGCGATGCTGTCTGCGCCAAAGCCGAGCAGCCCAAAAAAGCAAGTCACTGACCGCTCGTGGGCCGTTTTTTTTCTTGCCAGATTTCAGCGGTGTTTCGTGCTTTGCGAGCACTGCGGAATTAAAAATCAGAACCAGAAGCGGCCAATAATGCGGGTTTGTTGCCTTGACGCGTGCAGCAAAGGGGCCTCAGCTGCAGTGGCCTGCTAAGCGTGCCAAAAGTTCTGGCAATCAGGCTGGTGGGGCGTTGGGGAACGGCAGGGCAGGCCCAGGGCAAGACGACAAAGCGTCGGGAGAGCAAGACAGTGACAGCGGGCAACTCAGTTTTCCTCCCGTTCGGCCCGCGAGAAACTGTTCCAATCCAAGCCGGGCTGCGCAAAAAAGAAACAACAACCCACTGACCGTCAGTAAGTTGTTGTTGTTTTCGCGCTTCTGGCGCAGCCAGGCTGCAACAGGGTGCTCGGGCAATGCTGGGAGCAGGGGGAGTTGGTGAGACAGGTTGATGCTCGGACGTGTACCTATTCCGACAGTTTAGTCAAAGTTTAAGCGTTCAAATCCACCTGCTGCCGCTTTGGAACGGGATCCCGTGGCGGTGCTGTTGGCGACGCTGTCTGCGCCAAAGCCGAGCAGTCCAAAAAACAAGTCACTGACCGCTCGTGGGCCGTTTTTTTTGCTTGCCAAATTTCAGCAGTGCTTCTTTTGTCGCGAGCACTGCGGAAACAAAAATCAGAACCAGAAGCGGCCAATAATGCGGGTTTGTTGTTTTGACGCTTGCTGCCCCTGCAAACCTGGGGACGGTTCGGTTTCTGTTCGGTTCGGTTCGTTCGGTTTGTGGCTTGTCTCCATTTTCTTGCGGTTTTGAAAGCCGGTTCGGTTAACCGGTTTCCGGTTCGGTTTTCAACCTTCCTGTTAGTTGGCGTGTTCTGCCTTTGCATGCTAAGTCCATGTATCGGCACAAGTACTGGTGGCAGACGGCTGCTGATCTGGTGAAGAAGACCCCGGAGACGGATGCTGCTACGGCTGCTTGGCGACCTAAATTGGGCCGCACTGCCTATAGTTGTGCACGTGGAAACACCCGCGTACAAATTACAAGGTGCAACTAAACTAAACTCTGATAAATGGATGTGATTCACCGGGTTTCCGCTTATATAGGCCCTTGCTTGTAATATTTAGGGCATCCACCATGCCGCGGTGTGGTTTCAAGCTTGGCAACATTGTTAGGAGCGTCTAAAAGAGAAGCAGCAGTTGAAACGATAGAGCTTAACGAAGGCACGCCCGCGAGAAGTATGATGTAAGTGCCAAATAGGGGAATAATTCACATTTCTGGTTTGTTTCCTTTCGGGAAAATTCACAATGGGGGGCTATTGAGCACAGTAAGTTTCTCGGTCACAGCAAACTGGGACACGATGTGTGAAAACCTGCTTACTTGGGGCCAGAAAGTTCGTCCTTCCGTAAGCCCCGACGTCCTCTTTCGCCATGAAGCAGCAAGGAGCCCTTTTGTTTGCTGGTTTCTGTTTCGCGTTTGTATTACTTTGATATGATGTGTCAGGCGGTAAGTTACTGACATCCAGCTTCCCACAGCTCCGAGGAAGCAATAGGGCCCAATAAGTTTAAGGGACCACTTGCCCAAAGCCAGGCTTTTGACCGTTTGGTTCTCCCTTGCGAAAAGGTGAACCGTTTATTTCCATCCTTTGGGCAAGTGAACACAGGACCGACGAAGTTGACCGGACCCGCACATCCAGTATGGAGAGAGAACAGCTTCCTTTTGCATGCACATCTGAGCCAAAGATCTGGGCAAATTACGACTTTAACAAAGTTGAATCAAGGAATCCTGCAATGGACCACCTTCATGTTGGTGAGCCAAAGCGCACTAATTGGGGAGGTGCCCTGCTTTGAGACAATCCCAGATTGACCAGGCTCCATTTTCCTTGAACAGCAACAAGGAAGAACTAAAGGCCGCTTAAGTCCTTTTCCTACATTTCGGGTCACTGGTTGCAAATCGCTGGAGACTTTGGGGCGCCACGCACTCCTGGGGGGGGGTGGCTGCTGAGTTGGCAAATCCGCAACCCTCTTGAAAGCCGCGCGCAGCGTAGGCGGTGCTGGGCATCGCTCTGCTGGCGATGCTCACTTTCTTCAAGGCGACTGGTCAGATTGGCGGGATCAGTCTGCCTATTTCATGGCGGACTTTTTGATTTGGGGGTGAGGCAAGCTCGTGATGCAGGCCTTTATCCAAGGAGGGTTAAATGAGGTGGGGACAGAGACCCCCGGACTATTTGCAGAGTGTTTTTTGCAATCACGCGTTTTCCAGGACATGACTTCCTCTCACTGCGGTGAGATCGATCATGTTGGACTCTGTTGGCATACACGGCTCTGGCCATTTTTTGTTCTCAGCAATTCGGCAGGGGGGTTGAAGCAATTTTGCTTGGGATCACTTCTTCCTGCAGAATATAGTAGTTTGCCCAGAGTCTTTTGGCGTTGCCCGCCAATCCAACAGAATGACCTGGGTACCCCAGACCACAAAAAGGCTTCCTTCTCATTTCAAATGGGCTTCAATTTGGCTGGGTTTCTGGTTGGGGATTCCTGGTGTTTGGTTTCATCGTGTTTTCCTTTGAGGGCTTTCTGGCTCGCCGCCTCGAAGTCGAAGTCCAGACCGAGGCCTGGAAGCAAGCCGGAAGCCCAGAGAAGCGCTCCAAGCACATCATCTGGCGGCGCCTCGTCGACCCAGCGCTACGATACGAGGGGCGCCCACAGGGGCCTAGAGCATTGTGACGGGGTTTTGTTGTTGTTGTTGTTTTGATTCTCTCTTTTTTTTTGAGGGCCTCCCTTGTTCATTGGTGGGAGGGCCCCGTTTGTGTCTGGGATACCCGTTGAATGGATGGTTTGGAAAGGCCGGCACACGGAAACCTTGTACCTGAAGCAGTAGAGCCAATTCTGGGATCAAACAAAGAGCAGGCGTATGGTCCTAGGCATTCCTATGGGAACCCTTAAGGAACCCCAAAAACATTGTTGGCCTCGTTTGTTTCTTCAACATAATCGCACAACTGTTCAACTCGATCGGCTTGTCTCCATTTCGTGCCTGCAGTTCGTGCCTCTTTGTGTTCTGAGTGTCTCTCCGTATGTTGATGTGTCTCTTTTTGTCTCTCTTTGTATCTCTCAGTTTATCTCTGTGTTGTGTTGTTCCTCTATCGCTCTCTCTCTCTCTCTCTGTCTCGTTCTGTTTCCCTCTTTTCCTCTGTGTTTGCCGGCGTCCTGCGCGTCTCTCTGCGTGTCTCTCTGCGTGTCTCTCTGCGTGTCTCTGTGTCTTTCTTTGTCCTTCCATGCTCTCCGACGTCTCTCCCTGTCTCTCAGTGTGTCTTTTGTTGTTTTTGTTTTTCTCTCTCTCTCTCTCTCTCTCTCTCTGTTCTCTCTCTCTTTATCTCGTTATTTATTTGTGTTTGTCTCTCCGTGTGTCTCTCGGTTTCTTTCTGTGCTTATATGTGTTGCTCTTTCTCACTCTCCCTCTCTCTTGCTCTGTTTGTTTTTGCTTCTCTCCCTCTTAATGTATTTGTGTGTCTCTTCTCTATTTGTCTCTCTGTGCGTCTCTCAGTTTCGGTGTGTGTTCTCTTCGTCTCTTTGCCTCTCCTTGCTTCTCTCCCTCTCTGTCTCTTCCCGTCTCTCTCTCTCTCTCTATCTCTGTCTCTTTTTCTCTGCCTTTCTCTCTCTCTATCCCTCGCTTCTCTCTCGCTGGACTCTCGCTCGTTCTCTGTGTCTTCGGTATCTTTATGCTTCTTTTCCCGTCTCGGTCTGTGTGTGTGTGTGTCTTTGTCTTTTTTCGTGTCTTTCTGAGTGTCTCCGCGCCTCTGTCTCTCTCGCTCTCTCTCTCTCTCTCTGTCTCTCTTTTTCTTTGTCCCTGGCTCGTTGTGTTCCTCTGTGTTCCTATTCATATCTCTCTGTCTCTCTCTCTCTCTGTTTTGCTTTCTCATCCTCCCTTTCTGTCTTCTGAGTCTCTGTGGTTCTCTCATTATTTCTTTCTCTCTTCGTGTCCGTGTCTTTCTGTGTCCTGTAAACTCCTTTCCAAACTGGGCGCTGATCCAGGCACGATTCCTGAAGCGCTTTGAGGCTTTCATTTTTGTTGCTCCACGGTGCACTTAAACCCAGGGGTTCCCCTCAAACCAACCACCCCAGGTTAAAGTCTACCTGCCAATCAAACAAATGGAACCTTGGTGAGAACCAGCCAGACTTTGCAGTTTGGGATTTCCTTCCTTTCCCTTTGCAGCAGTCCAACAGAGTTGTTCCTCAAAAAGTTGTGATGAACCAAATTGGTTGAAGTGAAGAAACCTGGTTGAACTTGTTTGACACACAAGGCATGGCATAGTTTCCTACACCTTCTTTGGCTTACATGGCTTGGCCAGCTTATGGCTGACCTTGCCACTGCCAAACTTGACTGCTTCACCTAGCACACACTGCTTCTTGCCCGGTTTGATACAGGTCAATAGTGGAAAAGCCTAAAGCGTTTGTCCATGAGGTGCTTCCCGAAGCACAAGGAGTCCTATGCATTTCGTGGCCTGAAGCTTTGCGCGGATCTGTCTTCCGTGCTGTGCGTGGTGATCGGCTGGGTCTGGGGCTACATCTACAGCTGCCTGGCCGCAAACCACCCACTCTTCAGGGAAGATTTGCCAGGTGGTTTGGGCTAGTGGATGCCTTCTTGGGTCCAAGTGCTAGTTTTCTTGTTCAGTTGGGCTCGACGAGATCCAAATATAGCAACCAAGTTCTGGGAACGGCATATTTTGACAGAGGCTCTTTCAGCTTGGCGCCTGCTGTGAGCTCATTTGGGGGGGGCATGATGAAAGTCTCCCACTGGGCGCCAAGTAAGTAACCAATGTTCGACGTGAGGACCTGGATTGTTTGCCCTAACCTCAGATTGGCTACCCAGATAGACTCCACAAATGTGTTTGTTTACCCTTGGGCCTTTTGTACCTGGATGTTCTTTGCCAAGTTAGTAAGCGGTTAGCCAATAATTGATTGTAACATTCATAACATGGTTTTCTTCGCTTCCCGGGACTAGGTGGGTTGTGATTAATTGGGTTCCAATTGCAATCGTTTATCAATTTTCCCGAGCACCCAAGGGGAACTGTGCGGAAACAGTGGTTAGACAAAGTCTGGTTGGGATGGATAAACCTATATGCATACTGGGGTAGACCACCTGCCAGCTGTTGCAGGATATTATCCATCAGTATTTCAGTGTGACACCGAGGACAGGCAGGAATCACATCTGTCAAGATCATCGAGGACAGCAAGAGCGACGGCTTTTCCTTCTTGGTACCGGCGCCTGGCCTCTGCACGTTGACCAAGCAATCGATTTTCTTGTGCTCCCTATGTTACGCCAGCCGCCTTTAAGCTTGGTGCTTGTTAGGGGGGAAGCCTACGGAGCCCTGTTGTTGTCGGCCAATACAGCATAGGCATCAGGTAATACGGGAAGGGGGGGGTCCAAGAACAGGTTTGGTTGGAAGAACAGGGTCCCCTCTGGCGGGGGTCTAAGCATTGTTTGCTTGAGACACTGGGATAGCCACAACATGTTGCACCCAGGTGAACATACATCACCGCGTGAACTTTCCGGGCCAAAGGTCCAACAGGTCGCGGGCTGCGCAACGCATCCGAGGTGCTGGACAGCACAGCGGGGGATCTCATCGTGCCCGCGGTGATCATCGCAGTGGTGGGCTTCCTGGAGACCATGGCCGTGGGGGGCAAGATGGCCAGCGGCTCGAAACGAATCCGAGCCACAGAACCCATACGACTGGCGAATTGGTTCCGATCGCGTGCCCCAAAGGATGTGTAGATTCCGGTATGCTGTCAGAATCAGTTAGCGCATGGACCTGGAAATTGTGGCCCAGCCGACCCAGTTGATGGGAAATCTCCGTTGATGTGCGCTAGCTGTGCCTACGGGTTATGGGTTGGGTATGACTGATTGTTCATTACTGTTTATACTGGTTCAGAGCCACAAGGTCTGTAGGTGTGTGACACTTCCATGCCGCAGAGGGCCTTGGAAGAATATGAAGGGGAACATGGGGCCCTGTCAGGACCTTTCATGTTCTTACTGGCTGTGGCTCTGAACAAGTAAGGGAAAAAATGAACAACTGACTCGAGTTTGGGCAGATTGCAACGAGCTCATGAATCCATCGCTAAAACAAGAGATGTGGTTGTTGTGTTTGTTTCGTTTGGGGGGGGAGGGACTGTATTTGAGGTGTGTGTTCAAAGATATCCCCTACAGACCCCTACGTCTAGAACCAGACTCAAGCAGAAATATGGCGCTTAATCCTCACTTAAAGCTTTCTTGCCCCTGCGCTCATATTTGCTCCTTGACCCTATTGTCCAGGTTCAGCTGGTAAATCGTTAGATCTTTAGTTAAGCCACACGAAGACTCCAAACAAAAATGATATCTTCTTCAGACCAGCCTCATGTTTTGTGTTCGAAAACCCACCCAAAAAACCAAGATGTTGAGGCCAACCTCCTGTTGTCATGTGTTTGTTTCTTCAAAATCGGTCCAGATCTCCGGGATGAGGTGAGAAGCGGTACAGCTACGATGCCAACCAAGAGCTTTTGGCGCTCGGCCTCGCCAATGTGACTGGGTGACAACTGGGACCCGCAAAAGGTTCCGCCGTTCCTTACCTTGCGGGTGCTCAGTGGGGAAGGACCCAGGGTGTTGGGAATGAACCCAGGGGTCCCCGTAAAGGACACCACAAGAGATGGTCTATAAGGGTCATTCCAATTCTCATTCCCTGCTGAGCACCAGGAAGATTTCCACCATTCCTTTTCTGACTCCTTGAGACACCCAACTTTTGATTGGTTTACGGGAAGGTACGGGGAGGCCACCTCTTTGGAGAGTACCCACTCCCCGAGTTCATGAACTTCAAGCTTGTTGGGAAGACCATGATTTGGTTATAAATAACAAGTTTGGACGTTTTTTGGCCAGGAAGTGAGTTCCAGTTTGTTGTTGTTTCTTGTGTTTTATCGTAAACCGGCAACATGTTGAGAGTACATCGGCAGACAAAACTTGTGTAAAACAGCTAAGTTTGGAATGCACGGCGATTGGGCAGGATTTCCTGAACCCAATTTTCAACGACGGCACAAAAAGGCACGAGATGGTTCTTCTCCATTTGGCAACGCCTTAAATCCCTGCAAAAAGGGATTCCTCCCCAAAGAGCGCTTGTTTGCGGTTTGCCCCGACGGGAAATTATATGGGTGTAGTCCTGTGTTGAGTAGTTAATCATAATTTTTCGGAGTCCAAATATAATACCAGCCATTTTAGGGGTCCCAAATTTGAAGACAGCCTCAGATTTGGGGATGGTTACACTGTTGTTGAAAATTGTTGTTTCGCTGCCCCCGTTAGTGGAAGCCACAGGTAAGGAGGCTAAATGATTTGTTCTTTTGTTAAGGGGAAAACTCCATCGGGGCATGGCAGATCCTTAATTGTCCTTTGAAAAGAATCCACCGTTTCTGGAAGGAAGAGTTCTTTCATTTCTCGGATGACCAATCTTTGATCTTCCCCATGTTCCAGTTTTCCATGTTTGGGCAACAAACATTTATCCAACCAACCCCTCGTCACATTTAGAGGGGGATCCGGGAACCCCCCCCCTTTTCAAGGAGACCAATCGTTCTGTGTGGGTTCCCCTTTCAAAAATCTAGCTCCCTTCACCCAGCGTGGAGAACATTTTATGGGGAATCAGACCACTTTTGGGAGGGCCCCCCAAAATAAAACCTGCACTTACATAATTTATCAAAAAGAAGCTGCGCCACTCAAAGAGATTGTAACCCAACATCTCTGGAGGCTGTTGGGAAGTAAACTGGTTGGTGGTTTTTGGGGCTCATTAGGTTGGCGGCGCCTTCATGGGTGCCTTCCCCATCACCGGGGGCTTCTCCCGGACCGCGGTGAACTCCATGTTCGGCGCCTCTTCGCAGCTGGCAGGCGGGCTTTTTTTGGTTGTTTGTGTTTTGCGCGGGTCCCAGGGGCCTCGCAAAAAAGGGGGGCATGGTTGAGGGAAATGTGTTTTCGTATTTGTGTGGGTGTTTCTGTTTGTTGTGTTTTTCTTCTGGACGCTTTCTGCAATACCTAGAGAATTGGCCTCAAAATGATAGGTGAGTAGTATGAAGGATGGCCCACATTGGTCCCTACCAAACCCAAGTAAGAACATGCCTTTTGACAAGATCAACTTGCAGAAGCATGTGAATTAGGAGGGGCCCTTGTCAGGCTGCTTTAAAGAGTTGACTCGAGGAGAACCTTTCCATTTTGACCAGGTGGCTTGACCTCCCTGCTGGTGCTGGTGGCGGTGTACACCATCATGCCGCATGGCTAGATAGGACGTTTTTATCCCTTTGCCCTTTGAACAATCACAGCTCATGCTTAGAACCAGACCTTTTGTGCCAGCAAGCAGCTTTTGTTGTGGCGGGTTCTTTGATTGTGCATGTTCTTAACCGGCAACATAGATAGCTAAATTGGTTGGAGACGGGCCAACGTGCGGGGTTGGGTTCTCCTTCATGCTGACGTTTAACCAGCAACACACGGGTGTTGTCAACAACATGGACCCTTTTTGGGATCTGGTGGGTCAGTGCATCGTCTGTACACGCGGAATTCGGATCGTCTGTACACGCGGGACCGGATCGTCTCTGCACGCGGGCCTTTTTTGCCCCGGATCGTTTGTACACGCAGTGCTTACTGCTATGCACAAGAAGGGACAGGGGCGTTGACAGCTGCATGTTGCCTTGCCTTTCTGTCGTATGAACATAGGAAATGTTGTGTTCCGTTGTCTCCTGTGCGGTTTACCTCTGTCAGCCGCTCTCAATTTTGCTCGGGGTAAAGAATGTGGTGTATATGTTCTTGCATTAAAGGTTTGACAAGTCTCTTGCACTTCGTGTGTAAATCACGTCAGCGGGTGCGCTTACTAGGTGGCAGGCATCTGTGCAGCGTGGCTACTAGGTGGTAGGCGTGGATGCAGTGCGGCGGGCGGTGCCCCACCCCACCCCACCCCACCCCAACCCCCCCACCCCCGCCCACCCCTCCCCAAGACCCCACCCCGTCTGTTGCGCGCGAGCGGGTGTGCGCTAGGTAGCAGGCATGCACGCAGTGCTGGGCGGGTGCACGTGAGCGGGTGCGCTTTTTAGGTGGGAGGCGTGAATGCAGTGCTGCGCGAGCGCGCGTGAGCAGGTGCCCCACCCCGGACCCAACCCCCACCCCCGCCACCCCCACCCCACCCCCCCTCCCCAATACCCCACCCCATCTGTTACGCGTGAGCGGGTGCGCTTGCTAGGTGAGGCATATGCGCAGTGGCGGGCGTGTGTGAGCGGGTGTGCCCCACCCCACCCCAACCTCCCCAAAGCCTGACCCCAGCCCAGCCCACCCTGAGCAGGCGCTCATTAAGGCGGCAGGCATGTGTTGCACGTGAGTGGGCGTGCTTATCAGGTGGCAGGCATGCGTGCAGCGCTGGGCGGGCGCGCGTGAGCGGGTGTGCTTATTAGGTGGTAAGCGTGGATGCAGCGCTAGGCGGACGCGCGTGAGCGGGTGTGCCCCACCCCGCCCCGCCCCAGCCCCCACCCCCACCCCACCCTTCCCCAATACCGCACCCCATCTGTTGCACGTGAGCGGGTATGCTTATTAGGTGGCAGATGTGCTTACCATTCCCCCGCCTCCCCACCCACCCGCCACCCCTTCGGGCTACTCTTCCGCATGCGTGGAAACAGCGCTGAGCGGGTGCACTTGAGCGGGTGTGCTTACCATTCCCCCCTCCCCCCCACCACCCCCCACCCCCCCACCCTGCCAAAAGTGTGTGTGTGTGTACAGATGAGCCAGATGACAGAAACCTTGTGTGCGCAGATGATCCAGAGTGCATGGCGCAATAAGTGAGGAAAGCCTGTGTGTACAGATGATCCAGATTTGTGTGCGCAGATGATCCCCTGCCCGATCTGGTGCCGCCTTGTACCGCCTTGTAAAAAGGATACCAACAAGGGCGCCTGATTTTGACAAACCTTCAGGGTGCTTGTTTTGATCGTACCCTGCTTGGGTTGGTTTATAGGCGCCGAATTCGTCTCGAGGCCGGTGGTGGAGCTTCTGCCTTTGTCCGCTTTGGCCCCTTTGATCATCCACGGCGCCATCGGAGTCACCGACTTCAAGGGCCTGATCACCACCTTCCACGGCAACAAGCTACCCGGCATTGGCTTACGGCAAGCGCTAGCGGTAGCACCCTGCGACACCCGAGAACTGTTTGGGAAACATCGCTTGGGGGTTTGGACATGTGAAAAAGCAGTTCAATGCTGGTACAGAGCGGTGCAATCGTTCCCCTCTTCAAGCCACCCATTGCAAGTAAAAACGAGAGTGCGGGTTTGTGACAAGGAGAATCCGTTGGATCCTGTGGCACTTCAATAGAGGGGCGTCAAAGAAACGACCGCGTGTATCTTTGTGCTCAGGGTTGCCCGGAACCTCAAAACCTTTGAATCCTTTTCCAGGGCCATCGTTTTATTCTCGGTGAGCAACTCCACGCATGTTAGTGGAATTTGGACGTTGGTACAGTATGAGGATGGTGTTTTTAGAAGGGGATTTCTTCTTGCCAGTTGTTGAATGGTAACCTGTGGACATTGAGGCGCTCATGAGGATTGTGATTATTATTTTCTAGTTGGTGACTTGTATGTCTCGGAGCTCATGAGGGTCCTTTGGAAGGATGATTTCCTGTCTGAATTATTGGTCTTCATATGCTCTAAGAGCCTGAATCTCTAGAATGGGGTTGTGGGGTACTTAAAACCCGAACTGAGCCATGACCACAGGATCATAGTGTGTGTGTGTGTGCACTTATTCTCAATTTAGCCCTCAATCTAAAAATATTGGAAGACTAAATGTTTGTTGCTTCTTCTTATTATTTGTTTACAACGAACACACATTGGATGGTGCATGTGTCTTTTTCGGGCAGAGGCTGGACTTCCTGATCATGCTCTTCACCTTAGGGGTGTCGTTGGGCCTGACGGTCAAGGAAGGCCTCATCACCGGCGTCAGCCTCTCCATTCTGAAGCTCACCTACGAGGCGCCTTGCGCATCCACGCCAATGGTCTATAAAAACCGGGCGCGTTTGGTTAAAACATGGGGGGAAAGAACCCATTTGCTTGTGGCGTCCATTTTGTTGGGGAAATCAACAATGGGTGATGCTGCATTTTTAGCACAACTTTCGCAGCTAGCAGTTGGAATCCAACTTGTAGGGCACTCAACCTATATTCAGTCAACTCTTCTGTGGCTTGTTGATTCCTTTTCGGCTGTACACCGTCCTAGGCAGAGGCTGTCGAGGGGTGAACCCTCTCTCGCTAACATGCACTGCACCCGCAAGGACACCCGTGAGAGGAATGTTTTCGGCGCAACTTTTTAGGGCTCGACATCCCAATGCTTAGAGGGACAAACTCATTGGTGGGTGATCTTTCCCTGGACCCTAAACCACAACCACCCTCGAATAGCAGCTTCAATCCTTGAAGTGGGCTGAGTTCGCAGGTTGTGTAACAACTGTTCAATTCCTTTTGGTTAGGCGGCTTCCCCCCAGGCATACAAAGGGTACCCGGTTCTTATTTTTGGGGTGTTCGTGCGAGGCTTGCACCTCAGAAGGGGGGACCACTTAGACGGGAATATGTCGCCAGGAGATGCCAGGAGCTACAAAGATGTTTCTTGCAAAGGGGACCAAACGCCTTGTTGGGTTTGTTGGGCAAGGGCTCTGGGAGACGAGATCGTTTGTCACAGCGGTTGTGGGGAGCCCAACCAATTGTTTGCTTGACCTATTTGGTCAACGAGGATTACACTTATGCATCCAAGCAATTCATAGGTTCACACTTACTTGCTGCATTTTGCTTAAAGAAAAGAGGGCGTCAACATGACGGATTGCGAGAAGTCTTAAGCATGGTTTCTCAGGATGAGCCTAGCTTTCTTTGTGGGGCGTTACGTAAAGACCTGAATACGGCTTTGGGAAGGGCATGGGCGGCCCATAGGAGACGACTCCATTGGTCAACAGTCGTCGTAAAAGAAACCTTCGCGTTTGTGCAGTAGGATCTAGGTCGATGATTAAGGGCATGTAGCTATGATGAGGGCCTGAATCGGCTTCAAAGTACCCCAGCGCTTTTGAAGACTAGAGGCGAGAACCAGTTGATCAGTGGATCGGGCCTTTGATGTAGCAGCATTATCTACATTCCAGAGTTGATTCACCACCCTTTTTACTCATTTTTCTTTTCAACCCAGCCATTTACCTCTGGGTTTTGGGTGGAATCAGGAAGACTTTATCCATATTATCTGAGGGTGGCAACACATGGAGTCCGAACAATAGCCAGGGGGACCCGCCCGCAAACGGTAGGTGTGCGTTTGGTTTTGTTTTAAAACAACCTAACACATGGATGCCATCCAAACGTTTTGGTATTTTTTTAATGAGCCACGGACAACAGGACCAGATCAATGGGCTGGATAGTCGGTTGCTTGAGCGGATATCGTTTGGCATTCATTTGGCTGGGGAGCTCTGCGGCATGTTGAGTCTAAAGGGAAACTAGAAAGGATAATAAGCATGTTGATGTCGTCTTTGTCGAATTAATCTTCCCATATTAGCACTTTTTGTTGTTGGGGGTACCCTATGGGTTCCCTTCGTGCTGTAGTTTAAAAGGAAGCCGAACGGGACTCGCCTCCCATATCGGGGCTTCCAACTCCCATTTTGAGACAATGCCAAACCAGCAGCATACCCACATGCAATGTTTTCTCTGCAAATCTGCATGAAACCAAAAAAGCCATCATCTTTGGAGGACGGCTTATTTTAGGGGACACCGTTTCTGGGTTCGTTGCTTGCGTGATCTTGTCGGGAAGTATCATAGTTCACCCCTTTCGCTTGGGTCCACATATCCATGTCTATAGTGACATCTCCACATTGGGCTTGTCGTTTTTGAGGGCACCCTTGTTGGGGTTGGTTCAAGGGGAAGCATATAGGACAGCCAACCCAATTTAGGCTCCCCGATTTGACCGCCCTGAAAAAGTTGTTTCTGCTCAGGTGGCCTTGCCGAACCTGGCGGTGTGCGGGCAGGTGGAGGATGGAAGCTTCCGAGATGTTCGGTACTACCCAGATGCTTGGAAAGAGAGGGAGAGAGAGAGAGAGATGGAGAGATGGATAGATGGAGAGAGGGTGGCAGATGGACGGGAAAGGGAGAACATGGCCAACTCACTGGCTTAGCTTGGGTGACAACCGGCTACGTGGTGTGTGCTCTCCCCAGCAACATGGAAGCCGTGGAGGTCAGCTAAATGGCCGCTTGGTTCCGTGTTAGTGGCAGTGTAATCCTGGTTGATACGTTCTCGGTATGGTATGTCCTCCTAAGACCTAGGCTTACTTGTTAACAAACATACTTGCGGGCTAGAACCATGGTGTCGGTGTAGTCATCCAAGTATTCACAACCAACATTTTGTGAGGTGTCTTTTGAGGGTCCTTTCTGGGGTTGAGGACAACGGCCATTTGGAGGATTCCCATTTCGACGCATCCAACTATTTTGGCAGAACCGCAAGCTTCCGAACCCTGTGCCAATTGACCGCTTGGCTGTCATGGTGGGGTTCAAGTGTAAATGTTGTGTTCCAACCAATTATATAACCATGTTGGTAGGCAATTGGTAGTGAAATTTACAACCAGGCGGGGGCAGCCCGATACTTTTTCGGAGCCATAGTTAGGGGAAGATCTTCCTTCGTGGCCCTTACTGGTCACAAAGAACTGTCTCTTCGGCTGCAGTTGCTGCCTTGCTATGAAAATGAATTAGTATACAGTAGTATACAGGATGTACCATCGACTAGGCACTCTTTTACTTGTTGGTAGGGATGGTGATCAACCTATTTGTATGGAGTCTAGACAATCGCTGATAAGCATCCCTATCAAGGGAAGCATGTTGCAGCTGCGCTGATTTCCGCGTATTGACAGTCATGACCATGACCGTCACAAGGAGGTTGGACTATTACATGGGTGTGTTGTTTTGTGGGTTCGCCTTTTTTTGGGTTGCCCCGAAGGCTCACCTCATCGGGGGAAGTGGGGGAGCCTTTCCTCGTTACATACCCCCGCGCTTCTGTGCGTGTTGAGACCTTATTTAGACTTGCTTGCACAAGGGAACTCAACATCAGGTTTCTGTTCTTCGATTCTCTATATTTGCAGGCAGTCAAATGTGAACCAACCATCTCCGAAGCTTACCGAGGAAGGCCAATTCCCGGCCAACTGCGTGGTTGTCCGCATCCTTGGCTATGATTTGCACGCCCCCCACCCCAAAAATGGGCGATGGGAGTCGCGTTCCTTCTCGTTGTGTTGGAACAAAAAGGTGGTTGTTTGTGTTTGTCATTGCTGGTAAAGATTGGTTTTAATTTGAACGCTAAGAAAGAGCCAGAAAAGGTGGCCCTTGTTCAAACATGTGCTGAGCTCAGTTTACTGTTGGTTGTTTGCTTTTCCTGAGTTTGGGGGGTGGGACTGTTTTGTTGGAGGGGTTTCGCGCACATCAATTGTGTTTCTTACATACTATGCTTGCGTTGCAATACGTAGTCCAGGGCCATCAGCGTGGGTCTTTGTATCTCTCTATATCTCTCTTGAAACGGAATCAAGCGTTACAATGACCAGGTTGCTCATTTGGCTGTGTTTTTCGGAGGGTACACTTTCCGGGTTGGCTACCAAACAGAAAGCCAGACGGACACACAGGTATCAAGTTAAAAGCAAGTTTGGTCACTTTCGCTTGGATGTTTAAAGGGGAAGCCAACAGGAAGCCATAAAATGCGAAGTACTTGTTTTGATGGTGCAATTCCAGTTCGAGAGCTCAATACTTCTCTTGTGCTCAGCCAACCGACTAACAGGAATATATCCCCAGGTCGTAAACCACACGATTGGTGAAGAGTTTGAGTGAAGCCCCGGTCTGACAAACGTTCGCGAGGCATGGACGCCTCCCTGAGCTTTGCCAACAGCCGTCGGTTGCAGGCAGGGGACAGAACTTTCGGGGGATTTGTGCTCAGCGCAATTCACTTTTGAGGGGATTGATTTGGATTTCTGTCCAGCCGAATTGAGAGGGGCTTCACTGTTAATTGTTCACAGCCATTGGCACCTTCCCAGACCAACCCCCCCTCCCCAAAAGAAATGGCTGCGGCTCAAGATCAAACAGGCCACTTACCAGGGTTCCATTTGGTACCGGTTTTTTGAGCCACAGCCAAAGGAAGGAAGCTGGACACTTCGAAGTAGTTATGAGCTGGGCGCTTTTTTTTCGAGCTCCAGGAGTTCTGCCTACGCGCCATGTCGGTGGCCTCGAAGAAGGACCCCACTGTGACACACCTGCGCCTCGGAGATGCCACTGAGTGACCCCGGACCGTCCCCAAAGGTGACTTCCAGTGAATGGATCCCGAGAGTCATTCCCGACACGCTTGATTTGAGACCTATTCCAAAATCGATTAAAATCGACCTTGTGACGGTACAAATGCATTTGGTAGCGTGCCTTATATGGCGTCAGTGAATGTTGCCAGCTGGTTCAATTTGCTGTTTATTTCTTTGGGTGTGCCAATTGAGGAATTTGTTTGCAAGATGTAGTTTATCTTCTTGATTGCGATGTTTAGTTTCCTTTACGTTAAACCCAAGCCCCAAACCGTAGACCTTCCCTTTTTACCGGCAAAATGTGGTGTCTTTTTGCAGGAGGTCAGATTTGCCTGGCCAAGTAGAGGAATGCTCGCCCTGTTTGGATGGCCCTAAAATGATACAACTGTGGTTCATGAGGGACGTGTGAAGAATGAATCTCAACAGGGTTGCACAGCCTATTTTATGGGTTCCTGCCCAATCTTGGTGACTTATCTGAGTTGGACAAAATTGGTCAAAACAAGCAGACTTTGGTGCGGGTTCGTGAAGAAGTTAATACAAAGGAGGCTGGAAAACAAGGATGTCACCTCCCGTTTTGTTGGGTTGCGTACTGGAACTGGCATCAACCCCAAAGAGAGTCTCCCATATTCACTGTCATCTTTTGTAGCCAAGAGGATGACATTGAGCACACACACACACACACGCACACACACCAAAACAGGCGTGACCTACACAGCACCTATTTTGGTTGAGGACACAATGAAAACGGGGGTACCAGTTTTGGGGCTTGTTATGGGAAACCAACAGGGTTTTACCCCATTTGTGAGCTCCATCTCCACGTTTGTTGGAGCCCATTTATATATTTGTCTTGCTGGTTCTTGGGGAATCACCTTGCCGGTTTTGGGAGTGAACCTAGGTATTCCCCAACCACAGGGGATGGGGGGTCAGGACGGTGATTCCTTCATTCCCCTGAACAAAGGTTTGAGCCCAGCTCCTGGATTCCCGAGTCATTCCCTCATTTGGGTGGGTCTTTTTAGAGGCTCCAAAACGGATTTCGGTTTTCCTCTTGGTTTCCCTTTAAAACCACCCAAACAAGAGATTGGATTTCCAAGGGCGCCAACTCCAAAAACACGAGGCACAGCCACATCCCGCGCTGAGGATCCTGGACTGCAAGGGGGTGAACGGCAGCGACATGACCGGCGTGGAGGCGCTCGAGAAGCTCGCCGTCTCCCTGGAGAAGCGGACACGTGGTTCCCATGGCTTGGATGGGTGCGGGGCGAAGCGAAGGTCTTTGTTGCCAAGTTGGTGTGAATCTTCGCGTATAACCCACTTACAAGTCTTCCTAGGGCAAGTTGTTGGTCACCTAGCTAGAAATCCCAAGTCTCGCTAGGTTAAGCCTGTTATTAGTGAGGTATAGCTTAACGTTTGGGACTAAGGGGAGCTCTTGTACGCAGTCTTGCAGCAACTTTGCCAGGTTCTTGCGGTTGGATGTGGTTGGTTCACTTCCATTTTTTGGGGGAATCAGCCATACCAAAAGGACATGCAAGGACATGTAGGGAACCCAGAGTAGAACCCTGCTCCGATTGGAGCAATAGGGTTTCAGTGGGTCAAAAAGGCAGTGTTATAGGACAAGTGTACTGAGGACTGTCAGTTGGGAGGCTTGCATTTTGGCCTCCTCTTGAATGAGGATAAGAGGGGGTCCAGAGAAAAGGCTCTTTTTATCAGTGACCCATAAGTGGACAAACCACCAAGGTATTGGTTCGGATCTCATGGCTTACATGTATGATTCAGGGCTTGGCCCCTATACTTGGGGGGAATGTCCGCATTGTTTCCCGGGATCCTTCCTCGAGAAAAAGAACGGGAAGCCAACCCAAGACCCTCGTTTTCCCTCTCAGTGAATTCGTGGGACTGTGCAGGGGAGGCTTTCCTGTCAGTGAGCACGAATCATTTGGGTTCTAGGGTACCCTTTGCAGGTTGGTTTAGATTGAAGGGAACCGAAGGGAACACCATTTTGGAGGTCCCTCTATGTTGACACCTACCAATTTGCCTGCTTTCTTGAGTTGGCCAAACATTGGTTTGCTTGCTGGCACCTGTTTAGCTGCCCAGCTTTGTGGTATTTTGTGTTGTGTTTTTCCTGGTTTCCGTGTTTAAAATTTCCACGTAAAGTTTGTTTCCTTTTGGTGGGGTGGGTGATGTGTTGGGTTGTCTCAATTTGGGAACCTCAACAGTCTCTTTGTGGTTTGCCACCAAAGCCATCCAACAAAACATACTTGAACCAAACCCTTGGACCAGCGGTCAAGAGAGATGCATCCCCTTCCCACTTCGGCACTTCCAGTATAACTTTTGGTATCAGCGGGTTCACTGAAGATGGTGCCCGAAAACAATCGGTGCAAATGGCTCACATCTTCCTATCACTTGTAACCAGCGCCTTTGAGGCTTTGGTTCCCGTCACTTTGCAATTGGGCGCGAACTTCCCTGCATTTGGCATGTAGGGGGCCCGTTCAACCGGTTCTGTTTTAGCGGTTTCCGATCTCTTGCAAAGGACAATACGATGTCGGAAGTTGGTTAGAACTTGGAGCCCACTTGTCACAATTCAGACATTTCTTGCAACCTTGGCACAATCCACTTGTTGCAACCTGTATGGGTGAGGAAGAAGTGCTTGGTGTTGGCCAACCTCAAGGCGCCCTTTACCCAGGCCCGGAAGAGGGGGCGCCGGAAGCTGGGGGGGGGGGATTCCCAGGGAGTCTCGTATTGGGTGAACATGTGAATTTACTGAATCCCAGGGAGTTTGGGTGAACATGACAAAATGCAGTTCGGAGCACATTCTGGGCGTTTTGGATTCAAGGACTCCATGTGGATTTGCGGATTGTCTGAATTCATGAGTAAATTCGGGGTGAATTCAATTCATGAGTGAATTCATGGGTGGGTGAATTTGTTGGGTATGCAGTTGCTATGGCTTCAGAGGGGGGATAAAGCTTTCGCGAGCCTAAGTAAACCTAGAAACCCTAAGGAGCTTAGGGTTTCCTTGTTGGTGGATGAGTACATTGGAGAAATCTGAGTCAATGGGTTACTTACGATGGTCAACGTGTGACAACATGGTACGCGTTGTGATGCAGACGGCCTTTCCTCGCTCGAGAACAAGGACAAGTGTGAGAACCTGTTCCGGCCTTGGCTGGATTCTTTTGTTCACCTCGTATGGAAAAGCGGGGTGCGAGGGGGCGCTTTGTTTTAAGCACATAAGCGGGTCATTCAAACAGAAGCAATTCAGGATCCCTGTGTCCTTCAGTACCTCTATAAAGAAAAACGAAGGTCTTGAAAGGGTCTCCAACATGGCACCCCGTTTTTCAATTTGGCACAAGGTTCACACGCTGCTTATCAACCCCCCTGCCAGGCCATGTTCGCTGCTGGCGTAAACACGCACTTGCAGGCGGATACGTCGGGGCATCGCATTGCGTTGCGATGCGTTCAGGATTCCTTTGATTTCCTTGGGCCACCGCGGGCATCCATAGGCATACATGTCACATCTTGCTTGGCACCTTCGAAGTGGCTTCCCTTGTTGGGTGTAGGCCAAGGTTGCAACTCTTCGCCGGTTTCTGCTCTTGTATTTTATTTCCCCCTCTTGGGGGTACCCTCTTTTCAATGGAACTAGGGGCTCAAGAGGAAACTCGTCTTCCAAACCTCCCTGTTAGCTTCCATGATGGGAGGGAGGGTAAATCTTGTTGGCTTTTCTGCACTAAGGAGAAGCACTTTTTAAGCGTCAGGATCGTTTGGTTGGACGACCACATTGCCGGCAATGTCAACGATCACATTGCCCTTTACTTTGAACTAAGCATCCAGTAGGCGACGACTCAAACAGTTCAAGCACCGTGAATCAAAATGGAGTCAAAGTAAGAAGATGAAGGGTTTGCCCATGCGGACGTGATGCAAACATCCAACTACTTTTGGCAAGTCATCTAAAGCATGAGCTGCTTCCCCCGCTTGTTTGCTGCTTGATGAGATCCGAGCCGCACTTCCCATAAATGATATAAGATGATATAAGCCGTAGCCAGGCCCACCTGTTGGCATGCAATGCCGACCGGGTAGTCAACCTGTCGGATATAATAGATTGAGGCGGAGGTTCCCGTCAAAAGTACGGGTGCACCTTCTGATTGGGACCCCCTTAATCAACCAAGGGTGTATACATCTGGGGATGTTTCAGCAACCAGGCGGGCTTCCTTTTCTCTTGCCCCTGGCTTCATTTACTTTCCAAGGTTCATTCCGTATATTTGGCCCGGTTTTGACACGTTGCCTCGTGGGTGTGTCTTGAGGGTACCCTGCAACGTCACCAGAAGCCCGTTGCAGCTCAATCCAGCATTTCCTTCAGGCAGTTCAGTGAGACACTGCAAAACCCGTTATGAGTTGGCTTTTCAGGCCTTGGGCTTTTAGTGAGACGCTATATAAAATCCGCTACAAACTAGGGGTTCTACTCCCTTTGCGATTTCTATGTAGACCCTATGTACAACAAACACGTTGCAACCATAATATGTGCATGGCTCAAAAAGTCTCTCACCTTGGGGTTTGTAGGGGTGACAGCCAGACAGGCTCTTGAAAGGAACCATGACCATGACACAGATTTCCTGTTTTGGCCCCGGAAATCTGTTTCCCTGCGACTGTGAAGGGGATGCCCTTTTCACATCTTGGACCTTCGAGAGTTTGGATGCAACACGGCCGCGGTTATGTTGGAACTTGTTTGCCCTCGAGCTCACAGGAAATCAAAATAGGTTCCCGATGCTCCTCGCGAAGGGACCATAGACTACTGGAATTATTGAGCGAACCTCATATCATATGGGTATGTGTTGTTTTGAGGGTACCCTTTGTTGAAGTTGGCGGAAAGTTTGAAGGGAAACCCAAAGAAAGACTACCATTTCTTGCCCCCCCCTCCCTGACACATACCCGCAAAATCTCACCGCCACGTCTTTGCCCCAAACCAACAAACCCGGGGGAATTTCGGCCAGAAGCCACCGGTTTCAGCCCGAGCCAATGCGTTTTGGATGTTTTGGTCGGCTCAGAAGCACGGCGCGCATCTCTGCTGGAATATGCCGCAAGCGGTGGCGCTGGCCAGCGGTGGGGATCCCGCCGAAGCACTGCAGCGCCTCGAAAGTTGTGCGTGCGCTTCCGCCGCGCGGGACGCGGGCGGAAGGGGGATCTAGGGGAGGGGTCGAGTTCGAATCGATGTCCCCCTTTTGGCTACTTTTCATCAATACGATTCCAGGAAAAAGCAATAATTGAATCGTTTTTGAAGGGGGAGCCATTTCCTGGAAGTGATCCAGAAGTGGCTTCTGGCAATGCTACTTCAAAAGAGGCAAGTTGAAATGCTTTTTGTGTTTGGATTCATTTCAGGAAGTGATCCATAGCATTAGCTTTCATAGGGGTCAGTTCTATTGTGTGCCGCATGACTTTGTGGGCGGGTACCCGTGGCGGATTGTTTTGTGCGGGCTTTGTTTCAAGACGGCGTTACCCGAACAGGAATGAAGGAGGCCCCTAGGTGGGTTGGAAGGGTTGGACGGTCCGAAAAAGGGTTCTTGACTGGGCAACGGTTATTTAAGAAGCAACAGACTCTTAGCTATATTTATGGGTGATTAGATTATATATTTTTGGGAAGGGGCTGCTCAGCTTTTTCAGGATCAGATGAATTCATAGGTGGGCATTGCCCTGTATGAGGTCCGCCAGTCTTTTTCACATTGGCCCAGTTTCCGAACAGGTTTGCTCAGTCCAAAGATTAGTCAAGGTCCCCAAGGCAAACCACCTTTTTTGAGGTTTGTTAAAGAATCGTTGGGGTCCTCCAGTTTAAGACATACCCAAATAGGACCTCGACACAATGGGCCCAGTGAAATTGGATGGTGCGGGAGGTACAAAATGTCACACAGAGGCCCTTTTTAAAGAGTAAGCTCCTGCAAATGCACGGAAAGAACCGCAAAAGGAGGCTTCTTTGTTCCATGCAGAGATGCCACTACAGATGGTTTGTCGTGGGTTTAGGTGAATCTGCAGGAACCATTTTGGGTGTGGGGAGGCGGGGTACCATTCCTATCGTTTGTGACACCCGACCATTTGGGGTGGTGTGCCTCCAATCGTTCCAGGGCACTTGCCCCAAGCAAATGCCCTTTTCAAGCCTTCCAAGTGCTCATTGATTCTTTCCGAGGGCAAAAAGTCCCCTGCGATTGGTCACCTCGAATCGAAGCATAGGGTCAACATTCCAGTTGCCCGTTTTGGGTAGTTTAAAACATCAGGTCCACTCAACACCCCCTCACATGTCCGGGTTTATTGGGAAAAGATCCCAAGCCTTGTGCTGGGCAGGTCATGGATCTCACCTCTTGCGAATGTCAGCTGAGTTTATCCGGATACATCAAGGAACGAGGTGAAACCACGATCTGTCCACTTTAGTGGTGAGGCTTTGCATGTGTGCCACTCACATACTCAACATGACAGCCTCGTATGCCTGAAACCGTCAAACTGGGGTGGGCCAACATGTAGAGTTATCACCTTTTGTAGAGGGGGCTAATAGGAAAGTCAAGCTAAAACTTCCCATTGTTGAGGGTCCCCTGATATTGAGACCTACATGTGCTCAGTTAATTTCTGGGCTGGGTGCCATTTCCACTTTGAAATGGGCCCGGTTTGGAGCTCACGTGAATTTTCGGGGATTTGGAGAGCCCCTTTTCGGGCATCCACTGTGGGAAGGGGGTCCCGATTTGCCGATGTTCAGTTCAGGCGGCGGTCTCAGCTGCCAGGAGTTCACCAACTCTTTCCGCTGTTCCAATGCCATGCGAAGCTTAGGCCCATGGTCCTCAATCCCAAAAAGTCAGTCGCTAGAAGCTGCAATGGCTTCTTTTCCTGTGGCTGAATCATTCTATGACTCGTAGGGGACAAGGGCCCCATAATGGTGTTTTTGGGCCCCAATGGCTTTCCTTGAAAACGGTGAGCAAGGCACCCTCAAACAAACACAATCACAATTCAGTAATCGGCCAAGCTAGCTGTTACCTGGCTTATAACTTACCAACAGCCTGCTTAACTCGACTTGGCGACCAAAAAATGGTTTTGTTACCTCGGTTGCCAACGTGCCAACAACTGCACCCACGTGAGCGAGCTTTGAGGTCCGTGCAGGACCTGCACTCGCGCGTGAAGAGGAAGTCCTCCAACGCCTTGAAGGAGTTTCTGCCAATGTGACCCACGTTCTACTTGGCAAAGCCTCAGGGGTCGGCGCGTGTCTCCATGGAAGGCTTAAGGATTGCAGTTGGAATGCCTCCTAGTGACAAGCCCCCCAAGAATAAGAAATGCCCTTTGGGTGAAATTACCGCCCATGCGGAAGGCGAGCTTTATTCTGATTGGGACAAGATTCAGGCCATCCAAAGGTTTGTTTCTTGAATGGTTCAACGGGCCGTCCAACGTATCGTGACTCCTGAGTGCTGCGAGAAATCTTCGTCGTGGCAGAGCCATGAACCAAGGCCTGAGCGTCTAACGACGCTTTCACAGTGCAATTGAGTGGCTTCTGCAAACTGCAGACAGCCTTCGCCAATAGTCCCCTGCAGGAACAAGGAACCCAGCCAGACTGACATAGAGGAATCTCCCCTTTTGGATTGTGGGTCCTGCGTTGATGTGCAGGGGAATAAATGGCTTCTGCGAGCTGCAGACAGCCTTTCGCCAATCAATGGCCACCTTCTACGGTTACCGGACGAAGGTCGAAAGCCGTTAATTCGGCACTTGCAACTTTGCATTGTATTTTGGCGGCCACCGAATTTGCACATTGATCTCCGACTGGGGGGGGACCACCTTTCAAATATAAGCGGTACGGTATGTTTGTGTTCCTGATTTCTGCTGGGTTACAGCTCAGACCGAGGTGCACCATATTTCCGCCGGGTTCTTGTTGTTGTTGTTGTTGTTGTTGTTGTTGTTGTTGTTGTTGTTGTTGTTGTTGTTGTTGTTGTTGTTGTTGTTGTTGTTGTTGTTGTTGTTGTTTGTTGTTGTTGTTGTTGTTGTTGTTGTTGTTGTTGTTGTTGTTGTTGTTGTTGTTGTTGTTGTTGTTGTTGTTGTTGTTGTTGTTGTTGTTGTTGTTGTTGTTGTTGTTGTTGTGTTGTCGTTGTTGTCGTTTGTCGTTTGTCGTTGTCGTTGTCGTTGTCGTTGTCGTTGTCGTTGTCGTTGTCGTTGTCGTTGTCGTTGTCGTTGTCGTTGTCGTTCGTCGTCGTCGTTCGTTGTCGTTGTCGT